TCGAGTGTCGACGACCGGCGACGAGATGAGGACGACGACGACGACGGCGAGCTCCCTCGTCCCTCTTGCTCTCACCTTGCATGCCAGGGTCAGTCCCACTCTCCTTGAGTGACCCTGCAGCCCGCCCCAGCTCACCGCACCCCTCTCCCCATCCAGCTTGACCAACTCGCCTCACCTCGACGCCATCAAACAGACGGCCGCCCTCTTGCGCGACAACCTCGACTCGTGGATCCGCCGCCACTACATCTTTGTCGCCTGCCAACTCGTCGTCAGTCCCCTCCCCTCCCCCTTGCCCCTCGCCCTCGAGGCCAGCGCGAGGTCGCCGTCCACCTCCCCCACTCTCATCGCCCCTGACGCACTTGCTCCCCCTTTCCCCTCCTAGATCCTCTCGTCCATCTTCCTCTGGTACCTCCAGGTCGCCTTCCCGACCCCGCAAGACCTCCGCGACACGGCCGACAACAAGCACCGCACCGCCACCATGACCGACAACCTCAAGGCCTCGGCTGCCGACAAGCTCGTAAAGACGGCAGACGCCGTCGCGTCGGCCCCTGCCGGCGACAAGACCGAGCTCGACCCGCCAAAGGACACGCCCTTCACCAAGGACGAGCTCGCAAAGTACGACGGCAAGGACGACAAGACGCCCATCTACGTCGGCATCAAGGGCCGCATCTACGACGGTGCGCTCCCCTCTCCCCCTCTCGCAGTCGCACGCACAGGTCTGACGAGCCTACCCTGTCGTGCGCAGTGTCGGCCAAGCGCGACATGTACGGCCCGGGCTGCGGCTACCACGTCTTTGTCGGCAAGGACGCCTCGCGGTGCGTCTCGCCTTTCTCTCTCTCTCGGGCTCGCCCTGTTGTGCAGTGTCACAAGGTCGAGCACAGGCGACAGCCAGGACTGACCTCGCGCGCCCTTCCCCCCCCTCGCAGCGGCCTTGGCAAGTCGTCGCTGAAGCCTGAAGACGCCGTCGCCGACTACTCGACCCTGACCGACGAGGAGAAGAAGGTCCTCGACGACTGGGAGAAGTACTTCCAGAAGCGGTACAACATCATCGGGCGCGTCGCCGAGTGAGCGAGCGCGTGCGGGCCTGGAGGTGGCCGAGGTCAAGGCGGCGAGGGAGCGAGCGCTCTCGCGAGCGAGGGGCGGCAGGACGAGGTGACTCGAGCTGGGCTGGCCGGCAATGAATGCAGTCGTCTCCTGTTGAGCGCGTTGCTGTAAATTCGAGCGAGGAGAGCGGCAACCTTCTCAAACGAGCTTCTCCTCGTCGTGCTGGACGAGTTTCTCGCTTCTCTCGCCCCTGATAGTCGCGCTAGCTACGTCGCCGAGACCCACAGAGAGCTCGTCCGGAACGAGAGCCGGCAACGAGCAGGGTCGCAAGCTCGCATGGCTTCAGGGGAGGGTCCGAAGCGGGCTCGACTTGACCGTGCGTAGGCTCGCTCGAGAGCTCCGCCTGATCTCGCACGCTCGCCTCGACACACCGAGCCGCCTGCGCAGCTCGCAGAAGACCACCGCACGCAGAGCTCTTCGCCGCAGCCGTCGCCTCGACCTGCGAGCCGCTCGACAACTCGTCCTCCTCGACCCCACCTCGCGCTTCCACCAGCACCGAGCTCTCCAGCTCTCGCCGACCGTTCCATGGGCAAGGCCAAGTCCGGCAAGAAGCAGGACAACAGCAAGGCGGTGCGTCCTCCTCTCTCACTCTTCGAACCTTCCTCCACCTCCTCATCAGCTCGACGTCGAGCTCACCCACTTCCTCTCGGTGTGCAGGCTGCAAAGGCCGCCAAGAAGGCCAAGCAGGAGTCCAAGGCGGCCAAGACCGACACGAAGCAGATCAAGAAGAAGAAGGGCAAGGCGCAGGAGAAGGAGGAAGAGTGGGAGGAGGGCGACTTTCTGCGCTCGCTCGAGGAGCACCGCCAGAAGTGGGCCGAGGAGCACAAGGTCACCGGTGCGTCCTCTCGACCCTCCTGCATGCGCGCGAAGACGAGCTCACTTTGCCCCGCCGTCGCAGAGGACATTGTCGAAGGTCCGCCGTCTCGTCGAGCCAACGCAACGCTCACGGCGTCGCCCGTGTCGGACCACCTGTACCTGTTCGGCGGCGAGTACTACGACGGCCAACGTGTCGAGCTCTTTGCAGACGTGCGTCCCTTGCCCTTCTGTCCTCGCCTGCACGAGCACGCGCCGACCTCCTTTTTTCCTCGCCGCAGCTGTACCGGTACGACCCGAGCAAGAACGAGTGGCGCCGGTTCACGTCGCCGACGCAGCCGAGTCCGAGGGCGGCACATGCGGCGGCAGTCACGGTCGCAGGCGGCGGGCGGCTCTGGGTCCACGGCGGCGAGTACTGTGCGTCGCCCTCTCTCTCTTCTCCTCTGCCCTCGCGCACGCTCTCACTGACTGTGCGAGACCTGCAGCGGCGCCGAACCAGAACTCGTTCTACCACTACCACGACCTGTGGAGCTTCTCGTTCGACACCAACTCGTGGGAGCGCTGGGAGGTCAAGACGCGCCCGTCGGCTCGCTCGGGCCACCGCATGGCCGTGTACAAGAACTTTATCTTCCTGTTCGGCGTGCGTCCTCGTCTCTCTCGGTCTCTCGTCCTCTCTCTACGTGTGACTCACGATGCTCGTCGCTCGCAGGGTTTCCAGGATACCGGCGTCCGCACGACCTACCTGAACGACCTCTGGGCGTGGTCCTTGACCGAGTGCGTCGACATCTCTCTTCTACTCTCTCAAATGCCTTACTGACTCGAGCCCTCGCCCGCAGCTACCGGTGGTACAAGGTCGAGTTCAGCGAGGTCGACCGCAAGCCGCCGTACGTCCTCTCGCCCATCTCTTTCTCCCTTCCCCCCTCTCGCCCGCACTGACGCTCCTTCTTCGCGCCCCTGACAGCGCAAGAAGCGGCTTTTCGTTCCTCCCGACGCCCGACGGCCTCGTCCTGCACGGCGGCTACACCAAGACGTACGAGAACCGGCGCACGACGGGCGTCGCGCTCAACGACACGTGGCAGCTCAAGATCCCGCCCATCAACGAGGACGGCGTGTGCGACTTCAAGAAGTTCAAGTGGGAGAAGCGCAAGAACCCGGGCTTGCCGCCAAGCCCGACTCGCTCTGGTGCGTCCCTCGCCCTCTTTTCTCGAGCGGCCGAGCCGGGAAGGACGGATCTACTCACCTTGGACGATTCCCTTCTCTCGAGCAGGTTGCACGATGGCGTACTGGGCCAACAAGCAGTTCGGCGTACTGTTCGGCGGCGTGAGCGACGACGACAAGGACGAGGAGACGCTCGACTCGACGTTCTACAACGAGCTGTACGGCTACAGCACGGCGGGCAACGGGCGATGGGTCCGCCTCATGCTCAAGCAGCGCAAGAAGATGGGCGGCGGCGGCGGCGCGAGCAAGAAGAAGGAGAAGCGCAAGGCGGCGGCCGAGGCGGCCAAAGCGCTCGCGGCGGCGGCGGCCAAGGCCGAGGGCAAGGACGACGCGCCGATGAAGGACCGCGACGAGGGCGAGGGCAGCGAGGGCGCGAGTGACGACGAGTACGACTCGAGCGACGACGACACGCCCAAGCCGTGGGAAATCGCTCGCGCCCGTCGCGAGATGGAGCTCGCCGCCGCCGCCGCCGGCATCGGCTCGTCGTCGTCGGACGCCTCTCCCGGCGGGGACGAGTCGGGCGCCCCGGGCTCGTCGGCTGCCGCCGCCGCCGCCGCGTCGTTCGACCCCGACGACGACCCGGAAAAGACGGTCCCGGGCCCGCGGTACAACCCGATGTGCGCCGTCCTGCGCAACACGCTCTACCTGTACGGCGGCATCCTCGAGGCGGGCAACAAGGAGTACACGCTGTGCGACTTTCACACGCTCGACCTGTCGAAGATGGACCGGTACACCTGCCTGCGCGAGGACCGCATGTGCGTCCTCCCCTTTCCCTCAACTCTCTCTTCCTCTCTCTCTCCTTGTCGAGTACGTTAACTAATCCTTCATCTTCTCTGACAGCGATGCCGCCGAATGGCATGGGTCCGACTCGGAGAACGACGACGACAGCGACTCGGACGACGAGGAAGGGTCGCAAGCAGGAGAGGGTGACGAGGGTGAGCGCATGGAGGATGAGGAGGACGACGGCATGGCGCCTGTCGAGGACGAGCCGATGGAGGTCGAGATCGACGAGTTGGTGCTCACCGAGGTCGAGGTTGCCGCGAAGAAGGCCGAGAAGAAGCGGCTCGAGGTGCGCCCCCACTTTCTCTCTCTCTCTCTCTCTCTCCCTCTGCCGCGCAGAGAAGAGTCCCTGACGAGGTCCCTTGCCCACCTGCAGCAAGAAGAGCTCACGAAGAAGGCGCAGGCCTTCATGGGCGTCTCGACCGACGCCGCTCGGACCGCCGAGGACGTCCTCTCGACGCCGCAGCCCGGCGAGTCGCTCGCCGCCTTCTTTGCGCGGTCCAAGGACCTGTGGACAGCTAGGGCGCACGAGTCGAGCGCCGGTGCGCGTGGCAAGGAACTGCGTCGAGACGGTTTCGCTCTCGCCGAGCAGCGCTACGGTGCGTCTCACTCTCTCTTTCCCTCTCGTCCCGCCTTCCTCGCTCGAACGTGCGACTGACGTTCTCTTTGCCGTCCTGCAGAGGAGTACAAGCCGATCCTGGAGGAGATTGCCCGGCTGCAGGAGGCGGCGGGCGCAGAAGCAGTCGCCGCGAGGGCGTCGGCGCGGGCTGGTCTCGGCGCAGATTCGCGCAACCGCCGATAGATCTCTCTCGCGAGCTGCAACGACGCACATACCTGAGACCGTCCTTCTCTAGAGAGCGTGGCGAGGGAGATGCTGCGACACTGCGAGTTCTTCTGATTCTCACGAGGGGCTGGACAAGCCGACGACGATGGCGGAACGAGGAGGATCTACTGAAAGCGGACGGGAGGGAAGACAAGTACAGGTACGAGACAGAGAGAGGAGGCGAGAGTGAGTGCGAGTCCTTCCTTTGGGTTTGCTGAGAGAAATGCGAGTGTTGGGAAAGAGACCGGGCGAGACCTTCTCCCTCCTGCTGCCGCCGAGACCGCTCCGCCGCACACCCGCCAAGCGAGGCACTCATCGACGACCCTTCTTCTTGCCGCTCTTGGACGACCGGACCTGCGAGCCGATCATGCTGCCGCTCGTCGACCCGGACGACGACGAGCTCATGCCGCCGTTCGTCGGCGCCGCGAGCGAGTGCGCCGGCGCGCCGAGGATGCTCGTGCCCGACATGGCAGAGCCAGGACGCTCGAGGAGGTGGCGCGGCGCGGTGACGGCGACGCCGCTGCCGGTGATGGCGGACGGGTCGAACCCGCTCGAGCTGCCCGGCGAGGTCGACGGCGAGGCGCTGTCGTCGAGGCTCGTCGTGAACACTGGCGGGGCGAGGTGACGTTGGACGATCGCGGCGGGCGCGCTCGGTGCGGCGTCGACAGGCTCGAGCGCGAGTGGAGAGGGAACGGCGAGCGAGACGGCCGCGGCCGCTTTGTGCGCGACGGCGGACGACGGCGACGGCGCGAGGCCGAGGTCGAGGTCGTCAAAGTCCTCGTCGAACGGCGCCATCTCGCGCAGAGGAGCGAGCGCCCCGCTCGAGCCCGAGCGGCGCACACCTCCTGCGCCGCGCGGTTCGTCCTCGTCGACGCGACCGTCCCACCCCCAGTCCTCCTCATCTGCGTCATCTCCACCGCCACTGCTGCCGTGCGCGACGCCCTTGCCGCCGCCGTCGCCGAGCTCAGACGTACACGCCGTCGACAGGCTGCCCTCGAGGCGGTCGGCGAAGACGGCGTCCTCGTCGTCGAACGAGACCGAGCTCGAGTAGGCCGCCGCGGTGACGACGCCGGCCGCCAGTGGCTGCTGCGTCGTGATGGGCCCACTCGAGCGCCGCCGACCGACCGAGACCGGGAGCAGGATGCCGCTCGGCACCTTGACGCGCCCGAGTCCTTGACGAACGCGCCCGAACGACTCGATGGCGGCGGGACCGACGCTGCGCGGGATCGCGATCGAGTCGCGCCACGAGCCGTGCTTGCCGGGGACGCCGTTGGGGAAGGTCGGCGGCGGGAGCTTGGGCGAGCCGGGCGCGACGTGGTCGAAGTCGAGGAGGGCGTGCATGGCGGTCTTGATCGGCTGGTCGAACGACGCCGGCTCGAATGACGAGCTACTCGAGGTGCCACCTTGGCTGCCGAGGTACCGCGCGCCGTTCGAGGGCGAGGACGAGGAACAGGGCCCGGCGTCGGTCGAGGTCGAGCTGTGGCCCTGGCGGATGTGGACCTCGGACCGCGTCTCGAGGCGACGCAGCGACAGGGCGAATCGACCTTTGGCGGTGCAGGAGGCGTGGTCGGGAGGGAGGGCGTAAAAGTCGAACTGCTGCGACTGGTAGATCGAGCGAGGGAGGACGAGGGGCGAGCGGCTGCACGTCTCGATCTCGGCGAAGGCAGAGTACCTGCGGGCGAGAGTATCAGACAACCGAGGACTGAAAGAGATGACGAGAGGGCTTGGGGAGACGCACCGAATGCCCTTGGTCGCGGTCACGCCGACCTTCTCGAGTGCGCGCACCTCCACTCTGACCTCGCTCGCACCCTTGCCCCTGCCGACAGCCCACTCAGCGACCCCGGCGCACCTCACGCTCCACGACCCGCTCCTCTCCTGCGCCGTCGTCGCCGCCGCCGCCGCCGAACTCGCGCTCCCGCTCGACGGTCCGTGCGCACCTGCGCCGCCGCTCGCCGTCGAGCCGAGCAGCGCTCCGCCTCGGCTGCGCATGAGCTGCGACAAGCCGCTCACGGCCGTGCTCGCGAGGCGGCCGACGTCGCCCGTGCGCACGAGCTCGGCGGCCGCGCTTGTCGTCGTCGCCGGCATCGAGGAGCGCTGCGCGGTGAGGCGGTGGAGGGTCGCCGAGCCCGTCGAGGGGTGGAGGACGAGGACGTTCTGGAACGAGGGAGGGAAGTGGTCGAGGGAGGGAGGTGGCCGTAGGGCAGAGGACGCCGAGTCGGACTTGGGGAGGAACACGACCGCGGCGGGCAAGGGCGCGTGCGTCGGCGCTCGAGGTCCGGCGCTCGACGACAGGACGACGTTCGGGCGCGGTGAGCGCACGCGCGCGACGCTGCCGAGCGCGACGCTCAGAGGCGCGAGCTCCTCGGCGTTGGTGAGCTGCGACGCAAAGTGCGACTCGAGGCGCGGCATGCCGCCGACAGGCTGGACGGCCCACGTGTGCGCCGTGCCCTTGGCCGTCGAGACGGCGACGAAGCGGCCGTCGACCGACCACGTGGCCGCCGCAGCGAGCGCCGAGGTGTAGCCTCGCTGCAGACGGTAGCGGTGCCAGACTTGGCCCTCGGCCGCGCCGCCGCCACCGCCGACGATACCGAGCGAGGACGACGTCGCCGAGACGCCAACGGGCACGGACGGCTTGAGCTCGAACACGTCGAACGAGTGGCCCGCCGCCGACGCGACGAGGACCATTGTGGCCGCCGGCGAGAGCGACACGAGCGCGATCTGCTGCCCGTACGGCCGGAAGTGCGCGACGACTTGGAGAACAGGAGGCGTCGACGAGCGCGCCGTGGTCGGCGGACGCGGTACGGGAGCGCGCAAGCTCGCGACGAGGTCGACGACCTTGACCGTGCCGGCGGCGGGGCTCGTCTCGGTGGCCGCGCCGTGCGCACTCGTGCCCTCGCGAACCGACATCGACGACGACAGTCCGCCCGAACCGAGCTGCGGGGCGCTCTGCGAGTACGCGCCGCTCGGCCTCGCCGCTTTCGGCCCCGACTCGCTCGTGCCGGCGCCGGCGCCTCGCAGCCACGACCCGCCTCGCTCCCTCAACGCCGCCATGCCGCTCCTGACACCCTCGCCAACGCGGCGAGCCACCTCCTCGGCGTCCTGCACCGAGAAGCCGGCGCCTGGCCCGTCTGGCGAGCCGAACGGGAGGGCGTCGGCGTCAAACTGGCCGCGGTGGGCGAGGATGCCGGTCCCGGGCCGAGCCGGCGCGCGCGACAGCGTCGATGACGGGACCGAGGACGACGAGGCATAGGCGAGGAGGCGACCGCCTGCGCCGAGGTCGAACACGGGCGCGCCCGGCTCGGACGAGTGCGGCGAGGTTGGCGCCGCCACGACGTCCGTGATCGGCGAGAACGGCGCCGGCGCGTACGCGTTCGTCGACGCGGTGGGCTCGTAGGCGTGTAGGGCGAGCGGCGAGGTGGTCGAGACGAGGAGGAAGCGCGGGTTGGCGAGGATGCGGTGGGCGATACCAGCGACGGGCACGCTCGAGACGACGCGGTGGTGGCGGAGCGAGTACAGGAGGATGACCGAGGAGGGCGACTTGTGCGACTTGGCGCGGGCGAGGACGGCGAGAACCGGTCGGTGCGCCTCGAGAGGGTCGGCCGTGGAGGAGGACAGCGGAACGACGGCGGCGCCGACAACGCGCTCGACACCGTGGCGGAACAGCTTGCGGACCTTGTCGTCGTCGAGGGCGCAGTCGAGAGTCGGCAGGTTGAGGATCTCGTGCCAGCACTCGAGGTTCGAGCAGTCCCAGACGGCGAGGCCGCCCGACGAGTAGCCGAGAACGAGGACGCGGCTGCGGGAGAGGCGTGCGTCAGTACGCCATCATGTCCGACCCACTCGTCTGCAGGAGAAAGCGAGGACGCACCGTGGCCCCTCGCTGTCGGGCAGAGCGTCCCACCTCGCCCAGGCGACCGTCTCTCCCAGCTCCGGCAGCTCCGGCTCGCCCGCCGCTGCCGTCGCTCGCACCTCGTCCGACTGCCCGTCGTCTCCCTCGTTCTCGTCGTCGTCCTCGCCGAGCATGAGCGCGCCGGCCGCGGTCGCAGCACCGCCTCGACCAGCCGCCCCCACACCCGCAACAGGAAGCCGAACCGAGGTCGGGCGGTCGGGGCTCTGCGCGTTGGCCTGGCTCGTAGGCGGCGCGTCGAACGGCGACCAGGTGCGCAGGGTCGTGGCGAGCGACTCGAGGGCCGAGGGGTCTCTGCTTGGGGGACGAGCGGGAGGCCGACGCGCGTCAGTGAGGGGTGGCGGCGGGCTCGCTCTCGCTCGCGCAGGCCAGAGGGAGGGACGGGTGGACGCACTTGATGAGCTCTGGCACAACGAGACGCACCTCGGCGCTGCGGGACGAGGAGGGAGGGCGAGTGACGCGAGGTGCGGGCGAGGCCGGCCGCGACGACGAGGGCCGCCTCAGGCTGGGCGAGGGTGCATGGGTGGACGAGGGCGGTGCGGGCATGCAGGGGTAGACCCGGTGCGCTGGTAGAGGCGTGCGCGCTCTCCGTTGGGCCGAGTGCTCGTCGAGGGCGTGTTGATCTGGCGACGACGAGGAGCGAGATAGACGAGGCAGGTGGGGGAGCGGCTGGGTCGACGAGGGCTGGCGGGGAGCGTGTGCGTGTCGCTGAGATGCGCTCGGCTGTAGTGCCAGTGGGTGCGAGGGCAGCAGCGGTGCGGTGCGCGGTGGGAGAGAGAGCAAGCGACGCGTCCGACCGCCTCCTCCCCGGCTCCGAGCCCGCACCGATAGAGCGACAGTCGCAATCTGAATCGAGACCTTGCTCTCTCGTACAGTCACAGCGAGAGACGACTCGTCTATGCAGTGCCCGTCCGTCGTCGGCCGTTTACTACCCTCCGAGCACGCTGCTCGCACCCTCATTCCCGAGCCCGGGCACGCCCAGCTTGGCCCCGCCTGCGCCCATGGCCGCCGCACCGACAGCGTCGTCCGTCATGAGCGGCTTGTGCGCCTGCGCCGAGAGCGGCTTGGACCCGCCGGCGTTGGGCGCCGAGGTGGCGCGCGAGACTGACGACGAGACGGCGGCAGCGGCGGTCGAGGGCGCCTGCTTGACCATGGCGAGCTGCGTGGGGCACAGAGAGGTTTCAGTCACCTTCTGACGCTGCTCGACCGCCGCCTTGAGAGGCGACGGCCCGACACGGGCCCGCAGGACGAGAGAGAGAGGGAGAGAGCGCGGACGCACCATGTTCCGCTCCTCGCTCAGCGTCGCGTGGCGGTACTCGGCGCGCAGGTTGGGCATGTTGGTCTTGTGGATCAGGTTGCCGTCCTTGCCCTCGCGGTACCACTCGGGCCCGAGCCAGTGCCGCTTGACGGCCATCTCGAAGCCCGACTGGACGCACGAGTTGCGCGCGAGCTCGCACATGTCGGCCGGCGAGAGCTTGTAGATCTGGGCCGCGACCGAGTACTCCTCGAGGAGGGGCTCCTGGACCGACGAGAGTACGAGAATGAGCGAAGCCGCGACGACGAGGGAAAGCTCGGGGAGGGGAGCGAGCGAGAGACGCACCTTGGTAAAGTGGAACTGGAGCGGGTCGTCGGTGCTGAGACTGACATTGAGGCCGGTGCGGAAGAAGGTCGGGAACGGGTTGCGCTCGTAGGCGAGGAAGAGGGCGTTGTTCGACAGCGGCGACATGGCGATCTGCGGGGCTCGAGCGTTAGCCTGCGCTCGAGGGGCACAGAGAGGGTTGGAAAAGGAGCGAAAGGAGGACGCACACCGATCTGCTTGAGGTAGAAGAGGTACTGGAGGGCGGGCACCTTGCGCAGGAGGATGCCGTGCGAGATCGAGTGCGAGGTGAGGAAGGCCGAGGTGAGGTGGTCCGTGTCGCCCGCCTCGCCGGCGTGAGGGCGCAGCCAGAACGTGTCTGCGGGAGGTAAGACGGTTAGTCTATGCGCGAGGAGGACGAGTGGGGAAGAGGCGAGGACGCACTGAAGCCGCGCTCGTGCCGCCAGTTGTTGAGCGAGGTGATGTTGGCGTACAGGAAGTAGAGCCAGTAGGCGTACGGCGCTGCACGATCATGATGCTCGACGTCAGTCTCTAGACAACGAGAGAGGGGGAGAGAGGAGAGAGAGAGGGGGCGCACGATTTTGGGTCGTGTTCCAGTCGCGCGGGACGGGAAACTTGCGGTACAGGCGGCGCTCGGCCTTGGACTCGTCGTCGACCGAGTCGAAGCCGACGACGCGTTGCAGGAAGACGTGCAGCTCGGGGTGCGACGACGGGTCCGCCGTCACCTCGAACAAGGGCTCGAAAATGTCTGCGAGAGGGAGGAATCGAGCCGAGTGAGCTCGCGCACGGTCCGGCCGAGCCGGGCAAGAGAGAGAGAGAGAGAGAGAGCGGGACGCACTGCGCACGACCTCCTCAAAGTCGTTGACGCCGCCGCTCTTCTTGAACACGTCGTACAGGCGCGGGATCTGGATGAGCCACCGCACGTTGTCGCTGAAGAGCTCGTTCTTGATGACCCACTTGGCGAGCTTGTCCCACTCGGCCGTGTTGCTGTACGGCTCGTCGAGTTAGTCAGGGCGGCGAGCAGGGCGGTGGACGAGCGACGCACCGGCCGTAGATGCTGATGCGGTACTCGGCCATCTGGTACTTGCTCGCTTGCAGGTCGGTGAAGATCTCCTTGGTCATCTCGGCGAGATATCGACCCTCGATATAGCTGCAGGAGGAAGCGAGAGTCAGGCTGTGACGCGGCGAGGCGAGTCTGAGGGACGGCCGCAACTTGTCCGTCTTGAGGAAGATCTCCCTCAGGCGCGACTCGCCGAGCGGGTTGTACTTGAGGTTGAACTTGTCGAACCCTGCGTGGGCGCCGTGACGAACGTCAGGGCGAGAACGGTCGAACGTCGAGGGAGAGAGGAGGAGGAAGAGGGGGACGTACGGTGAAACGAGTCCTGGTGGGCGTGCATGTCGAGCGTGTCGATCGAGAGGTCGTACGCCGTCATGTTGAGCGACTCGAACACCTGGCGCAGCGTCAGGTGCTGGCCGTCGCGAAAGATGACGACCTCCTGTGGACGAAGAAGGCGGAAGAGGGCGACGAGAGGGTGTCAGTTCGCTCCGGCTCGCTCGACGACGACCGAAGGGGCTTTGCGAGGACGCACATCGGCAGAGCGCTTCATTTTCGCCTTGATGAACCTAAGTACGTGTTTCTGGTTGGCGGAAGCCGAGTGGTGGACGTGAGTGTCGACTTTGCGGACGTTGTAGAAGTCGCGGTGCGAAACGCGCTGCGGACGAAGGTTCGGGGTCAATCCCGAGACGCTGCACACGAGAGGAGAACTGCTGGGACGCACCTTCATCTCGGCGAGTTCCTTGTATTCGTTGAGGAGCACGTACAGGTTCCACTTGCTCTCGAGGTACCGCAGGCGCCGGTAGGCGAACGACTTGGCGGGCCCGTCCGAGATGACCGACAGCACGTCGTCGAGGTCCTGGAAGTACTCCTTGAGGGTCGGGACGGCATACAGGGGCTTGGGCGAGTCGGTCGAGCGCGCAGGGTCGGCTGCAGGACAGGTCGGGTCAGGCTCGTGCTCGAGAAGGTCGTCGACAAAGGCGAGTGGGGAGGGACGCACCGTCGTGGTAGACCTGGTACACGCCGTTGTCGTCGAGCGCGAACCTCCTCCTCTTGGCCTCGGGCTCCTGCTGCGGGATGTCGCACTCGCTCCACTCGAACTTCCTCCTCGCCTCCTCGCGCGCCGCAATCTCCTCGGTCGTGTCGCCCGGGGCCTCGCCGAGCGGGTCGATCTCCTTCCAGTGCGGCTCGGGCGGCGGCGGGTAGATCTTCCAGTGGTCGAAGCCGGGAGGGAGGTTGACGGGCAGGAGCGTCGAGGTCGAGGCGTACGAGGGCGACGAGGACGGGTCGAACGCGCCGTCGTAGTTGGCGGGGTTGTCCTCGAGACGTTGACGCGACAGGGTCATGTACTTGTCGCGCAGGTCGAGGCACCGCTGGAACGAGCCGTACAGGGCGCGCAGCTCGGCCGTGAGGACCTCGTGCGGGTTCTCTGAGGGAGGACGCGGCTTTAGCTCTCGCTCGTCCTGCCAAGAGGGAGGGGAAGAGAGTCGAGGACGTACGGGCAGCAAAACCCTCGTCAATGGCCTCGGCGTCCTCGACGTGCTCGTCGAGAACCGGCGGACCGTGCTCCTGCTTGCCGTTCCACACCTCGTCCGCCAAGCCCGACCCGCCCATGTCCTCCTCCTCGCCGTCGAGCTGCGCCGTCGGACGAACACCATCCTGCTGCGCGAGCGACAGGCGTCGGAGGCCCAGACTGGCGATGCGCGGCGAGGTCAAGTCGCCCTTGGCCCTGCTCGACAGCGAGTCGGACCTGCCGCGCGTACGGGACGAGGTGGCGGACGCGCTCGGCGACGACGGCGCGGTGCTGAGCGACAGGTTGCCGAGGGCGAGGCGCTCGACGGACGGCTGGCCCGTCAGGGTGTGCGAGGCTGACGGACCAGGGAGGATGGGCGGAGGGAGAGCAGTCGGCAGCTCGGCATGGAACGCGCCCTTGTCCTGCTCGGTTGCAGAGGTCAGTTCCCGCAAGTCCGGTTGAGCGAGAGTAGGACGGACCGTGAGGTGTGCTCGCTCGTCGCGGAAGCTAAAGATGGCGGCCTCAGGTCTGGGCGAGGGTGGTGCCGATGCGCCAGGCGTTGATGGGGCACTCGAGCCCTCTGAGCGCAGGTGCGCGTGGCCAGAGCACATGGCTGGATGAGCAGCAGCAGCTGGTGCGGTGCGTGACGAGCGGAAGCCAGCGCTTCGGTCGACAGCGATGAAGTCGGTTCGAAGAAGCGAGACCCTCACCACGGCCCCCTCTCTCGCTGCTTCTTGCCGGTTGAGCTACTTTGCAACTCTCTACTGTCCACGAGAGTCTGCATCATGCGCTGCGCAGGCGGATGCCAGGAGAGGGAGAGACGGACGATCTGCGCATTCACTCTGCGTCGCCGACCGGGGGCGAGCTGCGACGACGGGGTGTCGCGGCCCTGCTCTGTGCCGTCCACCTGCTCAGCTGTGCTACAACGCGCAAGTGCTCTGCGCTGCTGGTCGAGGGGATCGCGCGCTGGCCCAGCACGGTCGGCCGCCTCCCTCCGTTTGCCAAGCCTTTGCGGCTCGCTCCCTCCACCCCCCCTCGTCGCCACAGGCTCTGCTCTGCTCTACGCACCTCCCGCCTGTCGAGTCGCACCGCTTCACCTCCCACCAAGTCGACCCTCGATCTACCAAGATGCTCCAGCTCGCCCCCGTCCTCGCGGTGGCCGCCCTCGCCGGATCCGCCGTCGCTCAGTCGACGCCCCTCGCCGCAAAGCGCTTCCAGTGGGACAACCTCGTGCGTCCCACCGTCCACCTCCCCGTCACCCCAGTGCACGACCGGCGAGCTGACCTCGTCGTTCCCACTCCCCCTCGTCGCCGCCCCCCTCCTCGTCCAACATGTGCCGCCACCTCGTTCTCCCACTCGCAGCCGTACAAGGCCGACACCGACAACGGCGTGCGTGGTCCTCAGGCCGGCTACAACCGGTGCGTCGCCCAGTTCGCCTTCGTCCCCGCCGCCACTCGGAGGATCCGGAGCGAGACGGGCTTGGCGATTCGCCCCTCGACAGAGTCGCCCGACGCACTCACAGATCGGCTACTGACACGAGACTCCTTACACAGCTGCAACGAGACGACGCAGGGCCAGGAGTCGATGTGCCAGACCGGTGCGTCTCCCTCTCTCCCACCCTCGAGCTCGATCTCTCCTTCCCCCGCGCATGACTGACCCCGCGTACTCTCCCAACCTTGCCCCGCTCTGTTTGTCTCTCGCCCACCATCCTCTCCCCCAGCCGTCATCAACAGGTGCGCCAGCGCGCCGTCGTGCCCGTTGTACAGCCGGAACTGACCTCCTCTCGCACGTTCCCGCCGCTCGCGCCGTTCAGCATCGACGACTTCTGCCTCTGGGTGCGTCCTCCTCTCTCTACTACCTTCGTGCGACAGTCCTGACACTCGTCTTCTGCCACAGGCACCGCCCGAGTATGGCGAGGAGGTCGGCAACATCGAGGGTGCGCTTCTCGTCCCTCCTCCTCCTTCATAGCCGCGTACTGACCCTCGCGGTCCTGCTCCACAGGTGAGATGGTTGCCTGGTGCACCAAGGAGGGATACGGCACGCGCATCATCCCCGAGGGCGCGCTCCAGGGCGTCCAGTTCACTCGGGTCCGCCTCCTTCCCTCTCGCTCCTCGTCGTGACCCCTTCCTGACGTCGCCCTCTCTCGCGCAGACGCCCCACTACATCCAGGTCGTCGGCTTCATCGACCAGGCCAAGATCAACATGCTCCCGGAGGACTACGGCGGAGAGATGGTGCGTCGGCCTCGTCCTCGAGCGAGAACTCCCCTGTCCTCCCGACTCGTCCTGACTCTCTCCTCCCTCTTCCTCTACAGGACCCGCACGGTGCCGACCAGCGCGGCAACCCGCTCGGCGGTGCGTGACTCTCGTTTCGTCGTCGCCGCACAAGCCTCCAATTCGGACCTCGGACCTGACCTCGATTCTCCTCTCTCGCCTGCAGGCCTCGTGTTCTCGAACCAGTTCGCCGGCAACAGCTCGACCAACGGCACGTCGGGTGGCCAGCAGTTCTCGCAGGTCATCCAGGTGCGTCCACTCGCCGTCGCCGTCTCGGCCTTCTCGAGACACAGATCCTGACCTTCCTCTCTTCCTCCCTCGCTCGCTCGCAGTGGCACAACTTCATGGGCGCGTCGCAGTTCTGCCTGAAGGCGTGCGACCCGTCGTGGGACCAGGGCTGGCGCATGTGCGAGGTGCGTCGTCGTCGTCGACCTTCCTCTTCCTCCTTCGTACTTGCCTTCAAGACTCTCACACTACGCCTGCGCACGCAGCACATCTACGACCGCATCGGCTGCCAGTACAACGCGCCCGCTTCCTACAGCCAAATCAATTCCACTTTTACATCGTGTGACGGCGACGACCAGCTTCCTCCCGGCATCTACAGCGAGAACGGCCAGCGCCGCGAGTACACGCAGCCGCCCGAGTCGCTCGGCGTCATCTCGACGATCCCGTACACGCCCTTCACGCCCTCGTCGAGCAACTGCGAGACGTTCACCTCGGCCAACCTCTACACGGCGGCCGCTGCGGCCGCGACGACCTCCTCCTCGGCCGTCGAGTCGTCGGCTACGTCCTCGTCATCGAGCGCGAGCGAGATGTCGTCCGGCGCGTCGAGCGCGTCGGGCTCGTCGTCGAGGTCGGACTCTGCGTCGGGCACTGCCCCCTCGGCGACCGGTTCGACCGGCGGCAACGCGGCCGCGCAGGGCGGCAACTCGGGCGCCGAGGGCCTCAAGGTGGCGGGCGTCATGGCGGCAGGTGTCGCCGGCCTCATCGGCGCGCTCGTCGCGCTCTGAGCGACATCTCTCTTTTCCTTTCGCCTCGTACCCCTCGCATTGTCCGCCCCACCCGTTCTCTCATAGCGTTGTCGCACTCTTTCCCCCATCCTTTCCCCCTCCTACGCGTCTCGCTTTCTCCTCGCCCTCGCACAGACACTCGAGCCTCGAGCTCCGTAGCATGTCCCTCTCTTTACCTTAGTCTCCCTGGATTTCACCTCTCGTTCGCTCTTTCTCCTTCGTCGAGCTCTTACGAGATTTTCGAGAGTGAGAGCCGAGCCGCTGCGCGCGCGAGAATCGTAGAGCTGGCGGAACGACGCTTTGCGAGCATCGAGCGAAGGACCTGTGTGCGTGCTCCAGCAAGACGGAGGATCGCTCGCTTAGACCTCTCGCAGTCTTTTGAGGCCCGACAAGGTCACCGAGGCCGCCGCTGCGCGAGGGCTCGTGCGCGTACGAGGCAGTGCGACGAGGAGCTTCGACTTGAGAAGGTCACTTTGCTCGACAGTTTGCAGGCGTAGGAAGCGCCAAGCGGGCACGCTCGCGTCTCTGAACGTCAAGCAGCAGTCAAGCAGAAGCTTCTCGACGAGAGCTCGGTCGGTACGAGCCTTGAACCGAGGCTCAAACTCTCGCTTCGCTCGGACTCGCTTTCGTCGACGTGCACCGCCGCGAACGCCTCTGCGACGTTGCCGGCTCGACATCGTCCGTGTACCTCGAGAGAGGAGCGGGCAGAAGGCGGAAAGCGGGTCAAAGTAGCGGCGCCGAGCGTGTAGCGGTTCGTGCGCCTTGCGGTCGGTCTCGCCCGCAGGATCGTGCACGGACACCTGCGCGCCAGCTCGTACTGAGCTGCTCCTGCTCGAGCGCCCGTCTCGACAGCTCGAGCTCGGTTGACAGCACTGCCGACGACCAAAGCTGGCGAGGAGCACGCGACGTCGACGCTCGCGCTCGACCCTCAGGCAGCGGCGTTCTCTCGCTCTCCCTCCGCGCCTCGTCCTGCTCGCTCGTCAAGCGCCGCTCGTCCTGAGCATGCAAGGTTGGACGACTCGCACAAGAGCCAGCGCAGCGCTGCCTCGCGTCTCTCGCAGCAGTCGCGCCGCTCCCTCTCGCAGTGGCGCCGCTCGATCCTCTTTTGCCGTCGAGCATGGCCGGCAGGTCGGCTGAAAGACCCGGCCGCTGCAGTACTCGCTCGTGCGCACGCAGATGACGAGCGGCAGAGGCGAGCGCACGTGAAAGGGGCCGTGAGCAGCTGCGCGTCGACGAAGTCTGGGCGATTGTCCGGCGAAATGAGAGTGACGCTACGAGAGCGTGCGGACGACAGCGCGCAAGGGCCAGCAATCGCTGCGGCAAGCCTGTCTCGGTTTAGGCGAGAAAAGGCCGGGGTAGAAGGGGTCGAGGACGAGGAGGCTGTCAGGCGCGACAGCCGGGAACTTCTCACGCTCTGCCCTCACTCGCTCATCGCCTGCACCACCAGCCCTTGCAGCAGGGCACAAACAGCACCCACCATGGCGTCCACCGGCAACCTGGAGAACCAGGATGTCAGTGAGTCGCCCCTCTCTCTCGCTCTCACCCGCCCCCTCCTCGTCCGCTCGAACTCGAGGCGCTAACTCACCACCTCGTCCACGCCTACAGCCAACAAGTCGGTGCGTGTGCCCGGACCTTCTCCTTCCACGCCCGCGTGTGCCCCCGCCGGTCGAGGGCGACGAGCACTGACGCTGGCTTCGCCGGCATCCATCAACAGACGCAGACCTTCATCACCGCCCTCGTGACGGGCTTGATCATCGCAGGAGCCGAGGTGAGCACTCTCTTTGCATCCTCTCGGGCATCTCAGAGCGGGTCGCCGAGCGCAGGAGCTTACCCTCGCACCCTCCCCCCGCAGCTCCTCGCCTTCGTCATCCTCAAGAACCGCTTCCGCCAGATCTACAACCCGCGGTCGTACCGTGTCCCTCCCAGGTGCGTCCTCAACCTCCCTCTTGCACCCTTGCATCAAGCTCAGGGCAGGGCGGGCAGCCGCTCGCACGGCTCGACCCTCTCTTTCGTCCCTCGCACGGGCGCACCGCCTTCACTCGACATTGCTGACCCTGCCCACCCTGTCCACAGGCAGCGTGTCGACCCTCTTCCGCGCTCGTTCCTGGGATGGATACCGCACGTCATCCGCACACCGGCCAAGGAGATCATGCACAAGAACGGCCTCGACGCCTACGTCTTTGTCCGCTTCCTCTTCCTCATGATGGAGATCTTCCTTCCCTTGTACGTCCCCTTGTCCACCTCCTCGTCGCCGAGAGCCGTCGCGCAAAGAGGCCGCATGTTCACCTCGTCCCTCTCGGAACGTGCAGCATGGCCGTCACCTGGATCATCCTCCTCCCGGTCGACGCCGCCGGGTCCAAGGGCACGCAGACGGGCATCACGCGCTTCACGTTCGGCAACGTCGGCCTGTCGGAGCAGCCCCGTTACGCCGCGCACCTCATCCTCACCTGGCTCCTCACCTTCTGGGTCTTCTACCTCATCAAGCGCGAGTACTCGACCTACATCGTCCTCCGCCAAGACTTCCTCATGTCCAAGGACCACACGCGCCTCGCCCAGTCCAAGACGGTCCTCGTCACGGGCGTCCCCAAGGAGTTCCTCAACCAGAGCAGCATGTCGAGGTTCTGCAGCGTCCTCCCCGGCGGCTCGAAGCGCATCTGGTTCGCCCGGTACGTCCTCGCGCTCTCTTTCTCCGTACTCGTCGAGCGAGTACGCGTCACTGACCCAGCCTCGTCCGTACGCAGCGACCTCAAGGAGCTCCCCGACCTGTACGACCGCCGCGAGAAGGCGTGCAAGAAGCTCGAGAGCGCCGAGACCAAGCTCCTCAAGCTCGCGACCAAGCAGATCGCCAAGAACAAGAAGAAGAACCTGTCGTCGCCAGAGCTCGACGCCGAGGCGAGCAAGGGCGAGATTACGCGTTACGTCCCCAAGAAGAAGCGCCCGACGCACAAGCTCGGCCTGCTCGGCCTGTTCGGCAAGAAGGTCGACACGATCGACTGGGCGCGCGAGGAGATTGCGACGACCACCAAGGAGCTCGACGCCGAGCGCGAGATCCTCCTCGGCAGCAACGGCTCGGCCAAGTACCCGCCCGAGTCGTCCGCCTTCATCCAGTTCCACACGCAGATGGCGGCCCACATGTTCGCCCAGTACGTCCCCTCTTTCTCTCTTTCTCGTGCCTCGCCCCGTCGAGCGCGCCTCGGCGACGCTAGCCGGCCCAACTGACCCCTGCGTCCCTCCCTCGCGCAGGTGCCTCAACCACCACGCGCCGCTCCGCATGTCGGCTCGCTACCTCGAGGTCGCGCAGGACGACGTCATCTGGGGCAACCTCAACATCAACCCGTACCAGCAGCGTGCGCGTTACGCCATCTCGTGGGCCATGACGATCGGCCTCATCATCTTGTGGTCGTTCCCGGGTGCGCCTCTCCTCGCGCTCTCTCAGTCGCCCTACCGCAGCATTCTGACTCGAAACTCGTCGCACAGTGGCTTTCGTCGGCCTCATCTCGAACGTGAGCGCGCTGTGTCAGCAGGCCTCGTGGCTCGCGTGGCTCTGCACCCTACCGGTCCGTGCGTCACCTACTCTCTCTCCCTCTCTTCCTCTCCTCCTTGCGTCGCACGAACCGACTCTTCTCCCGCTCGCAGCGATCAACGGCATCATCCAGGGCTCGCTCCCGCCCATCGCGCTCGCCGTGCTCTTCATCCTCCTGCCGATCGTCCTGCGCCGTGCGTCCCCTTTTCCCGCACCCTCGAGCGTCCCGAGAGTGTCGCCCTGACGCTTTCTCTCCTTTACGGCGACAGTGTTTGCGCGCTTCGAGGGCATCCCTCTGCGCACCGGCATCGAGCTGTCGCTCATGACGCGGTACTTCCTGTTCCAGGTCATCCACGGTTTCCTCATCGTCACGCTCGCGTCTGGCCTCGTCAACGCCATCCCCGACATCGTCAACAACCCGTCGAGCGCCGTCACCCTCCTGGCGACCCAGCTCCCCGCCGCCTCGACCTTCTTCCTCACGTACTTCGTCACGACCTCGTTCGCCGGCGCCGCCGGTTCGCTCCTCCAGATCGCCAAGCTCGTCGTCTACTACGTCAAGCTCGTCCTCCTCGGCTCGACGCCTCGGTCCGTGTTCAACATCAAGTACTCGATGGCGACCGTCGCCTGGGGCACGCTCGTGCGTCCCTCTTCCTCTCTCTCTCTCGCTCGAGCACAGCCCCTGACTCGCGCTCTCTCTCCCTCGCAGTGGCCCTCGATGACCCTCCTCACCGTCATCGGCCTCACGTACTCGGTCATCGCGCCGCTCGTGTGCGGCTTTGCGTTCGTCGCGTTCGCGCTCTTCTGGTTCGTGTACAAGGTGCGCTCGACCCATCCGGATCCGCCTGTGTCGCGTCGAGCCCCGACTCACCTGCCTTCCCCTGCGCAGTACCTGTTCCTCCTCGTCATCGACACGCCGCCAGCGACCGAGACGGGCGGCCGCTTCTACCCCAAGGCGATCACGCACATCTTTGTCGGGCTCTACATCGAGGAGCTGTGCCTGTGCGGCCTGTTCTTCCTCGCGCAGAACGAGAACGGCAAGCAGTCGGCCATTCCCGAGGGCGCCATCATGGTCGTCCTGATCGTCATCACGGCGCTGTACCACATCATCCTCATCAAGGGCTACCACCCGCTCGTCGACTACCTCCCGCTCTCGGTCGCGCCCAAGGTCGCCGAGCAGCAGGGCCTCACCAACGGGTACCCGGCCAACAACGCGACCGGCCTCGAGAACGGCGAGGCGCCCGCTCTCGGCACGACCTCGAGGACGACGCCTCGCGAGAAGGAGCAGTCGAGTGCGTCCCTCCTTCCGCCTCTCTTCTCTTACCTGCCCGCGACCACCAGCACCTGACCCTCGCCGCCGCACGTCCGCAGCGTTCCCGCCCCCTGCGCGCTCGTCGTTCGAGGACCACCGCAAGCCCCTGCGCGAGGTCGAGTCGAACCGCACCGACCAGGACAACAACACGCTCCCCGGCGACGAGCACCTCGACGTCAACGCGTTCGACCACCCGGCCATCTACAAGGACTACCCGACCGTGTGGATCCCCAAGGACCCGGCGGGCCTGTACCGCGACGAGCTCGAGGGCTCGCAGGCGGCCGGCGTCGACATTTCGGCCGAGGGCGCGCACATGGACGAGAAGGCCAAGGTCGACATTGACCGCTCGCCGCCCGACGAGGAGTGGGACGACTCGCAGGATATCTGAGCGCCGCTCGCCGTCCTTGCTACCTGCCTCGCTTCGAAGCCTTCCCCTCGTCTTGCTCTCTCTCCCCTCGTCCCCATTTCCCTCGTCCACATCTCTACTATACCAACTGCGCCTTTGGTTGTAGTCACTGCGTCGTCGCTGCTGAATCTTAGCCGTTAATCGTCTCGAGCCTTCGTCGGCGTCGTGCGCGCGTCCCGCCGCCTGTCCTGCCCCTCTCGCTGTCTCTTTCTCCCGGAACCGAGAGAGAGATGCATTGCGAGCACGGCGAGCTCAACGAGAGAGCGTGCACGACGAGCGCTCGAGAGCAATGCGACCGTGCGCGGCAGGCGGCGGGTCCACCTTCCCAAGCCGTCGACCTCAGACAGCTCTCTCTCTCGTTCTCGACCGAGATAAGCAGGACGCAATCGTCTGCGTCTGCTGCCTGTGGAAGGTGCTCACGCTCCGCGAGCGCCCCTGGCGCACCCAGGCCCTCGTCGCCCGTCCCGCCTCCCCCATCTCGGAGCCTCGGGCTCAAAAGCCTGACGACGGCCGCCAGGACAAGGGGGCGGCTCCGCGTGCGTCGACCGCGGCCTCGCAGGCGATCCAAGCCCACTCGTCGCGCTCCTCGGCGAACCTGCTCGAGTCGTAGCGAGCGACGGTCGGCCTCGCCTCCTCCCCCTTCCCTCGTCCTCCTCCGCCCCGGTCGCCTCTCGTACCAGCACTCTGCGCACTCGCACTGCCAGCAGCACCCGCACATCGGTCCACCGCCCGCGCCCGCCTCTCGAGCGACGACCCGCCGGCCGCGACAGCCTTCCCCTCCCTCGACCTCCTCCCGGCTCTCCGCTTCGCCAGACGCTCAGCATGGCCACCGTCGCCCCGCCTCGAGGCGACTTCTACGCCTTCTCGAACCCGTTCGCTCAAGGCGCACCCGTCCAGCCCGTCGTCTTCAGCAAGGGCAAGGGCTCCTCCGGCCAGCACCACCACCTCGAGCAGGACGACGGCCTCGCCATCAACTACGAGCACCTCGACGACCGGCCGTCGTACCGTCCAGACGTGCAACTCGACCGGGACCAGGTCCGTCGCACTTCTCTCTCCTTCCTGGTCTCGCAGACGAGGGTGCAGAGACTGACTCTCCCCACCTCGTGCGCCTCGCAGACCGCCGCGCCGCACCACAAGCGCATCTCGGACTCGCCGCAAACCCGCATGGAGCGCGTCGACAGCTTGTTCGACGTCTACGCCGAACTGTACGCCGCCGACGACGCGAGCGAGCAGTACGTCGACGAGGAGGAGGCGCTCGGCGAGCTGCAGCGCGGCTCGAGCGGGTGGGGCGCACAGCCTCACGTCGTGCCCCAGTCGCCGCTCGAGGAGGAGGAGGGCGAGGGGGCGGCCGAGGACGACGAGCCGGCGCAGCCGTGGGACGAGCGCGGCAAGACGGGCCTGTACGGCGGCGGAGGACGCGGCGCCGACGATCGCGAGACGGGCTGGGTCAGCGACTACACGTTCGCCCTGCTGGCGCCTGCCTCGGGTCAGGAGGAGGACTTGCGGTTCGACGCCGACGAGCCCGACCACGGCGACACGCAGCAGGGCCGCCAGTTCTCGTCGCGCTCGACCCAGGGCTTCCATCCCGACGATCAGCCACGCCGCGACTCGCTCGAGACGGCCCCGTCGTCCAAAGGCCCGGCGACGCCGCCAGATGTCGGCAGCACCGCCACGGCTACGCCGGCTTCGGCGCGCGAGAACGTCCGTCCCTCCCACCCCTCATCCTCCTTCTCGACGCCGCCCATCCACACCGTCGACGCCGCCCGCATCAAGAAGAGCAACCTGAGCCCGAGGATCCCGACGCCGTCGGCGCCGATGCAGGCCGGCCGCGTTGCGGGTCCGCTCGACCGCTCGGCGCGCCCGCGCCCAAAGGCGACCGGCTTCAAGTGGCCCGCTCGCGCCAAGAAGCCGCCCACGATCTCGGCGCCCATCCTGCCCGAGGGCTTCGTCGAGTCGCTCGGCATGGAGACGTTCCCGCTGTACCCGGGCGCCAAGGTGCCGCACCGCGCGAGCATCTCGGCCTCGGCGGACAAGACGCGCACGTCGCTGCGCGAGGCGACGTCGCCCAACCCGCAGCAGCAGCAGCAGCGCGCCGCGCCGACGAGGAAGGCGGCACCGCCCGTCTCGCGCACGCCGCCTCGAGCCGTCCCCGCACCCGCAGCAGAGCACGAGCGGGGCAGCAGCACGCTCGTCCGCGCCGCCTCGACCTCGCCGCCGCCGCCTCGCCTGGACGCCGTCCGCGAGGAAGGCGACGCGCTGTCGGCGAGCGAGACGGCGACCGTCAAGCGCGCCCAGCACGAGCGCTCGGCGTCGAACATGACGGCGGGCAGCGGGTTCCGCGACCCGTGGTCGGCGGCGCCGGCGAGCGTCGGCTCGAGCTCGTCGGTGCACTCGCAGCAGACGAGGAGGGTGCACCGGGGCAGCTCGTACCAGGGCGGCAGCGCTCGCGCCTCGGTCGCGAGCACCGTCGGCGGCTTCGACCCGCGTCACTTTGGCTCGGCGGCGCCTGTCCCGGTCCCGCACCAGTACTCGCCCGTCGACGCGTCGTCCGGCTCGCCTGGTCCGACGTCCCCCGTCATGCCCGGCGTTCGCCACGACTCGCTCTCGTCGCACTACTCGGAGGTGTCCGAGGCGCAGGAGCACCCCGCCATCCTCGCCTCGTCGGCCGCGCCGTCCGACGCCTTCCGCCAGGACTTTACGCCGTTCAGCACGACGGCGCACCTGCGCGGCGCGAGCGCAGCAACGCTCGGCTCGACGACGCGCGGCGCTCGACCGTTCACGCCGACGCGGCCGCTCAACGTCCATCGGCGCACGTCGAGCACGATCCACCCCGGCGCCGGCGGCTCAGGCGACGAGTCGAAGCGGAGCACGCTCGCCGGCGACGTCGTCTGGGGCGGCGTCGGCGTCGGCGGGCCGAGGGACGTCTCGACGCCCGTCCAGAGCAGCTCCGGGTCGCCGTTCGCTCGCGCAGCGTCGCCGTTCGCGCAGCACGCGCCGACGATCGGTACGACGGGCTTCAGGAACCCGTTCGGCTGAGGGAGGGAATGCGGTGTCGCGAGGCGGTCGAGCTGGATCGGTCGGGAGAAGTCGGGGTCGCTGGACGACCAGAGCCTGAAGGGCACCATCTACAGCTGTATCTCTTCCGTGCCTTGTATCCGCAACGAGCATGTTTCATTCTCTTTCGTCTGACGCGAGGACTCGAGCGAGACGGTGCCCTCGTCGCCCTTGCGAAGGTCGTCCGCTGCTTTGCCGACTTGGTCTCGCCCACACACAGAGAGGCTCTCTCTCGTTCTCTCTCTCTGCTCCCTGGCTACGCTTCGCTGTCGCTACGAGCAGGCCCGCCAACGCTGCGCCGATCCTGCGGGTTTGTCCAGCGTCGCGACCACAAGCGCTCGAGCCGGTCCGAGAACAGTCGCCCACCGAGCGGCTCGAGCAGCGAGCCGATCCGCCGCCGAGCGTGCGCAGGTCATGCTGAACCCGATCCGGTGGACGGGACCGTCGACGAGAGCCAGGGCGGGATGACGAGCGTCAAGTTCTTTAGAGAGAGGGTCGGGGCGTCGTGCAAGGCGACGCAGGCGCTCGAGTCGACGACGGTCGCAGCGAGCAGACGAGGCTCGACATCAGAGCCTTGTGTAGCAGAGCGATTGGGAAAGGCACGGGTACATCGAGCGCGAGCGCCTCGTCCAGCTAGTGTGCGAGCTGCTCGGTGCGAGGAGAGCGCGCATGACGTCGCGCGAAGGGGGAGCGGCTGCTGTGCGCCACGCAGGTGACGACGAGAAGCTGCAGACGAGCGCCAAGCGGAGGCAGAAGCAGATCGAAAGGCTCGGAGGCTCGCAGTTGCAGCTCGACGAGGAGGACGAGGGACGACGACGGTGCGAGCACGAGCACAGGGGTGCGCGGGGCCTCGGCGAGACCGGCCGGCAGGCGAGCAGCAGTCCTGAGAGCAAGCGTGCGCGAGGCGAGTGGGTGGGAGAGGAGGAGGAGGCCTCGTCTCGCTGGCGACGACGACGAGAACTAACGAGACGAGCTCGACCGCCTCGCCCTCGCTCCCAACCACCCGAGTGCTCCCGTGCCTTGCACTCAGCAAGCACCTGCCACCTCTCGCAGCAGCCTCACGCCACCCGGACCGCCCGAGCGCGCACCCCGGCCTCGCCCGTCCACCGCTCGACCGCCTAATCTGCGTGTCGCTCCCTCGGCCCAGCCCTCTCCAGCCACTCAGCCGCGTGAGTCCCCCGTCGAACTTGCCCTGTCCCCTCCCTCGAGTCGCTCGAGGCGCGTTGCACGTCCCGGCGAGCCGCACACGGCGACCGCGAGCGAGGGCTGCTGCCACCTCGGACGGTCAACAGCGACTCGGGCCTCTCGCACACGAGCGAGGCGCACAGCGAGCACAGCAGGACACTCACTGACCTCTGCACTCGTCCCACCACGCCCATCGCCTCCCCCGTGTGCAGCTCGTCCTCGTCTCGCGCGTCGCCCACCGCCTCCCCCCGCGCTCCACCCACTCGCCGCCTCCCGACCAGCACCATGGCAGCAGAAGGCCAGGACATCGACCTCGACTCGATCATCGACCGCCTCCTCGAAGGTGAGCACCCTCTTCCGCCCTCCACAGCGCGTCGACGTCGCCGTCGGCCCACCCCCTTCCTCCTCGGCCCGGGGGAGCTCTCGGCGCGCGCGCTCCCACAACGGCGCACGGCTCTTCGCGTCACGTCGAGAGCCCCTCGGACGAGCTCTTCGGAGCACTCGCTCGAGCCGGCACCTCGGCGGGCCCTGCGCGAGCGCACGACGCGTCGATTGGAGGGTGCAGCTGCCTCGCCGGCGTGATGGCGTGGCCTGACGCGCCCGCTACCTCGTCTTTGTTGCGCCGGTCGTCGAGTTGCCAAGCTGGACAGCTCGGCCGACGCAAGAGGCGCGGCCTCGTGCGACGCGAGGAGCAGCGGCCGCCTGCCACATCTCGCCGACCCTGTCACTGACCCTCTCGGTCCTCCCCTCTCGCAGTTCGAGGCAACCGCCCCGGCAAGCAGGTCCAGCTCCAGGAGTACGAGATCAAGTTCCTGTGCACCAAGGCGCGCGAGATCTTCATCAACCAACCCATCCTCCTCGAGCTCGAGGCGCCCATCAAGATCTGCGGTGCGTCCCGCTGTCTCTCTCCCTCTCGACGGTCCTCGACCTCGTACTGACAACGCCCACGTGTGCAAAAGGCGACATCCACGGCCAGTACTACGACCTCCTGCGCCTGTTCGAGTACGGCGGCTTCCCGCCCGAAGCCAACTACCTGTTCCTCGGCGACTACGTCGACCGGGGCAAGCAGTCGCTCGAGACCATCTGCCTCCTCCTCGCGTACAAGATCAAGTACCCGGAGAACTTCTTCATCCTGCGCGGCAACCACGAGTGCGCGTCCATCAACCGCATCTACGGCTTCTACGACGAGTGTACGTCCCTCTTTCTCTTCCTGCACGTGGCACGCACTCACATCACGCGCGCTCGCAGGCAAGCGGCGGTACAACATCAAGCTGTGGAAGACGTTCACCGACTGCTTCAACTGCCTGCCGATCGCCGCCATCATCGACGAGAAGATCTTCACCATGCACGGCGGCCTGAGCCCCGACTTGCAGAGCATGGAGCAGATCAGGAGGGTCATGCGGCCAACCGACGTTCCCGACACGGGTGCGCCCTCTCTCTCTGTCTCTGTCCCTCGTCCACCTCAGGTTCGGGACTGACTCTCTCTCTCGTCCACGTGCAACAGGCCTTCTCTGCGACCTCCTGTGGTCCGACCCGGACAAGGACATCACGGGCTGGAGCGAGAATGACCGCGGCGTGTCGTTCACCTTTGGGCCAGACGTCGTCTCGAGGTTCCTCCAGAAGCACGACATGGACCTCATCTGCCGTGCGCACCAGGTCGTCGAGGACGGCTACGAGTTCTTCGCCAAGCGCCAGCTCGTCACGCTCTTCTCGGCACCGAATTACTGCGGTCCGTCGCCTCGTTCTCCCTCCCTCATGCGTGCCACGGCCGAGCGAGCTCCGACAACTGACTCTGCGTTCGACGATACAGGCGAGTTCGACAACGCGGGCGCGATGATGAGCGTGGACGAGACGCTCTTGTGCTCTTTCCAGGTGCGTCCCTCTCTCCCTCTTCTCCTTCCTGCCCAACTCGTGGTTCCTCTCGCTCACGTTTTCTCTCCCCGCCTCGGTCTCTCAGATCCTCAAGCCGGCCGAGAAGAAGAAGACGTTCGCGTACGGCGGCGCGGGTCAGGGCCGGCCGGTCACGCCGCCTCGCAAGGCCAAGGGCGGCAAGAAGTAGAGCCCCCCATCGACACCCTCGCCCTCGCCTCGCACCTCTACGCCTTCCTCGACCCACCCTATCGCCCTCTCCCTCTTCTCGCCTTTCTCTCGGCACGATCACGACCTCGGACGACGCGCTGTACCCTCCCCTTCTCCCCTCTTCACCCTTTTCACCCTTCCATCTCGACCGTCATGCGCTCGCCGGCCAACGGCTTCACTCTCCGATGTGCCCGAGCGACGACGCGACCTCACGTCGAGTGCCGACAATGGCGCAGGCGGACGCTCGAGGCCGTTCCCCTCCCGCTCAGTGCCCCTCCTCCTTCCTCCTCTCCAGTTCCAGCATCCGCTCCCCTTTAGTTAGCTGTTCCCCATCCCCTTTTAGCCGTCCGTCTTGCTCTCTCCCCTCCTCGCTCGATATCCCGCTCCCCCCTCTCCCCTCCTCGTCGCCTTTTCGCCTTCTCGCTCGCGCCCCGACCTCCTCTTTTTCTCCCTCTCCCTCTCTGCGTCGTCCAAAAGTCCCTCCCGTTTCCGGTGTATTCCTACCTCGCGCTTCCCTCGACATCGGTGCTCTGCGCGAGAGACGAGAGAGGAAGAGAGAGAGAGAAAGAACGAGAGGAACGTGATTGCAACAACAAGGGGAGGAGGAACGACAGGGAGCGCGACGACGGGGAGCGACAAAGAGGCCGAGCAACCTTGCTACGAGTTGACCTGCTGGTACACCTCCCAGTACGCCTGCGACCGAGGGGAGAGAGAGAGTCAGTACGCGGCGAGGAGGAAGAGGACGAAAAGGAGGAGAGGGACGCACGCTGTACTCGTCGGCCGTCTGCGAGAGAGGGAGGACACGAGTCAGTCGACCTGTGCATCTCGACCGAGGGAGAGAGAGGGCGAGAGAGAGAAAGGGGAGCGCACCATGTCGCCCGTCATGTCCTCGGTCACCTTCGAGAACGGCATCTCCTTGCCGTTGACCATGATGAGCTGGTTCGGGTCGCCGCCGCCTTCTCCACCCTCGTCGAGGTCAAACTCGTCGTCGTCCTCCCCCTCCTCCTCCTCCTGAACGAGCGCTCCGTCGCCCTGGTCGCCCGTCGCCGCGAGCCCATCGCCCGCACGGTCCTCGTCGTCACGCCGGACCCGCTTGCTCGACGCTGCGCCCAGCTCGTCCTCGTCCTCGCCCTCGCCCTCGCGCTCCCTCTTGCCTGATGTAGCCGCCGCTGCAGCGCCAGGCGTGCCCTCGTCCGCCTCCTCGAGCCCGAGGTCCCGCTCCTCGGACGTCCCTGCTCGCGCCCCCGCCACGTCCCGACCCGGCGAGTCGAGCAGCGGGCTACCCTCGAGGTCGTCGTCGTCGCCGTAGCCGTCGTCGCCGTCGAGCGCCGGCGTCGCCTCGCCGCTCGCGCCCTGCGCCGCCCCGCCCGCCGCGCCGCTCTCGAGGCTCGCGTAGTACGCGTCGAGGTCGGCGTCGCCCGTCGCTCCTGCGCCGGCTGGGTCCGACCCTGCGTGCGCGCCGCCGCCGGCGAGGACGGGCTTGCGGTCGCCGCCGTCGCCCATGCGCAGCGTCGCGCCGCCGACGCGCGCCGCGCTCGACGCGCCCTGGACGCCGTCGCGCGCTTCGCCGGGCGCAGCTTCTCGCTCGCCCGCGCCCGCTCCTGCTCCTGCTCCTGCGACCGCGTGGGCCTGCTCGGGCGCGCTCGAGATGGTCGACTGGGCGATCCAGCTCGGGAGCGCGTTTTGGTTGCGCTTGTCCTCGATCTCCTGGGCGCGGCGGCGCAGCTCGTTGGCCTCGTCGTCGTCGCCGGCGATCTGGACCGTGACGACGGCGGCTTGGGCCGGGAGCGACCCGCTCGCCGAGGCGGCGGCGTGAGCGGTCGCGCCGAGTGCCGGGCCGTGGATGGCGAGGTACGACTCGATGTTGAAGCTGCAGGTAGTGGGCAGGCACGTCGACGTGAGTGAGAGAGATCGACGAGAGGAGGGCAAGGGCGAGAGACGCGACGAGGGAAGCGAAAGAGGGGACGGACCGAGGGAGCGTCACCTTGTCCATCTTTTTGAGCAGGTCGACGATGCCCTTGGTCTGGACGATGAGGCGCTGCATGCGGTCCTTATTGCCGCGCACGTCGTCCTCGTTCTCCTTGTTGGTCACCTCGGTGTGGCACACGCTGCACCGCAACAGGTTGGTGGTCGGGTCGAACAGGGTCGCCGCGTCGAGGTGCGAGTAGGACGCCTTGCACAGCGGGCACACGTAGCCTTGTGCGTCGAGCTCCTGCGCATGCATGTCGGCGACGATAGAGGGAGAGTCAGTGCCGGGCCTCGAGCGCCTCGTCGCACGCCGCAAGAGACGAGGGAGGGGACGGACGTTGCGCAGCTTGACGTCGATCGTCTGCTGGATGCGCCACATGCGCCACTTGATGACGTCGGTCGCCTTGCTGTAGTCGAGAAAGTAGTAGGCGCGCTGCTGGGCCTTCATCATGCCGTTGTCGCGCATCTCGGACCGGCGGTGACTGCGGCGCGCGCGAGGACGGGTCAGGCCGCGCGACGAGACAGAGAGGGAGGGACAAGTGGGGGCGCACACTTGGACGACCTGGTCCTCGACGAGGCGGTGGGCGATCTTGGTAATGTCCTTGATCTGCATGCCGAGGCGACGGGCGATTTCCTCGTCGCGGAAGCTGGAGGCGACAGGTGCGAGAAGAGGCGAGAGGCGCGGTAGAACAATGGCGCGGGAAGTGGACGGCGAACGAGTCAGTGTCGTCGATGTAGGGGTGGTGGCGTCGACGCACGGCGGACAGGCGAGGGGGGAGGAACAAGATGAGGAGGAGGAGGAGGAGGAGGAGGGGAGGGGAGGGGGAGCTCACCATTCTCGCTGCACGAGCTGGTCGACGAGGATGGCGGCGCGGTTTCCGTAGAAGGTACGGGCGATCTTCTGCACGAGGAGCTTTGCCGTGTCGAGGCCGTGCGAGGTGGACGCGGTTGAGGACGAGGCGGCAGGCGGTGCAGCCGAGGCCATGTCGGAGTGCCGGGGTTGCTCGCGGTCGGGGTACAGCTGCAGACGGGTCCAGCGAGGGACTGCCTGGACGTCTCTAAGCAGCCAGGGCTCCGAGGTGACGAGCGAGAGCCAACTCGTCGAGCCGACCACTCTGAGGAGCAGCTCTCGCTCGCTGCAACGCTCTGCTTGGCTGGACCCGACCCTAGACTCGCCTTGGACTAGACAGTGAGTCGCTCTCGCCCCGCCCCTGCCCCTCCCGTAGCCCTCGCCTCTCCCCCTTCCCCCCTCCACCCCCCGCCGCCCGCTCATCGCCTTGGTCCGACTCGGCGACCGGCACACCTCGTCACTCGGCCGTGGACGCCTACTCGACTCGCCAAGGCACGCAGCACCCACTCGCACACCCTCGTCGCACACCCCACCGGCCTCCCGCCGTCGACTCACACTCGTCGCACAGGCCACCTCGCCCCTCGCCCCGACCGACCTCCCTCGGCTCAGCTTCGCACTCGCGCACGCCCACACACCAACTCTTGCGCGACTCGCACCGCACCAGGACGCACAACTGACCCTACCCCCTTCCCCCTCTTCCGCCAGCCATGGCCGCCGACCTTCCTCACGCCTCGGCGCCCTTCATCATCTTCTCCGACTTTGACGGCACCATCACCACCAGGGTGAGCACACCTCTCTCTGGTGCCACTCTCTCCCGCTCCGCTGACCTGCAGCTCACCCGCCTCCCTCGCGCAGGACTCGAACGACACGGCGACCGACGAGGTCCGTCCCCTCTCGCTCCCCTCCCTCTCGTCCAACCCGCGCTGACCTGACCTGTCCTCGCCATGCAGCTCGGCTTTGGTGTCGCTCGCCGCCGCGAGCTCAACGTCGAGATCCTCAATGGCCAAAAGAGCTTCCGGTGCGCCCCCTCCTCTTCTCACCTGCCCCTTCCTTGCAGCAGCAGGCTCACCCTGCGCCTCTACTCTGCCCGCAGCGACGCGTTCGCCGAGATGCTCGCGAGCGTGTACGACGCCGGCCACAAGTTTGACGCCGTCAAGGACTACCTCGTCAAGCGTGCGTCGCCCTCGCTTCCGTGCGGCCTCTCGCCGGCTACAAGCCGATGCGAGGGTGCTGCGTGCTGAGCGCGGGTCACTCACTCACTCCTGTGTACCCAGACATCACGCTCGACACGGGCTTCAAGGCGTGCTTCGACTGGTGCAAGACCAACAACGTCCCGCTCGTCATCGTCTCGTCGGGCATGAAGCCCATCATCGAGGCCATCCTCGCCAACCTGATCGGCGCCGACGATGCAGCCAAGATCGACATCATCGCCAACGACGTCGACATTGCGGCCGACGGCAGCTGGAAGATCGTGTACCGCCACCCGGAGAGCCACTTCGGTCACGACAAGAGCCGCGCGACGGCACCCTACCGCGACCTCGCCCACAAGCCGACCTTGTTCTTCTGCGGCGACGGCGTGTCGGACCTGTCGGCCGCCAAGGCGTCCGACCTGCTCTTTGTCAAGGTCATCGAGGGGTGCGTCCCCCTCTCGCTCTCGCTCTCGCTCTCTTTCTCGCCCCGGGACCCGCCCTGACCCCGGTCGCCTCGTCTCGCAGCCACACGAACGACCTGGCGGTGCACTGCGACCGGGAGAAGATCCCCTACGTCGCGTTCAGCAACGTGAGCCCTTCTCGTCCTCCTCCTCGTCCTCCTCCTCGTCCTCCTCCTTCCTGCCTGTCCTCAAGCGCGCGCTCACATCCTCTCCCCCTACCTCCTCGCCCTTGTCGCAGTTTGAGCAGGTTAGGGACGTCGTTGCGCGCGTCGTCGACGGCAAGGCGACGATTGAGCAGGAGCTCGCCGCCGGCAAGCAGTAGAGCCCGCGGTCCCTCCCTCTCTCCCTCGTCGATGTCTATATCACTGTCCTGCATGTTCTCGCGAGTGAGAGAGGCTCGAGAGCAGTGAGCGTCAGAGATCCGCACCGCTGGCCGAATTTGGTCTCATCTCGCACGGAGCGGCGGGCGGAGTACTGTCGAGGGAGAGAAGAGGCGAGGGCCGCTGTCGTTCTTCTCCCCGCCGCTCTACCGATGAGCTACTGTCCGCCGCCAGACGGGCACCCGCTCGCGTCACTCTCTGCAGCAGCCGCCGCTGCGCACTCGCGGTCCAACAACGGCGGCGGGTTGTCGCTCGCCGCCGGCTCGACTTCATCGCCCGCCTTTGCCCCGTCGTCCAGCATGCCCCACATTGGGTCGAGCACGGGCGCACCACCACATCCGCCCCACCACCCGCACCCCTACCTCGCCGGGCACCACTCCCTCACGCACAGCCCCGAGTCGACCACCTCGCCCGAGCACCACCACCACCAGGCCGGCGGCGTCAAGCGCAGGAGGGCCGACATGGACGGCGGCGAGAGCCCCGGGACTGCGCACGGCGGTGCGGGCGGCGGCAAGAAGAGCAAGAGCAAGACGGTCAGCTGCACCGAGTGCAAGGTGCGCTCCCGCTCTCTCGCTCTCTCCTGCGAGGTCGAACGGACGAGGACGAGACACTGACACCGCTTCTTGCCCTGCACGCAGCGGCGAAAGATCAAGGTGCGCCCGAACTGTTCCCGACTCGCTGTGACGCGCGAGCCTCACTGACCGCCTCCCTCCCCACCTCGCAGTGCGACCGCCGCGTGCGTCTCGACGTCCTCGCCGACCCTCTTGCAGCGCCGCAACTGACTCTTAGCCTCTGCAACAGATGCCCTGTCTCGCCTGCTGCAAACGCGGCGAGCCCGAGGCGTGCAAGTGGATCGAGGAGGCGGCCGCGCCCGCCGTCGACGTGCAGCCGTTTGCGCTCACGACCGACCTCGTGCGCCTCGCGGCGCGCCTCGAAGCCCTCGAGGCGTGGACGCAGGGCCTCCCGCCCGAGCTGAGGCGCGACGCGCCGAGGCCGGCGCCGTTCGTGCCCGAGGTGTACGGGAGCAAGGTCAAGCCGGTCGCGGCGGGCGGTGGCGCGAGGGACCGGGAGAAGGGGCATGGTGCGGGCAAGGGGAGCAGGAGCGGGACGGTCGATGTCGACGAGGACCAGCTCGACACGGCGGCGAGCAGGGAGGTCAGCGACGTGCGTCCATCTCTCACTCTCTCTTCGTCACCCTCCCCCACTCTCTTTCCTCCCCGCCATTCCCTCGATCTCGCTCGCCGTCGACCTTCCGCCGTCGTCACCGGACCGAGACTGACGCTCTCGCCTTCCCGTCTCGCAGACCGAGGACGCGGCCATCAAGCTCGAGTCGATGGCGTTCAACGCCCGCGCGCCCAACTCGCAGTACCGCCCGCAAGACAGCATCCCGTTCCTCGACACGACGGGCACGGCCGCCCCGAGCGCTCGCCCGGCGTCGGTCGCCTACCCGGCAGAGCTCACGGCCTGGCGCACGAGCATCGTCGCGCCGCCGCTCGTGTACGAGGGCCCGTGGAGCGCGTCGGCGATCGGCCTCGACTTTTGCTCGAACCTCGACGAGATGCGGGCCGCCAAGGAGCGCGCGCTCGGGTCCATGTGGCCGTTCATGCCCGACAAGGCCCTGTCGTTCAAGCTCGTGCGCGCCTACTTTGACGAGGTGCGCCCTCTTCCCCTCTCTCTCTCTCGCCTTGTGTCGACCTCGAACTGACTCTCTCGTATGCCTGCAGATCGACTGGCTCCACATGGTCCTGCATCGGCAAAGCTTCGAGGCCGAGCACGAGCGCGCGTGGGAGATGCTCGAGGCGGGACGCGGGAACGACATCGACCCGATGTGGCTCGCCTGCTACTTCATGGTGCGTCGCGCTGTCCTCTCTCCCTCGTCCTCGTCGCAGCCAGATGTGCAGAAGGAGCCACGAGCGCTCACCTCGCCCTCCTCGCCCGCAGGTCTGCGCCCTCGCCATCGACGGCCTGCGCTGCCAGGCGACCCAGCTCGTCCTCACGCCCGACGAGCGCAAGCGCTGCGTCACGCATACTTGGTTCGCCCTGTCGCAGCGACTGCTCCAGCTCGGCGACGGCACGGGTCGGCCCCAGGTCCGCTACATCCAGTGCGTCCCTCGCGCTCTCTCTTTTCCTTGCAGCCGACTCGAGCCTGACGAGCACGCACGCACCCAGGGCGACTATCCTGGTCGGACAGTGGCTGCAGACCTGCAGCGTCGGCGGGCAGGCGAGCCGCTTCCTGTCGCTCATGGCGACGGCCATCCGCACGGCTCAGGTGCGTCCCTCTCCTCCTCGCCCAGCATCTCGACTAGCGGGCTCACGCCTCTCTTTCCCCACGCAGCTCCTCGGCATCCACCGCCTGACCGACGACCCGCAAGTTATGCCGCCCGCCGACCCGGCGTGGCCGCCCAACGCCTGCTCGCTCCGGCGAGAGGTCGCTCTGCGCCTGTTTGGCCTCCTCAGCTTTCTCGACTGTGCGTCCCTCCCTCTCCTCTCCTCTATGCGCACGTCGTCGAGCGTTCACTGACTCGCCTCGTCCACAGTCATCAGCGCCTCGACTCGCTTGCGCTCGTACCTCCTCGACCCCGAGCAGTGTACGTCCTCGTCTCCTCTCAAGCTTCTCTCGGCCTGGACCTGACGTCGAGATCTCCGGCAGGCACTACGCCACCGTGCTCAAACGTCAACATGGACGAGCTGTCGATCACGACGTGCGACCTGCCCAAGCGCGGTCGCGACATCTACACCGACAGCAGCTTCGAGTTCGCCAAGTACCGCCTCGCTCGAGCGTGCGTCCGCTCCTGTTCCCTGTCTCGAGACTGTGCGTCGACCTGACCCGCATTGCCGTCCCCGAAACAGGTCGCGCGAGGTCGTCAACAAGCTCGTGTCGGACTCGACGACCTTTACGTACGATACGGTCGTCGCGCTCGACCGCAAGTACCGCGACGTGCTCCAGGACTGCTCGGTCGCGCGCATGAAGCGCGACATCTCGACGCGGTCGAGCCCGTCGCGCACGTGGAAGGAGGCCATCGCTGAGGAGGGCCTCCACTCGCGCCTCGTGCGGCTGCACCGCCCGTTCATGGCCAAGCACGCCTACTCGCGCTCGTCGTGCCTCGAGAGCGCCGAGAAGCTCATCCGCAGCCACGTCGTCATCACGGCGGCGACCAAGAACGTGCGCCCGCCACTCTCTCTCTCTCTCGTCCCTCGTCGGCGTCGTCGTCGAGCGTCCACCTGACCCGACTTTCCTCTCTACAGGTCTACTTCGTCTACTCGCACTGCCTCACCGCCTCGATCTGCCTCTTTGTCGACCTCTTTCAGTGCGTCCCGCTCTCGTCCCTCCCTCCTGCCGTCCTCGTCACTGACCCGCTCGCACACGCAGGTCGGTCGACCAGGACCTCGCCGAGCCCGAGGTCGACAAGAAGAAGGAGGTCCTCCTCATCGCGACCGACATCTTTAGCCGCGCCGACGAGATCTCGTCGCCGTCGCTGCGCCAGATCGTCGTCATGGGCAGCAAGATCCTCGGCGGCCTGTTCGCCGCTCTCGAGAAGCGCCGAATCGCTCGTGCAGCGTCGGCCCTCGTTCCAGGCGCCAAGAAGAGCGACACGCCACCCGAGTCGTTCGCCGTCGTCCTGCAGCGCCTCACGCAAGAGCTCGACCTGGCCGGCAACTCGGCGGCGCCGCACCTCTCGCCTGCGCCGCCGGACAAGCCGGTCCTCCCGTCGTCGTCGGCTCCTGCGCCGCCAGCGTCGTACGGCAACAACGGCGCGTACCTCGTCCCGCCGTCGGTCGGCGGCGCGAGCCTGTCGGCGCCTGCCCTCGCCGGCGCGGCGTCGGCCTACCCGTCCGACCAGCCGTTCGGCCCCGGCGGCGGGTTCCTGTACGACCTCAACGTCGTCGACGTCAACTCGGACGCGTTCCTGTCGGGCGACTTCTTCCGCGACGTCGGCCTCACGGCGCCCAACGGCGCGCTCGCCTCGTTCGACTTCCTGCAGGGGACGGCGACGCCCGCTCCGCTTCAGCAGCAGCCTGCCGCGGCGCCGCCGTACGGCAGCGTCGAAGGGTACTATGGCGGCGTCGGCGGCGGCGGCGGTGGTGCGCTCGGGTGGGACTTTGGCGCAGGAGGAGCGGTGGGAGGTGGGTTCGCGCCGGGCGAGGGAGGAGGTCAGGGCGGGAGGATGGCGGCGACGGCCCTGATGGACCAGCTCACGACGGGAGGAGGAGTGTGGTAGACTCGCTCGAGCCTTGAACGTACACCCAGGGTTCCCTCGTCTCGAATAGCAAGCGAGTTGTATTTCGAGAGTAACGACTTGGCTCGATTACGCGGCTCTCCCCCTCTGCCCTCGCACCCTCACCACCTCTCATCACGCATCATGGTGAGCTTGCAGTCCTCGCATCTGCCCTCAGAGTAGCCTGCTGACCCTCCCTCTTCCTTGCGCAACAGGGCCAAGCCGCGAGCAACCCGGGAGGAGCTGGCAACGACCCGAACAAGGACAAGGTGCGCCCACTCTCCCCTCGCAGGCCTCTGAGGCAGCGTTGAGCGGTACTGACATGCTTTGTGTGCCCTCTACAGAAGCAGGAGAAGGTCCGTCCCGCCTCTCGCCGCCGACGCCGCCGTCTCTCCTCCTCATCGCCTCCCGCTGACGCACTCCCTCCCCCGCCCTCTCACATCTCGTCTACGACTCGCCTGCTCCACTTGGACCGACTCTCGACACCTGCAGAAGAAGTGGGAGCCGCCTCTGCCCACCCGTGTCGGCAAGAAGAAGAAGCGCGGCCCCGACCCGAGCCAGAAGCGTGCGTCCTCCTCTCTCTCTCTCGTGTTTCTGTGCCTCGCACGTCGTTCGGGAGCTGACTGACACCTGTCCCTCTTCTCGCCTCGCAGTGCCGGCCGTGTACCCGACGACGCGGTGCAAGCTCAAGCTGCTCAAGATGGAGCGCATCCACGACCACCTGAAACTCGAAGAGGAGTTTGTCGAGAACCAGGAGCGCCTCAAGCCGACCCTGACCGAGGACAAGTCGGTCGAGGAGCGGACACGCGTCGACGACCTGCGCGGGTCGCCCATGTCGGTCGGCACGCTCGAGGAGATCATCGACGACGACCACGCCCTCGTGTCGAGCTCGAGCGGGCCCGAGTACTACGTGTCGATCATGAGCTTCGTCGACAAGGACCTCCTCGAGCCAGGTTGCGCCGTCCTCCTCCACCACAAGACGCACGCGATCGTCGGCGTCCTCCAGGACGACACGGACCCGATGGTCAACATGATGAAGGTCGACAAGGCGCCGACCGAGAGCTACGCCGACATTGGTGGTGCGTCCCACGCTCTCTCTGTATCTTTGCGTGCATAACCAGGACGAGGAGACTCACGCCTGCTTCGGCGTGCGCAGGTCTCGAGCAGCAGATCCAGGAGATCAAGGAGTCGGTCGAGCTCCCTTTGACGCACCCCGAGCTGTACGAGGAAATGGGCATCAAGCCTCCCAAAGGTGCGTCCCTCCCTCCCTGCCTCATGCCCCGCACGCTCGCCCTGTCGCGCAAGCCTGACCCTCGTCCCCCCTCTTCCTCGACCAGGTGTCATCCTGTACGGCGTGCCCGGCACGGGCAAGACGCTCCTCGCCAAGGCGGTCGCCAACCAGACGTCGGCGACGTTCCTGCGCATCGTCGGCTCGGAGCTCATCCAGAAGTACCTCGGCGACGGCCCCAAGCTCGTGCGCGAGCTGTTCAAGGTCGCGTCCGAGAACGCGCCGAGCATCGTCTTCATCGACGAGATTGACGCGGTCGGCACCAAGCGGTGCGTCCCTCCTCTCTTTCTTGGCCACTCGGGCGTGTGCGCGAACCTGACCCACGGTCCCTCGTCGACAGGTACGACTCGACCTCGGGCGGCGAGCGCGAGATTCAGCGCACCATGCTCGAGCTCTTGAACCAGCTCGACGGCTTCGACGACCGCGGCGACATCAAGGTCATCATGGCGACCAACAAGATCGAGTCGCTCGACCCGGCCCTCATCCGGCCAGGCCGCATCGACCGCAAGATCGAGTTCCCGTGCGTCCCTCTCTCCCTCTCCCTCTCTTTCTCGCATTTGAGCCTCGTACTGACGCTCGACACGACCCACAGGCTGCCCGACATCAAGACCAAGCGCTACATCTTCAAGATCCACACCTCGCGCATGAGCCTCGCCGACGACGTCGACCTCGAGGAGTTTGTCCACGCCAAGGACGAGCTCTCCGGCGCCGACATCAAGGCCGTCTGCACCGAGGCCGGTCTGCTCGCGCTGCGCGAGCGCCGCATGCGCGTCACGATGGCCGACCTGCGCGCCGCGAGGGAGAAGACCATGTTCGCCAAGAAGGACAACGGGCCCGAGGGATTGTGTGCGTCCCCCTTCTCGCTCCTCTTTCTTCCTCGTCTTCCTCGTTCAGGACTGACTCGACCTCACGCCCGCAGACCTGTGAAGCGCTCCTTGTGCTCCCCCCTGTACAGCCGTCGTCCCCTGCAACCCGAACCGCCTTTTTCCTCGAGCCTCTGCGCCGGCACGCGCTCGCCTCGCTTTCCCTCGACTTCCCGACCCGCTCTCGTACTCGCCGCTGCGTGCGCGCGCCTCTCGAGAGCCGGGCAGAGGCCGCGAGGGCCTCGGCGCCAGGCGGCAAGCGGGCTGCTTCGACGAGCTCTCGCAGCGATCCGGACCGACTTGGAGCTCTCGGCTGAGTTGGGTTCCGTCGAGCTTCTGGACACGCTTGCTGTGCGCCGAGAGAGGCTGCTCGCGCTCCCGCTCGTGCCAGCAGGGAGCGAGCAGCGGTTTACGAGGGGAGTGGTCTCTCTGCTGCGCCGCGTCGACCGCGCGAGGCCGCAGCGGCACCTCACGGTCGAGTCGCATCCGCCGAGAGGGCAGAAGATGCGTGGCCTGGTCTCGCGAAGCGGCGAGCTTGAGCAAGATCACCGCAGCGGCGAGGGATCCGTGCGGAGCTCTTCGCGACGGCGGCAGCGGACGGAGCGTCGAGCGAGCGCAGGCTTTCGTGGGACAGGTTCCCGGTGCAAGGCGCACGGGACGAGTGGATCTCTAGATGCTTCGAGAGGCTTTGATCCGCCCGAGACGAGCGAGAGAAACCAGCAAGAGAGGGAAAGGTACAAGGAAGGCTCGGTCTCCGGTACCCGGCCGGCTGACAGTACGAGCTGCTGCGGAAGGCGAGTCTACGATCGCCGGCGTGCTGAGCGTGGCTCCCCCGTGCCTGGACCGCGGGCTGAAAACGCTCGGCCCCCTGGAGCGGAGCGGACCAGAGCCCGGGCATCGTCCTCGCTTTCCTCCCTCCCTCGCCGTCGTCCCCTGCCTGCCCGCACTTGCTGCCCAGTCAGCGCACTCGACAGCAGCAGCACACGCAGCGCCGTCCCCTCGACTCGACCGCCTCCCCCTCGTCCCGTCCACCTCGAACCCGCCCCCGGCTCGACCCACTCGATCCCGCCGTCGTCCGCCTCACGCTCGCAACCATGGCCATCCCCGACGTGCCCGCCGCACAGCCTGCGCCCTCCAAGGCCGACCGCGCAAAGGTCCTCCTCCCGCCAAAGGGCCGGTACCGCCTCGGCGCCCTCCTCCGCGCACCCAACCGCGTCCTCCACCCGGGCCAGCTCATCGAGAAGGAGCTCGAGAAGACGGCTGCGGCCCCCAAGACTGCAAAGGAGCCCAACGACCAGTTCAAGGGCACGACCGCCGGCATTGTGCGTCTCCCCCTCGCCTCCTCTTCCTCGCGGTCGCCAAGACCCGCTCGACCTCGTCCTCGTGCGAGCGAGCGGCCTGTCTCTAGCCGAGTGCAGCGAACTGACACTTCGTTCCACCCTCTCGCAGGTTCGCGGTCTGCAGCGCGTCAAGCTGTGCGACGTGACGATGGACGACGTTATCGCCGGCCGGCACACGCCGCCGCTCACCCTGCGCGACTTCGAGGACTTCCTGTGCTTCCGCGAGAAGTCGGCCGAGAACCTGTACTTCCACCTGTGGCTCGACGAGTACCGCCGCCTGTACGACCGCGCGCCGGCGTCCAAGCGCTCGCCCGAGGAGGTCATGACGCTCGGCCAGTCGTTCAAGACGGCGTGCGACACGTTCTTCGCCCAGTCGTCGCCCCTCGAGCTCAACGTGCCGTCCGACATGCGCCGCGACATCGACTCGCGCATCGCGAGCGTCGAGCAGGCGTCGGCCGCCGCGCCGTCCAACGAGGCCTTCCTCCCGCCGCAGGCGTTCGACAAGCTCCACGACCACACGCACGAGCTCCTCGCCATGTCGTTCCGGTCGTTCCGCAAGCAGGTCGTCCGCAACGCCGACCGCAACCGCGGCTGGTTCGCCATGTTCCTCGGCATCCTCACCTGGGCCCTCGGCCTCATCCCGACCATCGTCTGCTGCGTCCTCGACAAGAGCCGCGGCTGGAGGGCGTTCGGCCTCCCGCTGTGGTGGTTCGGCACGGTCGTCGCCGTCGGCGGCTTCGGCAAGGTGCGCCCTTGGTCGTCCTCTCTCTCCTCGACCTCGAACTCCTATTGACCCTCCCTCCTGCTCGCCCGCAGACGTGCCTCGTCATCTGTGCGTCTCTCGCCGTTCTGTGCGTCACCGTCAAGCCGCGACTGACCTTTCTCCTCCCTTTCTCCTCCCTGTTCCACCTCGGCGCAGACCTCTTTGGTACGTCCTCAACTTTCTCTGCTCATCAGTCGGCGCTCGACGCACTGACACTCGTTCTTCCTCCCCATGCTACAGGCGACAACCGCCAGCTCTACCCCTGGTGCGTCTCTCGTCGTTTCCTTGAGCCTCGAAAGTCGCGCACTGACCCCTCGCGTCCTTTTTCTTGCAGGGAGCGCCAGGAGTACAACGACGCCGCCACCATGTCGTCCTCGTCCGAGCACAGCTCGGTCGACCCGTGGAACGCCTCGTCGGCGAGCGAGGACGGTCGGTCGTCGTACGCTGCCGCCAACGAGAAGCGCGAGCGCAGCCCTCCCGCCACGCCCGCCTTCACCTCGACCCTGCCCGAGTCGGCCTCGCGCCGCAGCTCGCAGCACTCGCCCCTGTCCGACCTCGGCTACTTCCCGCTGCGGCCGGCGTCGGCGTCCGAGCGGTCGGGCTCTGGCAGCAGGTCGGGTTCGGGCAGCAGGTCGCCGACGGGCCGCTCGTCGACGACGCCGGGCGGGCTCTACTTTGCGCCCGCCGCCATGGAGCTCCCCAAGTCGTCGCCGACGTGGGAGTCGTTCACCAAGGTGCGTCCTCTCTCTCTCTTTATCTCTTTCTCGGGACCGGGCGAGCAAAAACTGATTCGGTTGCACCTCGGCAGATGATGTCGCCCATCGTTGCTCGGGCGCAGCGCGACCTCGTCATGACGGCCGCCATCTATGGGCTCGTCGTGATGGTCATCACCGGCGCCATCTGCCTCGCAGTGCCCAACCGCAGCCGTTGAGCGCGTCTCGCTCGAACCTCTTTCCTGTCCCTCCCCTTTTTTGTGCCCTTCTTCCTCCTCGCCCTCTCTTGGCTGTACCTCCCACTTTTGTCTCTCTCTAGGCAGCTTCATCTTGCATCTCTCGGTCTGTATGCGCGTCGATGTTCGACTGGAGAGTGCGAGTTGCGAAAGGAGAGGAACGAGAACGACGAGGGGGGCACAGGCTGAGGAGGGGTATTGAGGCAGGGGTAACAGAACGAGAGAGTACAGGAGTCGAGAAGACTAGATGCGCTCGAGAAATCCAACGGCGAGGTCGCCGAAGCGCCGCTTCGAGGGCGGGTAGACGAGCGTGCTGGCCCGCAGCAGCTCGTCGACGCGATCGAGCACAGCGCGAGGGTATGCGACGCGCTCGTTCTTGGCCTGCGTGAAAGGAAGGCTGCACCAGGAGTTGACGAGAGCGGGTCAGTCGAGAGAACGAGGCGGGGAGGGACGAGGTGAGGGGGCGCACCAGGCGGGATCGGAATCGCCCTTGACGTCCGTGTAGAAGACCTTGACGGCGTTGAGCGACCTCGTCGTCGTCTTCAAGGTCGACGTAGAGCGTCGGCGAGCCACGTCGGGCGAGGAAGATGCCGAGGCGGACGGGGAGGACGAGGTTGGCGGCTCGAGCGCCGAGGCCGCGCTCGCGGTGGTCGAGAAGGCGACGCGGATTGCCGGGTTGAAGAACCACAGCTGCAGAAGGAGGGCGACGAGTGTCAGTATCGTTCGGGTCGACTTGAGGAAGAGGAAGAGGGAGAGGAAGAGGAAGAGGAAGGAGGGACGCACGAGCAATCTTGCCTTCTCAGTCTCGGCATCCTCGAGCACGAACCGGTGGCACGCATGGGCTTGGCCCGTCTCGAGCAGCTCGGCGGTGACGTAGCTCGAGAGGCTGTGTCGGGTCGCCGGCGTGTCGATCGAGGACGAGACAGGGTAGGTCGCGTACTTGAGGAGGCGCAGCGCGGTCGGCTCGCCGACGGTCGAGTCGACGGGGCAGACGCTTGCGCCGATGAGGGTCGAGCACGTGCTGCAGTGCGCCGGGTAGATGAGGTCGCCGTTGTCGGCCTTGGTCGGCTGCGGCAAAGGTGCGGGCAACCGAGGGTCAGTGTCGGTTCAACGACGACGGCGGGTCCGTGCGCTGTTCCCTCGAATGTAGCCCTCGAAGCGGGAGCTCTCGCTCGAGAGTTGTTTAGAAGGGTGGTTGCTCTTGGACTCGGGTATCAGTCTGGCGTCCCTAGGGAGCGTCCTCGACGAGCCGCGGTTCCGCAAGGCGACGAGCCGAGGAAACACAGCGGCCGTCGGCGGCGGACGGGGAGCCAGACTTTCTTTTGAGTCCGGGGAGGAGGAGGGAGAGGAAGGGAGAGAACGACGAGAGAAAGGGAGAGAGAGAGAGAGGAGAGAGGGAGGGAGAGAGAGAGGGAGAGAGAGAGGAGAGAGGGGACGGACCTCGACATCGGGCGAGGCCCAGTTGCTCGTCACCGCTCGCGGCAGGAGGACGTAGCTCGTGCCGACCAGGCCCTCGTCGTCGCGAGGCTTGATGCCCTTGCCCTTGGCGATGAGGTCGTCCGAGAGCGTCTGGTCCTGGTGGCACATCCACGCGTCGAGAAGCTCGGCCCAGTGCTCGCTCGGGAGGGCGTTGTAGCGCGTGATGCGGGTCGCGTCGACGAGCTTGATGTCGCACATCGCGCAGTGGAACGAGGCGGGAGCTGTCGCTCGGAGCTCGTCGGTCGAGAGCGGCGTGTGGACCTCGAGGTCGGCGCGGCTCTTGGTCGGCGACGACAGGCCCGCCGTGACGAGCTTGATCTCGTAGACAGCGCCGGCCGCCGACGTGACGGTCGCCTTCTGCGGCACGACCTGGCACGGGAGCGAGAGGCGCGAGGCCGGGCCGCCTTGAACCGAGGTGACGAGGACCGAGTCCGACTCGACGGCGACGACGTCGTACTCGTCGGCTGCACGCTTGCCCGCCGCCGCCGACCGTGGCCAGAACGTGACGACGAGCGTGCCGAGGTTGCGCGATTCCTCGGTGACCCAGTCGAAGGCGGGCACGTCGAGAACTGCAGAATCGAGAGGGCGAGTCAGTTTGGCTCGTCGTCGAGCGGACAGAGGTAATGCGAGAGACGCACTCTCGGTTCCAGTCGTGGAGGACGTGCGCGACAGGGTCGTCCCGAACACGCCGAGCCCGGTCATGATGTTGGCGTCGAACGAGCCGCGCCGACCTGCGATGGCGAGCGCCGCCGGCTTCTTGAACAGGCCCGAGCGCAGCGACGAACCGTTCTTGCCCGTCGACACCGTCGACGCCGTTGACGCCGTCGGCTCGTCTGCCGCTGCGAGCTTGGCCCGGAACAGGGACGGGCTCGAGAACTTCTTGCGCACGACAGGGAGCGACTGGCTGCGCTGCGGCGACGAATCATCGCCGTCGACGCCATCGCGACGAGGCTGCTCGCCGGCGAAGAACTCGTTGATCGTGACAGGCTCGTCGCTGACAGGGAACGGCGAAGAGGAGGACGGGGCGGCGGTACGGGTCTGGAGCTTGGCGTCCTGCGAGTCGAACCGACCTTTGCCCGTGTGCTCGAGGATGTAAGTACGCCGGCGCGTCTCGTACTTGTCGTCGATCTCGGGCTGCAAGGGTAGCGCAAAGTCAGGACACGGATGATCGGCGAGAGAGAGGGCGCGAGGCGCACCTCGGTGTCGAGCAGGTCGCCGATGACCGTCTTGCGCTTGCCGCTGCGGGCACAGGCACACGCTCGACGTTACCAAGTGCACAGAGAGGGACCGAGAAGAAGAGGAGAGAGAGAGGGGACGCACTTGAGCTCGACGCGCTGGTCGGCGAGCGTCCTCGAGGCCGCCCGGTCAATCTGGTCGAGCATGCGGTCGATCGCCCTCTGCTCCCGCTCGACCGTCTGCGCCCTCCTCCTCTCCTCTCCCGTGACGCCCTGCTCGTCCTCCTCCGCCTCCTCCTCGGCCGGGATCGCGACCGCACGCTGGTCCTCGAGCCGGCCCTGGCTCAGGCGCTCGATCGCGTTGCCAAGCTTGACGAGCTGCCGCTCGCGCACCTTGCGGCGGTCAGGCTCGACGCGCTGGTTGGCGAGTTGCGGGCTGACGACGTACAGCCGCTCGATCGCCTCGCTGACCGAGTCGAGGTCGCGCTGCATCTTCTCGCTGTTGGCGGACGACACCTTGCGGATGCGGGCGGTCGTGCGGGTCGAGGTACCGGCAGACGGGGCCAGACGGGACGGCGAGTGAGGTGGCGCCGGCTTGATGTCCGACACGACGTCGCCCTTCTTGTCGTCGGCGAGCTCGGCGCCGTCGCCGTAGTACGCCGGCGGGAGGTGCGACTGGCCCGCCGCGTCGCCGTGGCGCGAGTAGCTCGGCAGCTCGCCGTACTCGTTCTCGGGCAAGCGGGGCTCGTGCTCGAGCGCCTCGGCGCCCTCGGCTCGCCGCCGCGACAAGAGCTTGACCCGCTCGGACAGGTCGTCGACACGGCCCCACAGCAGGTCGCGCTCGGCCTGCTCGACCTGGCGGACGGCGCCGACGACCGCCTCGGGCGACGTCGAGGGCTGGTCCTTGCCCGACTGGATGAGCGCGGCCGCCTCGCGCTCGAGCGCCTCGTAGACGTTCGACGAGGGCTGAACGGGCGACGCCGGGCGCGAAGCCCGAGACGTGCGGCCGTGCGGCTCGTCGAACCGCGAGATGACGGCGAGGCGCTCGATGCAGATGAGGAGCGACGCGAGCGTGCGCGCGAGGTCGGCCTCGGTCGGCGGGAGGATCTCGCCGGCCGTCACCTCGATGCGGGCTTGGAGCTCCTCGAGGAGGGCGCCGTCGGCGCTCGCGCTTGACTGCGCGGATCGACGGCTGCCGATGAGGGGCGAGACGCGCTCGACGGAGCTCATGGGCGGTAGGGGAGTGGCGAGGGAGGTTGCGGATTGGCGGCGAAGCGTGCCGACTAGGGCGGAGAGGACGATGTCGGGTGGGTTCTGCGGCGGGAGGGGCGAGCCCTGCTCGTCTGCTGTGCGCTGATCGGCAGGCTGGAAGGTTGGCGCTGGCGGATCGGCGAAAGGGTTCGGAGGAGGTGGGGACGAGGTCGAGGTCGAGGCGGTCGGGACGCCCTCGACGAGCGCCGAGACGGGGCGCGAGGTGGCGCCGAGGTGGTCGTGCAGTAGGCTGCTGAGCGCCGACAGGAAGACGTGCTTGGCGGCGCCGAGAGAGCCGAGCAGCTCCTGCGAGATGACAAAGGTGAGGTCGGCGACGGCGGCATGCGGGACGCGGTAGAGAAGCAGGGGCGCACCTGTGAGCTCTCTGCTGGCCGGTGCCGAGCTCCCACGCTCCCACCTGCGCCGTCGCCCTCGCGCGCGACCTGGTCTCTAGCTCCGCCCGTCCTCGCGCCGCTGAAGAGCTGCTCTTGCCCGAGCTGGACGAGGTCGTCGCCGTCGCCTCGGCTGTGCTGGTCATGGTCGTGGCTCGTCACGAGGCGGGCGAGCGCGGTCGGGCCGAGAGGGACGGCGGCCGGGTCGAAGGACGACGAGGAGGCGGGTTGCGCGACCTGCGCTGGCGGTGCGCTCGCGGGCGAGGGACGCTCGAGGGTCGCCATGCCACGGTGGTAGTGGCTGCAGCACAGCTGGCCGGTGTGCGCGGTCGTCGAGGCTGCCGAGGTCGAGAGCCGGGGCCTCGGGTCGCCATTGTCCTCTCTCGCGCCGAGTCCGGCCCAGGTTCCCTTTCTCCTTGCCTCTCGTCGAAAGCGGACGCGCACGAGGGACGACTACATTTTGGCAATGCACACACGGCGCCATCGAGGAGCGAGAGGAGGAGAGAAAGTACTGCGACCAAGTGCACGACGAGGAACGATAGAAAGACGAGCTGGGGGTATCGCAAACGAGTGTGTGAGGAACGAGTGACGAGCTGACGACGCAGCGAGGGTATACACGACGAGGGGGAGGTGGTATCGAGCGAGGGTGGCTCAGGCGGAAGGGGGAAGGAGTGCGAGGGAGGGGGCCCGGGCGCCGCCGACGACGACGACGCTCAGATAAAGGCGTACGCGCGAGGCTGCGCCGCGATCGAGTCGGTGTCGACCTTGACCTCCTTGTACGAGGTGCCGAACGTCGGCCGGCTGCGCAACGTCGGGCTCTGCATCGGGCTCGGTGGGAACGACCCGCTCGTGTCGACCGTCGACGCGCTCTCGGCGAACGACGGCAGCGAGTCGTTCGTGCGCGGCCGGGACGAGCACTCGCTCGACGCCGTCGAGTCGAGCAGGCTCGCGACCGACCCGGACCGGCCGCGCAGCTCGAACGCGAAGCCCGGCTCGAGCACGTCGCGCGACAGGCTGCGCTTGTGCGCGTGCCTGTACGCCGTCGACGGGCCCATGTTGAGGCGCTCGATGGCGTGCGCGAGCGAGTGCGGCGTCAAGGTGGCCTGGTCGGCCTGGGCGGCGGCGGTGCTCGAGCGGGACGAGCGGCGCGCGTGCGAGCTCGAGAGCGTGTAGTCGAGCGCGGCGGCGGCGGCGAGTTCTGCCTCGCGTTGACGCTCGAGGCGGCGGATCTCCTCGGCGCTGAGGGCCGCATCGAGCGGAAAGGCGCAAGGTGCGGCCGGTCGGCGAGGTGCGCGCGGCGTGGGCGTGCGGGTGCGGGTGCTCAACGAGGAGGCGGCGAGGGACTGGCGGCGACGAGGAGGGCGAGGGTCAGAACGCTGGCTCGAGGCACGAAAGGGAGCGAGAGAGATCTCGACGCACAGGGAGAGCGACCGGCGGTTCAGGGGCGCGCTCGGCCTCCTCCTCGGTCGTGCCCCACAGCTCGTCGTCGTCGCCGTTGGCCGTGTGGGTGCCGCGGAAGCGCGCAAAGAGCTTGTGCTTGGCGAGGCGCAGGTCGGCGAGCGAGCTGGCTTTGGCGAGTCGGGGCTTGGTCGTGGTGGCCGTGGCGGACGGGGGCGAGGCCGGGTGCGAGCGAGAGGCGAGGGGACCCGACGTTGGATGACCGGGCGCGGTCGAGGGGATGGACGAGATGGAGCTGCTCCTGGGCATGCCGCGCGGCTGTTGGTGGCTGGTCGTGGTGGTGGTGGGAGTGGAGGAAGGCGCGTCGAGGTCGCGGATTGTCCGATCTGGGCGAATAAAGGAGAGGGCGAACGGCGACGACGCCGGCGGACGGACAAAGGGCGGCGGCGACGGGGGAGTGTGCGGCGGCGGCGCGGTGGCTTTTCTGGGGTGCTGGTGCTCAGAGAGGGTGTGGTGGGAAGCAAGCGGCGACTCGTTGCGCGCGCACACGAGAGAGAGCCGGTGAGATCGCAAAGAGGAGCGCGCGCGGTCGCACGCGTGAACGGCTCCGACACCAACGGCCGGCTCGTTCGTCACCTTTCGCAACGCTCGCGCTCGTCACACAAGTCTGCTTTCCCATGCTCGTAAAGTTCTCGGGCACGGTGCTTGCGACAGGAGAAGCTACGAGGGAGGCCGATCACAGCTCCTTCCTGCCGACGCCGGTCGAGCCGCTCACGACCGCCTCCTGCTTGGGCTCCCACGTCGTGCCGCTCGAGCCGCCGCCCTCGCCAATCATCTCGAGGTACTCGCGGTGCAGGTCGGCGCAGTATCGGGCGACGGGCAGGTCGTTCCTGCGCGTCGAGAGGGAGCGAAGGAGGAAGGCAACGAGGTCAGTGCGTCGTTGTGGGTCGCCCGAGAGACGGGGAAGGACACGAGGAGGGGACGAGAGAGAAAGTGGAGACGCACGGCTCGGCGCCGAAAGGGTCGCTCAGCTCCTCGGCCGCCGCGTTGAGCCCGAAGAAGACGGCGGCGGCGATGGCCGTTGCCGGGACGCACCACACGCCGATGGCGCGCACGAGCTGCAAAGGGACGGCGCCGACGTAGACGAAGAGGAGGAGCTGGAGGTGGATGTTGAGGATGAGGGGGATTGGCGCTGCGCGCGAGGGACGCGAGATGAGGTCAGAAGGTGGATGCTGCACTCGACAACACCTCGTCGCGCTCGACTGCCGGGCCGAGTTCGCAAAGAGGGAGCGAGGGCACCGACTCACTGTCGCGGATGCGCTCGAGGGCCGTAAGCTGGTCGGTGTAGTCCTTCATGGCGTTGGTGCACGCCGCCCAGGTCGCACCGTCGAGCACGGCGCTGTTCTCGTCTGGCGCGTCTCGACTCGGCAGCTTCTTCTCGTGCCACGCCGTCAGGTAGGCGTGCATCGCGCGGATGAGCGACAGGGGCAGGTTGCTCGGCTCGCCGGTCGGCAGGGCGTGAGGGCGGATCCGGAGCGGCGACGGCGCCGTGTTGAGCCCGGCGAGGGCGCGCTCCGACTCGCCGGCGACCGAGTGCTCGACGAACGAGGCCGAGCTCTCGCTCGAGATGGACGGGCGGCGGGCCGACATGGGCGTCGAGGCGTACGCCTCGAGGAGGGTCGACGGAAGGAGCTGGCGCAGCTCGGGGTGCGTGAGGCCGGGCATGTCGCGCAGGCGGTACATGCAGGCGTACGGGAAGGCGCAAATGAGGGAGCACAGCTCCTTGACGGCCTCGGTGCGGGGCGCGTCGTGGGGCGATTTGGACGGCGGCGGGAGGGCGAAGACGAGAAGGCGGAGGAGGGTGCGGGTGGTGCCCGTCACGGCGGCCCAGGTGCGACGGCCCTCGTACCAGCTGCGTCGTTGAGTGTGTACCGAGGTCAGTACCGTGACGCCTTGACGAGGCGAGGGGTCGCGGGGGAGGAACGGGTCGAGGAGGAGGGAGGGGGCGCACCGGTCGTAGCTCGAGCTGACTCGGAATGAGACGAGCATGCCGACCAGCATCGACAGGATACCGACGAGGCTGCCCGCGCTCGAGACCATGGGCATCCAGCCCTGGCGAGTGAGGATCCACACGGCCGCGGCCCACAGGCTGTAGGCGACGACACGGTCTTGAGAGGCGCGCCAGGCCGAGAAGTCTGCTCGTGCGAGAGTCTCAGTGAGTGCTCGTGCGAGCGACTCGACAGCCAGCCCGACGAAGAAGCGGTCCCCACGCAGCTGAGCCCGGGGGAACCGCACACGGCGATGAGGAAGTCGCGGGGACTCACGGACGAGGGTGAGCTTATGCATGCCTCGCGTGGAGCGCACGCGAGCCTTGAAAGTGCTGGCCATGCCGGACAGCTGGTGTCGAGCGTCGGCGAGGTATGAGGAGGCGGAGCGAGAGGGGCGTCCGTCATCGAGCCTGCGGGAAGGCGGGGTCGCCTCGACCGTGGTCCCTCGCACGGCTCGCAAGAGGCGCAGCTCGCTCGTGCAGTGTGTGGAACCTGAACGGTCCTTGTTGCAGAGTCTACGCAAGTCTAGATCTACTCGACGGCCTCGCCGCGCTCCCTCGCCTCGCGCACGGCCCGCTGCGCCTTGTCGAGCGCCGCCTCGAACCAGTCGCGCAGCATGTCCGGGTCCTCGAGGCCGGTCGAGATGCGCACGAGGCCCTTCTCGACGCCCCACTCGTTGGCCCACTCGAGCTCGGTGTAGTGCGCGAGGATCGTGTACGGGCACGCGAGCGTGAAGTTGGTCCCGAGCGACGGGCCCTTGTAACAGGGGAGCGCGTCGAAGAAGGTGCGCGACGCGAGAATCGACGAGAACGTGAGGCTGAACAGGGCGCCGTACCCGTCGCCGGCTCGGAGCGACGCCTCGTAGTGCTCGGGCGTCATGAACTTGGGGTAGTAGACCTCGCGCACGACGAGGTCGTCGACGTCGACGCCCGGCGCAGGTTGTGCCGCCTCGATGACGCCCTCGGCTGGCGGACCCGGGATGCGGCGAGCGCGCAGGAGGTCGCACAGCATCTCCGTGTTCGAGTTCTCCTGGGCGATGCGCGCCTTGAAGTCGCGCGAGTTGCGCTCCATGTAGATGGCGTCCTCGTCAAAGTAGGCGTCCTCGTACGACGCTTCTTGTGCGGCCTTGAGCGAGGCGTAGTGCGGGCCGCTCGGGTTGAGGACGAGGCTGCGGGCGAGGACCGAGAGAGAGGGTCAGGACTCGCTCTCGAGGGGGTTCAAGGAGGAGAGTGAGGACGTACCTGCCGCCCATGACGTTGCTGTCGCCGCTAAAGACCTTGGTGAGGCTGCTGACGACGATGTCGGCGAGCGGCAGGACCTCGACGTTGACGAACCCGGCGATCGTCTCGTCGACGACGATCATGAAGCCGAACTCGTCCGCGAGCTTGCGCAGGGCGTGCAGGGGAGGTGACCGCAAGAGCGGGTTGGACGGGAACTCGCAGAACAGGGCGAGGACGGGCGGTGAGGCGGCCTCGAGCGTTTGTCGCAGAGCGCCGAGGTCGGACGTGAGGCCCTTGCCGAAGAAGTGACAGCCCGGGCCCCACTTTTGGAGGATCTTGAGCGTGTCGGTGTACGGGAAGCTGCACGCGCAAGAGGATCAGTCAAGAGAGAGTCCGAGAGAGGGAGAGGAGGGACCCAGAGAGAGAGAGGGGGCGCACCCGAAGCAGACGCTTTTGCCGACCTCCTTGCCGTCGCTCCTCGTCGCCGACATGGCGAGCTGATGCGCGTGGAAGATGGCGTTCATGCCGCACGGGTACAGCCACACGTCGTCCTCGGTCAGGCCGACGACGCCGCGCGTGCTCTCCTCCCTCGCGTCGTCGGCGCCCATGTCCTCGACCGGGATGGCCTCGCCCGGCTGCTCGCACAGGACGCCGGCGATGCGGCGGCGCATGGCGAGCTTGGCGAGAGGGGCGAGCGACAGGTCCAAGTTGCGCCCGTAGCGCTCCTCGACGTAGCGCGCGAGAACGTCCTCGTCCTGCTGCTCGACGACCTTGACGTCGGGCGCGGCGGCGAGCGTGGGCGGCGGCAGCTGGTCGACCGACGCGGCGAGCGAGCTCGGCTCGGACCCGCTCGCGTCGCTGCTCGCCTCGGTCGTCGTCGTGGGCGTCGCCGTGCCGCTGCTCGACGTGACGCGCGCCCTGGACGTCGAGTAGCGCAACTTGGACGAGACGACGGGGCGGGCGAGGTTGGCGACCGAGTCGGGCGAGGCCGTGCCCTTGGCGACCTGGTAGCGGGCCTTGGAGCCGTAGCGCGCGCTCGGGCCGGCGACGGGCGCGCTGCTGCCGCCGCCGTCGACGAAGAAGCGGGTCGCGCCCTCCTGGCCCTCGCCGACGGTCGGGGTGGCGTGGGTCGGCGACGAGGCGGCGCCGTCGTGGCCGTCGGCGTCGATGTCGCCGAGGAGGATGAGGCAGCGCTCGGCGACGCGCGACGAGACGCCCTCGCCCGTGTGCTGCCAGTACTGCTTGGCGGCCGGGAAGTCGTCGGCGGGGAAGAAGCAGGCGTAGACGGTGATGGTGCGGTTGCGGACCGTCGTCTCGGTGTCGGACGACGAGGGTGCGGTCGAGTGGATGGCCCAGGGGACGACGCGCGAGGCGACAGGTGGGGAGAGCGACGCGAGGAAGGTGGCGCAGCCGTGGGCGGTCGTGCTGGTCGGGAGGAGGATGCACAGCTCGCCGTCTTGGCCAGAGCGAGCACAGGCGAGGTCGGCGAGCTGCGCGGGACGGCATGTCAGTCTCGGGCGAGCGAGTCAAGGGAGGAGGAGGGGGAGGGGTCGAGGTGGCGAGAGAGAGAGGGAGAGGGCCGGGACGCACTCGCTGGATGCGGTGGTGGATGAAGAAGCGCGGGTAGCCCGAGGTCATGGCGTCCTTTATGCGCTGTGCGCCCTCCTCGTAGTCGACGTTGTCCTGCCAGGTCGGGAGCGAGACCGAGACGGCGTGGGGGGTGAGGGCGGGCACGAGTGCGCCGAGGGGCGAGTCTGGTGCTGGAGGCTGCACGCGGAAGGACGGCATGGTGCCTGGCGGGTGTGGTCGAGCGGGTGGGTGAGCGGTGAGCGCCAGCCGCGGATCCGCGGACGATGGAGACGGCCGACGGTGGGTGGGGAGCTCTCACCCTGCCATGGCCCTCGTGAGCGTGTGGATCTCGTCGCCAGACACCCACTCGGAGCGCAGGATCAGTCCACACCTCTCCGTCTCGCAGCTCAAGGTGCGCCCGCCCTCGTCCTCCTCGTCCTCCTCGCTCAACCCGCCCAGCTCCTCACCGCGCACTCTCGCCCCGCCCCGCAGTTCAAGCTCGAGCCCATCACCGGCATCCCTGCATCGACCCAGTCGCTCACCCTGCGCCGCACCGCCGCCGATGCCGGTCACAGCGGCTCGTCCTCGTCCGCCGCGGGTGCAGACGTCCTCGCCGTCCTCGACGACGACACCAAGACCCTCGACAGCTACGGCATCCGCGAGTACATGACCATCCGCGTGCGCACCCGTCTCGCTTGTCCTCGCCTCGCCTGCCTGTCCCCGTCGAGCTCACCTTGCACGGCCTCCCTCCCGCCTCTCGCAGGTCGACTCGAACGACCCGCACGCTCGAGGTCTCGCAGGACAGTACACCGACGACTCGCACGTCGACAAGTTTGAGCTCACCGAGGAAGAATACGCGGCGCGGACAGGTGCGCCCGCCTCTCTCTGTCCCTCTCCCTGCGCCTCGTCGCGTCCTTTCGTCCGCGTCCTCTTCGCCGAGCTGACCTGCTCCCCCTCCCCCCAATCGCCCATGCCGACTTCTCACACAGACACCGTCCTCCAATTCAAAAAGCGCAACCAGCTCGGCCGCTTCGCTCCTCCTGCCCCTTCCTCCTCCGCACCTCGACCGTCCCTCCCCGCCGACCTCGTGCCCGGCGCCCGCTGCGAGGTCGCCCTCTCGCCCGAGCTGAGCCGAAGAGGCACGGTGCGCTTCGTCGGGCCGACCGAGTTTGGCGCAAAGGACGAGAGCGTGTGGGTCGGCGTCGAGTGGGACGAGCCCGTGGGCAAGGGCGACGGCTCGTGCGTCCTCAAGCTCTCTCTCTCTCTCTCTCTACGTCTTCATCCGCGCCATATCGGCAACACCTGTCTCCATCTCTCGAGCTCGACTGACCGCTTGCCCTGTGCGCGCATTGACAGCGTCGATGGCAAGCGCTACTTCGAGACGGCACCTCTCCGGGCGTCGTTCGTCCGGCCCGACAAGGTCAAGATCGGCGACTATCCCGAGCTCGACCCGTTCGCCGACCTCGATGACGACGAGGAGGACGAGATGGAGATGTAGCGGGCCTACAGGAGTGGGTCGCCGGAGGGTGGGCTCGGGCGCAATCGACCTGTTGTTCTTTCTCGTCCCTCGATCTCTCGCATATCTCAGCTCTGTCGAAGGAGTCGGCGTGAGCTCGAGGAATATTCCTTGGACCGCGAGCGAATCAGTGGCAGGAGAGAGAGTTGCCCTCGGCAGCTGTCCACTTGAGAAGGTTCGCTCGGACCCTTTCCAGGGGCCGCCTCGTCCTGCTCTCTCGGCTCGACTCGTCCTGCTCTCTCGGCTCGACTCGTGGCTCGATCGTCGTCATACAGTGCTCCGAGTGCGGTACTGGTTCAAGCACTCGAGTGTCGCGAGCGCACACGCGACCGCCGCCTCCTCGACCTCGCTTCTCGACGCAAAGTCGAACTGGCGTTCCCGGCGCACGTCTGCGGAAGCGAGCCCATCGTCGAGCACTCGTCTCGTTCGGTCGATCGAGCCTTGCACCGTCGAGAAAGAGCGAGGTTGCACTGCGAGAAATCGAGTCCGTCCTCGTCGACCTGCTCCTGAGCGCGAGGGCGTGCGGGCGACCTGACGAGGCGGTCTTTGCAACGGCACTGTACTCGAGTATTCGTCTCGATAGGTCCGTCGAGCGATGCTGGACCGAGAAAGCGAGTAGTCCACCCGCAGAAAAAGCAAGTCCCTCCTTCCCGACTTCCTCCTCGACGCAGAGTCGAGCGAGTCACGTCGCGAGGCGGTATCGCGCCAGGCGCCACGCTCGAGCAGTCGCCTCAAGCCGTCGATCGAGAGCTACGCCGGTCCAGGAGGCGCAGTATGGCGAGCTCGCGAGCGACCTTCTCCTGCTCACGATCCTCCTCAGCTCAGAGTCGGGCAGCAGAACCCGAGCGCTCGTCGTTCGCGGCCAGCACGTCGAGCCTCTATCCGCTGAAGCTGCACGATGCTGTACAGGGCGTCTCGAGAGCGGTGGAGCGAAAGCGAACGCGCCGAGTGCGGTCGAGCTGCGGCGCTTTGACCCTCGACTCGACGCTCGCACCGCTCGCAACGGTCAGCGCCCGGTCGCCGGACCTCTCGAGCTACACTCTGCCGAGCCCTTGAGCGCGTGTTGGAAGTGCAGGAGCAGACTCGGGAGCACAGCTCGAGCAAGCAGCTCGCCTCTCGTCCTGTCGAGCACGAGTCGGCCCTCTGTTCGCTCGCGCTTTGCTCGCGAGGCCTCGCTACTGGGCAAACAACTCTTTCAGAGCTGCTTCTTGGACAAACCCGAGCTCTGTGGCAGCAGGAAGAGAGGGCAGAGACGCGGGAATGTGGGGAAGTGGCGAGCCGAGCCGGCGCGCGCGCCCTCCTCGTCCGACGTTTTTCCTCGCTCCTCGCTCGCCATCTCGCGCAAGGGGGGTCATGTAGGGTACCCAGACGTGCAACAGAAAATGCTCGAGACGATGGCGACCTTCCCAAGTCCAAGCGTGTCGAGGTGCGAGAGGGAGGACCGGCGGGAGGTGAACCCGATGCGTGTGGCGTGCGCCAGCAAAGTAGTACTTTCCTTTGTCGAACCCCTTGGGTTCATCGGCTCTCCTCCCAACATCAGCTACGGGATTACCTCGAGAGATTGGGGCACGACACCGGGCTGTAAAGAACGAGGCTTGAGCGTAGCCACGCTGCCGGCCCTGCGAATCGGTTTACCATTTGCACCCTGGCAGCGCCGCACGCCCTCCCTCTTCTTTTGCTGCGTTTCGCGTTTTGCCCTGCGCTCGTCCTGCTCCTCTCTCCCGCTCCTTTCGCTCGCCCAAGCTGCTCGGGTCGAGCTCAGAGTGCTGCTCGACAGGTCTGCTGAGCACCCGAGGCGGACCAGTGGCAGGAGAGAGAGTTGCCCTCGGCAGCTGTCCACTTGAGAAGGTTCGCTCGGACCCTTTCCAGGGGCCGCCTCGTCCTGCTCTCTCGGCTCGACTCGTGGCTCGATCGTCGTCATACAGTGCTCCGAGTGCGGTACTGCTTCAAGCACTCGAGTGTCGCGAGCGCACACGCGACCGCCGCCTCCTCGACCTCGCTTCTCGACGCAAAGTCGAACTGGCGTTCCCGGCGCACGTCTGCGGAAGCGAGCCCATCGTCGAGCACTCGTCTCGTTCGGTCGATCGAGCCTTGCACCGTCGAGAAAGAGCGAGGTTGCACTGCGAGAAATCGAGTCCGTCCTCGTCGACCTGCTCCTGAGCGCGAGGGCGTGCGGGCGACCTGACGAGGCGGTCTTTGCAACGGCACTGTACTCGAGTATTCGTCTCGATAGGTCCGTCGAGCGATGCTGGACCGAGAAAGCGAGTAGTCCACCCGCAGAAAAAGCAAGTCCCTCCTTCCCGACTTCCTCCTCGACGCAGAGTCGAGCGAGTCACGTCGCGAGGCGGTATCGCGCCAGGCGCCACGCTCGAGCAGTCGCCTCAAGCCGTCGATCGAGAGCTACGCCGGTCCAGGAGGCGCAGTATGGCGAGCTCGCGAGCGACCTTCTCCTGCTCACGATCCTCCTCAGCTCAGAGTCGGGCAGCAGAACCCGAGCGCTCGTCGTTCGCGGCCAGCACGTCGAGCCTCTATCCGCTGAAGCTGCACGATGCTGTACAGGGCGTCTCGAGAGCGGTGGAGCGAAAGCGAACGCGCCGAGTGCGGTCGAGCTGCGGCGCTTTGACCCTCGACTCGACGCTCGCACCGCTCGCAACGGTCAGCGCCCGGTCGCCGGACCTCTCGAGCTACACTCTGCCGAGCCCTTGAGCGCGTGTTGGAAGTGCAGGAGTAGACAGAGCTCATTCTCGCTCTTCCTGCTCTTGCTCTTCCTGCTCTTGCTCTTCCTGCTCTCGCTCTCTCTGCTCTCCCAAGGCGCGGCTGAACGACAGGCAGCGAGGAAGTCTCGAATACAGACAGCTACGACTTGCTCGAGGTTTGAGAGAAACGCGAGCGACCCAGGGAGGGGTAGAAGGGAGAGCGAGAGGGAAGAAAAGGGGCAATGAACGACGACGAGGGGGTGACAACAAGGTACCAGGACCTGTGCGGGGCGTGTGTGTGCAAGGTGGTGGAGGACGACAGCAGATCGAGAACGAGGCGAGGCGAGGAGAGGCGAGGCGAGAGGGGAGGGGCGCGAGAAGGCCGTGGACGGCGACGTCTAGAGGCCGTGGGGCGGCGGCGGCGGACCGGGTGCGTCGAGGCCGTGGTACGCAGGCATCACCTGCGCGCCGTGTGGCGGAAGTGGCGGCGGGAACCCGTACTGGAGCGACGACGAGGGCTGGTGGACGAGACCGGGTCGCGAGATGGGCGCCGCCGTCGCCGGGCCCGACGGGTACAGCGCGAGCGGCGACGTCGCGCAGTTGTACACGTTGCCGTAGCCGCTCATCGACTGCGCCATGGGCTGCGCCGACGGCGAGCCGCTGTAGCAGCCGTACGAGGCGACCGGCGACGGCGACGGGACGACGGTCGTCGGGTTGGTCGAATTGGACGACTCGCGGCTGGCGCCGCCCGAGCCCGAGCCCGACGAGTCGCGCGAGTTGGACCTCGACTGCGACGGGCTCGCGACGAGCGCCGACGACGACGGCGCCACGCCCATGACCTTGTCCTCGTCCTCCTTGCGCTGCTTGGCCGCCTGGTTGGCCTGGCTCTTGGCCTTGCTCCACCGCAAGCCGCACGCGTTGCAGAGCGTCTTGGGGCCCGTCGGACCCGAGCGCCACTCGGCCGACTGGGTGCGGCCGCAGTTGGCGCACGCGCGCTGCGACGGGCCGGCCTTGCTGAGGGCGGGCGCCTTGGCGAGGAGGGCCTTCTTCTTGCGCAGCGCCTCGAGCGCCTCGCGCTCCTCGCGCAGCTTCTTGTTGGTGAGGCGCACTGCGAGCGGGAGAGGAAGACGAGGTCAGGCCCGGATCCGAGAGAAGGGGCAGGAAGGAGGAGAGGAGGGTAGGACGCACTCTGGTGAAGCTCGAACTGCCAGCTCGTCCCTCGGGTCACGTTGAGCTCGTCAAAGACGTTGTCCGACGTGCTCGAGGGTGCGGCGAGCGCCTTGAACGTGCTCGGCACGGCCGAGAAGCTCGTCAACCCGGGCGGGCCCGTACCGGGAACGGCGGCGGCGACGGTTGCGGGCGCGCCGACAGGCATGCCCGAGGGCGACGACGTCGCGGCCGAGACGGCGGCGTCGGTCGACGTGTGGCCGGCGAGCGACCCGCCGAGGAGCGACGAGCGCGAGCGCGTGTCGGCGCTGCTGCGGCCGCCGACCGAGAGCGACGCCGAGGGGGCGACGCCGTCGCCGTTGCCGTGGTCGTGGGCACGCATGGACGGGCGCGTGAGCGAGCCGCCATTGGCGGCGGCCGACGCGGCGCGGTGCGAGCGCTCGGGCTCGTGCTCGGCGAGGCTGACCTGGGCGATGATGGCGACCTGCTTGCCGCCGATGGGCTGCGTCGCCGAGCTCTGGGCCGTCGTGTTCTGCGCCGAGTCGGTCGACGAGCGCGCCGGGTAGAAGCGCGTGACGACCTCGACGAGGGCGGCACCGGGCGTCGGCGCCATGAAGTGCTGCACCTGCGACGGGTTGCCGCGGCTCGCCTCCATGAGGGCGTCCATGAATCGGGGCGCGTCGTCCAACGCCTTGCGGCTCAGGTCGCCGATCGACTTGCCAATGACGTCCTCGACGACGTTCTTGACGCCGAGGACTTTCTCGGCACCGGCGGTCGCCGCGAGGAAGATGCCGTCGACGCACACCTTGGCCCAGAACTCGTGCGCGCTGCTGCCGACGCCGCCGGCGAGCTCGAGGTCGCGCCACGACATCTTGTACACCTCGCGAGGCCGGCCCGTGAGGATGACGCACTTGCGGCCCTTGCCCGGCTCGAGATGGAGGCGACCTTGCGCCTCGAACCAGACGTAGCCGCTGTTCTTGCGGCGGATGCGGTACACGAGCGACACGGTCGGGTGCGTCGAGACGCCGGCGTCCTTGAGCTCGCGCTGGACCGACACGATGTCGCTCGGGTGGCAGAACGACGACAGGGTCTTGCCGAGGAGCTCGTTGGGCTCGTACTCGAGCAGGCGGCGCGAGGCGCCGCTCACGTACAGGAGCGCGCCCTTGAGCGACAGGACGTGGATAAAGTCGTCGCACTCGTCGACGAGGAGGCGCATGAACTGGCGCCGCATCGCCTCGTTGGCGAGCGCGCCTTGGCCGTTAGCGGCGACCGCGGCGAGCACTTCGGCAGGCTCGTCGACGCGGATCTGGTCGCGCGCCTGCTGCACGAGCGACGCCGCCTCGCCGGCCTTGGCGCTCGCGTGCGCGGCGTGCGCCTGGGCCTGGTGCGCCGCCTCCTCGAGCTGGTCGAGCGCGTACGACGGGTCGAACGAGATCACGCTCGGGTTTCTCGCGATCGTCGCGTGGACGGCCGAGTAGTTGACGACGTACGAGCCGTTCTGCATCTTGTCGAGGATGGCCGCCGGCTGGTCGACGAGGTCGACCTGGAACCCGACGAAGAAGGCGATCTCGGGCGAGTCGCCGACAGGGATGGGCACACAGGTGACGAGGTTGATGAACGGCTTGCCGCCCTTGTGGTAGTTGATGAGCGACACCTGCGTCTCCTGGCCCTCGACGATGTGCCGGCGCAGGTGGTGCGCCGCGTTGCCGTCCGTGTACCGGCGCTTCTCGCCCTGCACGACCGTCTGGTCGCCTGGAGCTTGAAGGAAACGGCCTGCGAGAGAGAGAGAGAGACTCGGTCAGGACGGGCGAGCGAGACGAGGGAGGGAGGGAAGAAGGAGGACGCGGGACGCACAGTTGCGGCCGACAATCTCCTCGTTGCCGTAGCCCGTCAACCTCGAGAACGTCTCGCTCGCGTACACGATCGGCTGGTCGAACTTGCGCGCGTCGACGACGACGAACGAGCAGCTCATGTCGACGGCGCCAATCTCGATCGTCGGGTTCTTGCGGTTGACGACGTGCGCGAGCACCTGGCCGAGGTCGAACCCGCTCGACGAGTAGATGTTCTGGTACGAGTTGCTCGTCTGCGTCCCGCCGTTGACCGTGTCGACGCGAGGCGGCGGCATGGGCAGGCCGAGCGCCTTGGGGTCGAACGGGTCCGACGGCGCCGTCGGGTTGCGCGACAGCGACGACGACGCGAGCTTGCTGCTGCGCTGCGGCGTGTGCGGCGGCTGCATGGCGGGCTGCGGCTGCTGCGGCTGCTGCTGCGCATGCTGCTCGTACACGTGGCCCGAGCCGTACAGGTCGTAGACCGGGTTGGCCGACGCGTAGCCCGGGAACGGCTCGTGCGAGTGCTGAACCTGCTGGTGCTGGACGACCTGCTGCTGCTGCTGCGGCGGCGGCGGGATCTGCGGCGAGAACGGCTGGCGGTACGACGGGATGGCGGGCGAGCTCGCCGTCCTCGACGGGCCCGACAGGCGCGCCTTGAGCGCCTGCTGGATCGCGCTCGACGGGCCGCCCGGCGTGATCGAAAGGGTGCTGCCGGCGCGCAGGCGTGCGTAGGCGTCGAACGCGCCGCTGCCGCTCGGGCCGGCGACGGCGTGCGACACGCTCGAAGGCGAGACGCCCTCAGCCTGGCCGTAGCGCTGCTGCTGCTGCTGCTGCGTCGGGGGCGGCATGGCCGCACCCCCACTCGGCGCCGTGTAGCTGTAGCTGCGCGGGACGACGGCGGCGGCGGGCGGCTCGGCGGCGAACGCGCGGGCCGACGACGACACGTCGTCGAACGCGTTGAGGCCGCTCGACTGGAGCATGTCGTGCTCGGCGTCGCGCATCGGCTGGTCGTAGTCGGCGTAGACGGGCGGCGACGCGGTCGAGAGGGCCTGCGGGCCGTACGCGCCGTCGATCGGGTCGAGGGCGGCGTTGGACGAGTAGATCTGCGACAGCATCGGGTCGTTGATGCTGGCGCCGGCCGAGTAGAAGCCGCCGGGCGAGTGCATCGGGGGCGAGCCGGCGTTGATCGAGCCCTCGTAGGCGGACGAAGGAGGGGGAGGTTGAGGAGGAGGGGGAGGGTGCTGGTGCTGCTGCTCGCCATACGGCTCGCCGTACGAGCTGTACAGCTGAGAGAACTGCATGATGAAGGGGAGGGTGGTGGTGGTGGATGCTGTCGAAGCTGTGGATGTCGGCGAAGAAGAGGTGGGGATGGCTCTTGGTCGGCGTCTGAAAGAGAGGGCGAGGGTCAGTAAGGCACGACGATCAAGACGCGCAAGGGAGAGGCCGAGGACGCACAGCGATTATCGGACGCGCTTGATCAAGAGGTCTCTCGAGGGAAGGTTGACTGTCGAGACGAGGACGAGTCGGGTGGACGAGTCGGGTCGAGTCCTTCGAGAGGTGAGACCGCGGCAGGCGTCTGCGGTACGGCGCGGCGACGAGAGGGAGAGTCAGTTTCTGCGGGTACGAGGCCGAGCGAGTCGCCAAGGTATGGCGCAGGCGAACGGACTGAAAGGCGAAGGCCGACGAAGGGGGAGATGAAGGGGACGGCGAGAGGGAGACGCACAGCGATGTCGGACGCGCTCAAAGGCCGGGGTGCAGGTTGTGGCTGGATCGACGGGACCTGGCCGGGTGTTGGAGCTGTCGACGAGGGTGGGAGGGAGAGGCGGTGAGCTCAGATGCGCCGAGTGGGCAGAGGGCGCGGCGGCCAAGGGGAAGCCGGGGACGCACAGTGGTGGCGACGGGGCGAGAGGTGGACGGGTCGGGCTTGGTCGCGGTGGTGGGTGCTTGACGGGTAACGAGCTGGCGCTGTTGTCCCCTCTGGCCTAGCGTAGTCGGAGGCAGCTGTCGAGGGGGGAGCGCTGGTGGCTCGGAGTGGAGGGGAGCGGAGGACCGGTGAGAGAGGCCTGGCGCGGGTCGGGGGAGGGTGCCGCCTGGGTGTGGGCGGGCTTGGTGGTGCTGGTGAAGGTGACTGAGTGGTCTGACGGTCGTCTAGAGCACTCGGCGTGGGTGGGAGAGGAGCGAGCCGCCCTTCGCCCCCTCTCAGCTCGTCGTCGCTCTCCGATTGCGATGCCCCGCTTCTCACGCCACGCCCACCGCTCTGCGCCATGCCAGAGCAGCCGAGGCCTTCTGCACGGCGTCTGAGCGGCCACTCGAGCTCACGGCGACCGCCGCGACTGTCTGCTGCCCCCGCTGCACCCTCGTCCGGCTCGACCGTCTGCGACCTCAGGTGCGCTCCGCCTCTTCCCTCAGCGTTGCCCGCACCGTCACCTGATTCGAGCTTCCGCAGACGTCTCGAGAGCTACTGCCAGGCGTCGTCGCAGCGCTGCGCCGCCCTCGAACACTCGCTCGCACGTCTCGAGGTGCGTCCGGCCACGCTCGCTCTCTCCTCCGCTTAGGTCGCCAACACGCAGCCGACCACTTCCGTCGCACCCGCAGCACGACGTCGACGCCCGCATCTCGCAGTGGGACGACCACCTCGCGTCCCTCACCTCGGTCGACGAGCGCGCAAAGCAGCTCACGGCCCAGCTCACGGCCCAGCTCGCCGCCCTGCGCACCGCGGCGGGCCCGCAAGTCGCTCAAGCCCGCATCGCTGTCGGCGAGTCGCAGAGCCGCGTCAACGAGAGCGACGCCTCGCTCGACAAGAGCATCGGTAACGTCGAGCGCGCTCGCCGCAAGGTCCGTCTTGCTCTCTCTCTCTCGCCCGGGCCCTCGTACTGACTCTCTCGGTCGACGTGACGCAGCTCGACGAGTTACAGCGACAGTTCAAGGACAAAGAGGCGGCCCTCGAGCGCGCCGAGAGCTGGCTCAGCTGGCTCACCGGTGCGTCCCCTCTCTCTCCTTCCCTCCTTCCTCGCCTCGCCACGCTGACACTGTTGCTCCGTCGCCCCCGCAGGCCTCGCCATCCTCCTCCTCGCAGTCCTCGCCGCCGTCGCCGCCTATTTCGCCAACCTGCACCACAGCCTCTGAGCGTTCCCCTCCCTCGAGTCCATCTCGCCGTTCCCGCCGTTCCCGGCGCTCTCCCTCTCTCTCTGTTCACGTGTCGTATTTGTAGAAAGCATCGTATTCCTGCCCTGCAATAGACCCGTCCCTCCTCGGAAGCCTCTGCTACGCCGCCGGCGGTCCGAGCGCCTCGGCGAGCGAGCTCCATTGATCGGCGAGCCGGCGCGCGTACGACGTCTCATGCGCCGCATAGTCGCGCAGCGTCAGGTTGAGGAGGCTCGCTGCGGACGGGTCGGGGCCGGCGGGTCAGGTCGTCCGCCAGGGCGAAAAAGGGGGGTGGAAGAGAGAGAGAGGGACGCACTGCTTCGCCACGCCCACCGCACCTCCTCCCACACGCACCACCGGATGAAGCGACGTCGCCCCAAAGCGGCATCGATCGAGCGCTGGTCGGCTGCGAGGACGGACGAGAGCTTGTCGGCGTCGGCGTCGAAAGAGGGAGGCCGAGGGTTGAGCGAGCGCAGGAGGTTGAGCTGCAAGGGGAACGAGGGTAGGGTCGAGGATGAGGTCAGGAGTAGGCTCGAGTGGCTGCAAAGAGGAAGAAGGGGGAGTACGAGAGGGAGAGGGCGCACCTTGGCGAGGTTGGTCTCGACCCGCTTCTGCAGCTTGTCGACGTTGTCGCCGCCGAGCGCCGCTTGTCGCGCAAAGAGGTCGCGCAGGCCCGTGTAGATCTCGCGATGCTGTCCGCAACAGACCCCTGTCAGTGCTCCTCGCGTCGCGAAAAGAAGGGCGACGAGGGAGAGAGGGAAAGGGCGAGGGGGACGCACCTGCTTGAGCTCCTCGACGACCGTCTCGAGGCTCCTCCTCGCGCTCGCACCCTCGGTCTCGGCGACGTCTGCCGCCACGCCGCTCGTCGCCCTCACCTCGCGCTCCGTCTGCTCGACCTCCTTGGGCCGCCATCCTCGGCCCTCGACCTCGACGGCGCGCTCGAGCGCGTCGTGCAGCGCCTCGTACTCCTTGCCTTGGTTCAGGCGGCGGTGCGCGAGTCGGTCGGCGACGGTCGTGATCCGGGTCCACGAGTCGACGAGGGCGGGCAGGCGTTGGCGCAGGCTGGCGAGGCGCGCGTCGACGTCGGCGGGGAGCGACCCTTCCTCCCTCGGGGTGAGGACGCGCTGTACGCTCTCCTCGTCGAGCGAGACGTTGGCCGCGCTGCTCTTGCGGTACACGGCGAGGTCGTCGGGCGCCGAGAGAAAGTGGGAGAGGAGCGCGTCGTGGCCGACGGTCGGGTGCGCAACGAGGGTGGTGAGGGCGCGCTCGAGACCGCGGCGGCGGCGCTCGAGGAAGAGGTCGTCGGTCGCGAGGTAGTGGCCGGAGAGGTGGAGGCGCTTGGGCGGGAGGGAGGGGAGGGAGCGGAAGGGGTACCGGCGAGCGAGGCAGTCGAGGAGCCACACAAAGTCCGAGTACCGACGGGTGACCGACGTGCCCTTCTGCGTGACATGCGGGGTGGGTCAGTACACGTCGCGCACTCAAGGGAGCGGCCTGCAGACTGTGCGCGCGCAGAGGAAGAGGGTCGAGCGAGGGAAAAGGCGGGCTCACCTCGGGCTGGACGACCTGGTAAACGTGATGCTTGACCATCCACCCGTCGAGGTCGCCCTGGAGGACGAGCTCGACCTTCTGCTGCCGCGGGAGCTGCCACGGTCCGTCCGGCGACTGCCCCTCGAGCAAGTTGTCGCCGAACCCACCGCCGGTTCCCCCGCTCGCACCCGCTCGACCGCTCGAGCCGGCCTGGGTGACGACGCCGTAGTCGTTCGTGATGATGCTGGTGCCGGCCGTGAAGGTGGAGAAGGGCGGGAGGTGGTCGTCGGCGAGGGGAGCGGGTGGGGGAGGCGCGGCGCTGGCGGGAGGCAGCGAGCCCCAAGGGTCGGCGCTCGAGTACGAGTCGTGCCGTGCGAGGCCAGAGGGCGCGTGGAAGCCTCGAGACTGGTCGAACGAGCTCATGGTGGTGCGTGGGAGGAGGGCGACCGCTTCTCCCTCGTCGTCAGATCTGAGATGAGCCTCGCGCACGATCGTCCTCTCCTTCTCGCTGCAGCCCACGCTTGGAGCTTCTCGCTGTGCTCTCGGGTTCTCCTGCACGCTCTCGCAAGATCCGCGGCTCGTCGCCACCAAGACTCGGTGGGCTGCGTCGCCGCCAACTCGCTCCTCCTCGAACTCGCTCTCGCTCTCGCTCTCGCTCTCGCTGGCGTCGCTCTCGCTCGTCCGTGCGGCAGGAGGCACGCATTTCATTCGCAGGTCGGCGGGGCGGCTGCGTCACGACGAGGGACAGCACGAGGGAGGAAGGAGAAAGCGCGAGGGAGGGAGGGAGGGCGCGCGCCTCAGCGAGCGACTGCGCGGACTGCGAGGGGGGCGAGGGTCAGTGCTCGCCGAGCCTGTGCGGGACGGAGGGAGGACGCGGCAGAGAGGAGGAGGACTCACTGTTGCTCGAGCCGGCGACCGGCGCCTGGGCGTCGCCCATCGTCGACGACGACGACGACGACGACGACGCGGCGACGCGGCGACGTGCTTGCCCTTGGCCTTCTTGGTCGGGCTGCCCGTCGTCGAGTGCTGCTGGTGGTCCTCGACGTCGCGCGCGCGGCGCTTCATGGGCGTCGTGGCGCGCGAGGCGACCGGAAGGAGCGACGGGAGGCCGCTCGCCTCCTCGATGTACTCGCGCGTCGTCCCGTCGGGGTTCTTCTCGACCCAGTAGGTGGTGCGGGTTTCGAAGCCGGACGACTCGCGCACGTTGTGCTGAAGGAGCGCGACCTTCTCGCCAGGGTTGAGGACGAGCGACGGGCGCGGGCGACCCGGGGACGACTTGACGGAGACGAGCGCGCGGAAGCGGCGCGCAAGGCCGAGGTCCTCGGCCTCCAGGACCTGCGAGTCGGCGTCGGCCGAGCCCTCGTCCGGGTTGGCGGCGTGCTCGAGGTTGGCGACCTGCTCGAGGTGGGCCGGGCTGACGGCGGCGGGGGCGTCCTCGAGCGTAAGCGTCGCGAGCTGCTGGCCGACGACGGGGACGAGGTTCTGATGCGGAAGGGGCGAGACCTGGTCAGCTCGGCGTGCCCTCAGGAGCGAGGGAGCGGGGAGGGGACGGGCGGGGAGGCGTGTGCTTTGGAGGAGCGGGAGGGGCGGGGGAGAGGCAAGGGGAACTGCGTCCTGCCGACAGAGAGAGATATGAGCGCACCTCGTTGAAGGGAGTGGGCTGGGACATGGCGCGTGCAATGTCGAGATGAGCGAGGGAGGAGGAGGAGGGAGAGAGGGAAGCGCGACGAGCGAGTGGAGCGACTTCTCGGCGCGGCTCTCGGTCGGGGCCAGTCGGGTTCGTCCACCGCGCTCGACGTGTCGTGCACGTACACGCTCGAGTTGGCGCTGCATCGGCTTGCAAAGCGCCCTCGAGCGAGCCCCTGAGGCAGAATCAACTCGAAGCTGGCGGCGCGCGACCTGAGCGGCGCGCTCGAGCGGCCTCGCGATTCGCTCTCCTCTCTCGAGCAATGCGCAAGTGCAGCTTCTCGTTTGACCCTGATGCTTTTCCGGCCCGAGAGAGCTCCTGAACTGAGAGAGGTAAGCCGACCGCGGCGACGCCGCTGCCGCGAGGTCGAAAGAGGGTCGAGCGCGACGGCTCGAGTCCTCGACGACGGCGACGAGCGCCTTCTCGCGAGCTGCGCACGTGAGTGCACGTGCGCGTGCGAGTACAAAGCCGATTCGTGTCGGTCGCTCACCGAGCCAAGTCGGCATCGAGGCGAGCTTGCGAAGGTCGCTCTCCCGGGCGGACGGACCGTCGACGACGACGAGCGAGGACACGACAGAGTACGGGTAAACGAGATCCATGGCAGGGTACGCTACGACAAGCTAGGGGCGGGTCGCCAAAGATGCGCTCGAGGAGGAGGAGAGGAAGCGAGGGAAGGGTGGAGAGAGGGAGAGAGAGACGCACCTCGACCGCCAGCACCTCGAGCCCGTCCTCCCTCCCTCTCGACGCGCTCGACAGCTCGGCCTCTCAGAAGTAGCCCGCCGACTGCCACGCCGCGACCGGTACCGCACACGTCTCGAGGGCGGCCGGGTCCGCCTCGACAACCTGCGAGCGCTTCGCGACGCTCCAGGGTCCGAGCGGACGCCGCTGCGGCGGTGCGGGTTGGCTCAGACCCAGCCGTGCTTGGTCGTGAGGAGCGTCGATAGCGTGTCGCGGGGCGATGTTGAACAAGGGCGAACGAGTGACCAACGAGCGCCGGGAGTTGAGCTGTGCGGGTGCGAGCAAAGGCGAGGAGGGAGAGGCAGAGGTCAGTACGTGGCGCTCGGGCGGAAGGAGACCGAGAGAAGAAGGAGGAGAAAGAGAGGAAGGGGGCGAGGGAGAAGGAGAGTGCAGGGGCAGGGAGGAAGGAGAGGGCGCCGAGGTCGGTCTCGAGCCGTTTGCGCTGCTCGACCACGCTGTCGCTGCCGACCGCCGCGTGCCGCCCATCAAGGCCTCGCAAGCTCGCGCAGTTCTCGCCGTACTGCGCGTGAGGGAGAGGCGGTCAGTGCTCCTCGCGTCGCGAAAAGAAGGGCGACGAGGGAGAGAGGGAAAGGGCGAGAGGGACGCACCTGCTTGAGCTCCTCGACGACCGACTCGAGACTCCTCCTCGCGCTCGCACCCTCGGTCTCGGCGACGTCTGCCGCCACGCCGCTCGTCGCCCTCACCTCGCGCTCCGTCTGCTCGACCTCCTTGGGCCGCCATCCTCGGCCCTCGACCTCGACGGCGCGCTCGAGCGCGTCATGCAGCGCCTCGTACTCCTTGCCTTGGTTCAGGCGGCGGTGCGCGAGTCGGTCGGCGACGGTCGTGATCCGGGTCCACGAGTCGACGAGGGCGGGCAGGCCGGCGCGGGCTGCTCGCGGCGCGGGGCGCGCGAGAAGGCGGAGAGCGCTCCGAGGGTGGCCTCGCGCTGAGCGCGGCAGCAGCATGCGGTGTGGCTCGAGGCTCACGAGCAGAGCAAGTGCAAGCGCGAGTCGAGCGAGAGAGTCTGGAGCGGTGCAGGTCCGAAAGAGGCGACGACGTCCGACCCTCGTCGTCTGGCTCTCGCTCTCACCCAGACTGCCAGCGTTCAGCATGACGAGCTTCAGAGGCATCTCTCTGGACCAGGTGCGTCCCCTCACGCCCCTCTCACCCCGGCCAGCGCCTCACCTCGCCCCCTCCCTCTCCTCATCTCCCACCTGGACCGGTCGCCCTCTCTCGTCGCCCTGCAGGACCCGCGCTTCAAGGACAAGCAGGCTGCGCTCCTCGCCAAGACGTCTTTCCCCGCCACGTTCAACACCAAGGTCTGTCTGCTGCCCGCTCTCTCGCCCTCTCCTTCCCGTTCCCCCGCCCCGGGCCTCGCGCCTGGCCGGGCGCTGACCGCTTCCCTCGCCTCGCAGGTCGACATTCGCAAGGTCGAGATGGCCGTCATGAAGCCCTGGATCACCAAGAAGGTCATCGAGCTCCTCGGCTTCGAGGACGACGTCCTCCTCGAGTACATCTTCTCGCTCCTCGAGGACAACGAGAACCCTGTACGTGCTGCGACGTTCTCTGGTCCACAATACTCAGCATCTTCGCTTGGGCGTTCGGTCCTTTTCCTCGTACCACTCGCGCTGACACCCACACCTTCCGCAGGTCGTCGACGGCAAGCAGATGCAGCTCCTCCTCACCGGCTTCCTCGAGGCCAAAACGCCCGCCTTCATGTCGTCGCTGTGGGACCTCCTCCTCAGCGCCCAGTCGAACCCGCTGCGCGTACCGACCGCCCTCCTCGAGGAGAAGAAGCGCGAGATGCGCGCCCGCGAGGAGCAGGAGGCGCTGCGGCGCAGGGAGGAGGAGCATCTCGACGAGGTGCGCAGGAGGGAGCGCGAGGGACGAGGCGGGCCTGGCGGCGGACGAGGAGGGAGAGGAGGGTTCGGTGGACCGCCGCAGGGCAGGGGCGGCTACGGGGGAAGGGGCGACGACCGCGGGCGCGACGCTGGCTTCGGGCCGCGAGGAGGCGGCGGTGGGTACGGGGGCGAGCGGGACGGCGGGTACGGCGGGTACGGGCCGCGTGGAGGCGGCGGCGGCGGCGGCCGGGGCGGATACGGCGTCGATGCCGGACCTCGAGGGGGACGAGGAGGAGGAGGTACTGAGGTGCGTCCTCATCTCGCTCCCTCACCAAGGCGACATCGTTCGCGAACTGACCTCGATACTTTCTACAGTACCAGCGAGGTCGCTCCCTCTCCCGCACACCGCCTCGCCCACCTCCCCGTCGTCGGCGCTCCCCCTCGCGCTCGCGCTCTCGTTCGCGCTCCCCACCTCCTCGCCGCCGCATCCGCTCCCCCACTCGCTCGCGCAGCCGGTCGCCCGGCCCGGGCAAGCGTCGTGCCGGCCGCAGCGCGACCCGCAGCCGCAGCCGCAGCCGCAGCAGGAGTCGGAGCCCGCCGCCGCGGCGCAGGAGGTCCTCGCCGAGTCGCAGCCAGAGCCGGTCGCCTCCTCCGAGGCGCCGACTCGACGACGCCGAGCGCGGTGCGGGTGCAGCGGGGAGGCGGCGCCCGGCGAGGGACGCTTTCTCGCCCTCGCCGCCGAGGAGGCGGTCGCCGTCGGCGGTCCGCAGCGGACCTTTGGTGGGCGATGCGGCAAGGCGGTCGCGATGGGAGCAGGACGACTCGGGTCCGGCGCAGGTCGTGCAGGAGCAAGACGAGGTGCGTCCTGTTTCCCTCCCTCGTGTCGGCGCTGTGCGCAAAGGCGGTCCGTTCGCCGGCCCCTGTCGCCCGCGTCGCCCGGCCGTCGTGTGGAGCGCAAGTCGGCCAGTACCCTGACTCTCTCTCTCTCTCGTACAGGATCTCTCGCGACGCGAGTCGGAGCTCAAGGAGGGCCTGTTGCGCAAGAAGGTCGTTGCCTCGCGCTCATCGCGCTCGTGAGGGTCATGCTCTCGACGCTCTCGCTCCGGGCGACGGCGTCGTCGGCGTGCTCGGCTGCACGCAAGAGGAGCAGGAAAAGGTTGGAGCGGGGCGCGAGCGGCGAGCGCGGGGTTGCGAAATGCTCTCACATGTTCGAACGAGAAGGTGGCTCGCTGGCGGTGTGAGAGGCAAGCGCAAGAGCAGGCGAGAGCTTGAACCGAGCATGGTCCTTGGGCGAGTACGCAGAGCCGCACGGCGAGGGCGAGGTTGAGCGTGCCTTGCCAGCTGCAGCTCGAGGAAAGGGAGCCGGCTCGTCGACCTGCTGTTGGCTCGTGCCCGCTCCATCACGACCACCGCGCACTCGCCGTGACTGCTTCCGTGCAGCTCGACGGGCTCTCAGCCACCTGCGCCCGCGCACGTCGCCCCTCGCCGTTGCGCTCGTCCATTGTCCCCTCCTCCCCCTCTCGACCCGTCTCGCTCCGGCGACCCCTCGCGCACTCGCCCTCGCCGTCCAGCACGCCTGCCAAGATGGCCTCGGACCCGGCCTCGTCGGCCACCACTCCACCCTTCCAGACGAGCGCCATCCCGACTTTCTCCCTCGCCGCCCTCCATTCCTTCCTCTCCGGCGACGCGCCGAGCCCGACCAACTCGTCCAGCCACGCCGCCAAGTGCGCCAGTGGCTCGATGTCCGGTGCACCGAGCCCGGCAGCGGTGCCTGCAGCGTCGCCGTCGTCGTCGTCGCCTTCGTCGTCCCGCGGCCACGACCCGGCAGCCGGTGCCGCGCTCCCCTCGGCGACGGCCAACTTTGCCGACCTGCTCGCCGAGTTCACGCTCCAGCCCAACGTGTTCAGCCCCGAGGCCCAGAGCAGGACCGGCGGCGCGAGCGGGACCGGCGGCGAGGGCATGGCTGGCGTCGAGCACGCCGGCGGTGCAGCAGCAGCCGGGCACGACGCCCTCATGGAGCAGCTCCGCCTCCTGTACCCGACGCTCGACTCGCCTGCGGCCGCAGCGCCGTCGCTGCCGCAGCTCCAGCCGGACCTCCAGGCCCAGCTCCAGCAGCTCCTCGCTGGCGGCATGCCCTCGAGCGAGACGCCGACGCCGACACTCGGCTCGTCGACAGCGCCTCAGTCGTTCATGCCGCCGCCGCCGCCGCCGCCGATGTCGCACCTCCAGCACTCGCCCTCGAGCGGCAGCGCCGCCCCTCACCCGTACGCGCCGCCCTCGCCCTCGGCCTACTCGCCGCATCCCTCGTCGTCGCACCACCCGAGCCCGATGCCGTCGTACCACCACAACGGCTCCGCCTACCACCAGCACCCGCAGCACTCGGGCTCGTCGACGCCGAGCCAGGCGACGTACGGCCCGCCGCCGGTCCCGGGCGGCCTCGCGCTGCCGCAGATGTTTCAGCAGATGCTCGGGTCGTTCCAGCCCGGCGCGGCAGGCGGCGGCGACCCGAACCAGAGCTTCCTCGCGCAGCAGCTGCAGAACGCGCCGTTCTCGGCCCAGGTCGCGGCGCTGCAGCTGCTCATGGGCGCCCAGATGCAGGCGCAGGTCCAGGCGCAGGTCCAGGCGCAGCAGGCCCAGATGTACCACCATCAGCAGCAGCAGCAGCAGCAGCGTCACCATCAGCAGCAGCAGCAGAACGGCCACGCGCACGGTCAGCAGCAGCAGCACTCGAACGGCATGAGCAGTGGGACGGTCAGCCTCGACGGCTCGTACCGCGAGAACGAGGTGCGCCTCCCCTTCTCTCTCTCTCTCTCTCCCTCTCCCTCCTTTCCTCCCAGACCTCTCCTGACGACCATTGTCACGCTACACAGTACCTCTTCAGCCCGATGATGTCGCCCGCCATGACGCCGCACTCGGCCTTTACCAACGCCTCGTCCCTCCCTCCCTCGGTCGGCCCGAGCGCCGTTCCGCTCGTCTCGCCTGCCGACCTCTTCCCTCCCCTCACCTCACCGGCCCTTGGCCCGCAACTGTACAACACGGACGTCGCGTCGAGCTCGTCCTCGAGCAGCCGCGTCAACCCGCAGCGCAACTCGCTCCAAGGCCTCGTCGACGGCGTCGGCGCCCTCTCGACCCAGTTGCCGAGCGGTGCGCCCGGCTCTCCCGCCGGGTCGTACTACTCGCCTCGACTCGGCCCGATCGACGTCGGGACGTCGACGGGCGCCGGCGCGGCGGCGGGTCGGCGCGGCGCAAGCAGCGCGGCCAAGAAGACGCGCCCGAGCCCGCTCATCAAGCCGACGCCCGACTCGGCGCTCGAGCGTCGCCGAGGCCGCACCAAGACGGTGTCGTCGGCCGGGCACGGCGAGAAGCGGGCCGGGAGCAAGAGCGCGACGAGCAGCCCGTTCCTCGGACCGACGATGGGCGGATCGGTGAGCAGCCAGGGACGAGCTGGCAGCGTCCTGTCGACAAGCGGCTCGTCGTCGAGCAAGGCGTCGCCTGCCGAGCAGGGCGGGTCGCACGTGCACTCGCAGCCGCACGGCGCCGTCGGCGGCCACGGCGGCTTCGCGAGCTTCGACACGCCGAGCCCGGTCGACCTCGCCTCGTCGGGCTACGCCAACCAGTCGTCGTACCCGTCGCCTCAAGCGCAGCAGCACTACCAGCTGCCGAGCTCAAGCTACGCGCACCAGCCGAGCCTGCCCGGCGTCGTCGAGGGGGTCGCCGTCTCGTCGCCGTCGATCGACCCGCAGATCTTCGCGGCGCATGCGCCGTCGACGGTCCCGGCCCAGCAGCACGTCGAGCAGCACGCCCAGCAGCATCATCAGCACCGGCAGCCGTACCAGCTCGAGCCGATGGGTCCGCCACCGCCGCCGTCAGCCGGCTTCAACCCCGTCACGCCCGCCTCGTTCATGAACTTCTCGAGCGACTTTGACGTCAACGGCCTGTCGTCGCTGTCGCCGGCGCTCGGCGCCCTCCAGGCGCACGACATCGACTCGGCCCTGTCGTCGCTCAGCAACAGCCCGGCCCTCCTCCCGCAGCCCGACGCCGCCTTCCTTCCCGCCGCCATGGACCTCGGCGGCGGCACCGCGCACTCGCTCGCCGAGATCAGCGTGCAGCCGAGCGCCGCCACCGCCGCCGCCACCACCGCCGCCACCAGCACGGTCGGCGCCGCAGCTGGCGACGGCGACGAGGAGGAGACGTTCACCGCGCCGCCACCGCCGTCGACGAGCAAGGCCGCTCCTCGGCGCAAGGGCGCGTCGGTACGAGCGTCGCCGGCGCTCAAGCCTGTCGACGCGGCGGGTACGGGCGGCGCGAGCGTCAAGGGCAAGGGCAAGGCGGCGGCGGGCGGTGCGGGCGCAGGTGCGGCAGGAGCGGGAACGAGGAAGGGCAAGGCGGCGACAAAGATTGCGCCGAGCCCGAAGATCGGGCCGAGCCCAAAGATCCGGCCTCTACTCGCGAGCAGTGCGTCCCTCCTCTCCCTCGCTCCCCTTTCCTCCCTTCCCTTCCCTCCCTTCCCTTTCCTCCCTTCCCTTTCCTCCCTTCCCTTTCCGCCTCCCTCCCCTGCCGCACCTGCCCTCCCTCGCACAAGGACGAGTCACTGACCTGCACGTCTCGTCGTCCCGCAGACGCAGCACCCGACGCCCAGTCGCGCCTCGCGACCAAGAGCAACTACGAGAACATCCTCGACGGTCGCGGCCCCGACCTGCTCGGCCTCCCCTCGTCGATGCAGTCGGAGCTGCAGGCGGCCGGTCCTTCTTCCGCCAACGGCGGCGCCGCCCCTCCTGTCGACTCGCGCCGCTCGTCGCACAAGGTCGCCGAGCAGAAGCGGCGCGACTCGCTCAAGCTGTGCTTCGACGAGCTCCGCAAGCTCCTCCCGCCGATCCTGCCCTACACGGACGAGCTCGACCGCCGTCCGGGCGACGGCAACGTCGGCGGTCAGCGACATGGCGAGGTCGACCCGGACAACCCGAACCGCGGCGTGAGCAAGGTAGCGCTCCTGCGACGGAGTAACGAGTACCTCGGCATCCTGCGCGAGCGCATCGAGCGGCGCGACAAGGCCATCACGGCGCTGCGCGACCAGATGGTGGTGCTGAGGGAGCAGCTCGGCATCACGGAGCTCGGCGAGGAGGAAGAGGAGGTGCCCGGCCTCGACCTCGACCTGGACCACCTCGACAAGGAGGAGAAGCAGGCCGGCAACCTCGCGTTCTGTGCGTCTCTCTCTCTCCCTCCCCCCCCCCTCTCTCTCGCGCGCTCCCTTTCGTCGTTGCCCGAACTGACACTCGCCCTCTCGCTCGCAGACGAGGACCTCGACTTTGACCAGAAAGTCGCGCCCGTCGTCGCTCGTCGACCCTCAGCCTCGTCCGCTCGTCGCCCGTCGGTCGCGCTCGAGGTCAAGCCCGCCGCTGCGCCCTCGAGGGTGACGGGCACCCGACGGTCGGCGCGCATGTCGCAGACGGCGCAGGAGGACCAGCCGATGGAGCTCGGGGGGGAGGAGTGAGTTTCCTGGAGGAGTGCGCCGAGCCGGTCGTCCCCTCTCTCATCCCGTTGCGCCGTCGTCGTCTTCCCCTCCCCTCGTTGTTGTTATTCTCATCTCTCGTTTCCACGTGCGAGTCTGCTCTCGTGCGGGCTGCTCGTCGCCGGCCGCGCTCGCGCCCCTTGTCGGACGGACGAGCCACTGTCCGTGCCCCGGATTGTCCAAGGCGCACTCGGCTCGGCCGCGCCTCGCAGCTCGCTCTTGCTCCTGCACCTCGCTGCACGGCGAACTCGCTGCACCTGCACCTGCTGCATGTCGCGCCACCACCGCGCACGGCGACGCAGCGACTCGAGCGACTCGGCCAGTTCGGCGGGCTCGTCCTCCTCGACCGACCTCGCCTCGTCCCCGGGCGCATCTTCATCGAGTGGATCCTCTGCATCACGCCTGCGCGACAAGGTTCGACATCGGTACCGCGACGAGTCAGACTCGGACTCGGGTCCGGGCTCGTCGTCGTCGTCGTCCTCCTCCTCCGACGTGCGTCCCGCCTCTCACTCGTACTTCCCCCACTTCTTCGCAGAGCTGACCATGACCCCCGGTACAGGTACGCGCTGCTCCACGACATGGCCCTCATCATCATCAGCATCATCATCTTCATCATCAGCGAGCCCGACAGCGCCGCACTCGAGCACACAGCAACGCCATCATCGCCGTCGGCGCCGTCGTCTTTCTCGCCGCCGGCATCGTCCTCGTCTTCCTCGTCACGCGAGGCGATGCTCCAGCGTCTTCTACCGCGAGTGCATCATCGACAGGAGGCGGCGGAGAAGCGGCTGGAGCTGGAGCGGCGTCTGGGGGGAAGGGCTCGAGCGGGAACGAGGGTTCGTCGGCCAAGGCGCGTCCCGTCCACCCCTTCTCTCAAGTTCCCCGAATTGACGCCAGTGTCGTCTGCGCAGAGTGCGAGCAAGCTGGGCGGTGTCTCGGGCTCGTCGTCGAGGACGAGCGGGGCGGCGAGCGGAACCGGAGGAGTGTCGCCTTCCTCGACTGCTACGGCCGCTACGGCCGCCTCGCCAGCCACGTCGAATGGCGGGCCGTACAAGCTCGTCAACAGCTACGAGGGCGATACGTTCTTCGACGGGTGGACCTTCTGGGCCGACGCAGGTGAGCTCGCTCTCACTTGGCCTTCCTAAACTTGAGCGGGCGGACCTGACCTGACCTGCGCTTGCCCGCCGACCGACAGACCCTACTCATGTGCGTCCCTCAGCTCGTGAGTACGTCGAGTTGAGCTCATGCAGAGCGCGTGCAGGGCCAAGTCGACTACGTCAACCTCGACGACGCCAAAAGTGCCGGCCTCATCTCGACGAGCGCGAGCTCCATCTTCATGGTGCGCCCTCATTCCGCTCGTCTCTCGTCATAGATCGTCCTGACGCTGCGCCCCTACCCACAGAAAGTCGACAACACGACGGTGCTCGACGCCGGCGCGGCGAGAAAGTCGGTTCGCATCCACAGCACCGAGGCCGTCAAGATTGGCTCGGTCATCATCGCCGACATCGTCAAGATGCCCTGGGGCTGCTCAAGTACGTCCTGCTCGCTCGTGCGTCTCGACAGGATCGAGCAGGACTGATCTCGAGCCCGTCGCGCAGCCTGGCCCGCTTTCTGGTCGAACGGGCCCAACTGGCCCGACGGCGGCGAGATGTGCGTGCGCTTTCGCGTTTTCTCTGCTCTCGCTGTCGTCGAGGCGTCGACGGCGAGGCCGCGAGCGTCAAGTTTGGGAGCACGAATCCGCTCACTCCTCTTGCGCCGCCCACAGCGATGTTCTCGAGGGCGTGCACGACGACGTCGCCAACCAGATCACGCTGCACACCAAAGACTCGGGCTGCAAGATGACGGACGACGTCGACGTGACCGGCACGCTCGTGCCCGCCAAGTGCGTCTCGCTCCTCCTCTCTCCGTCGAGCGCATCGTCTCCTCTCTCTTCTTTCGTCCCTTGCCTGACCGTCTCGCCCCTCTCACGCCCACAGCAACGACTGCAACGCCAAGGTGAACGGCAACACGGGCTGCTCGTACGCCGAGACGGCCAAGAACAGCTACGGCGAGGGCTTCAACGAGGCGGGCGGCGGCGTCTTTGTCACGTCGTTCACAACCAACGGCATTGAGCAGTGGTTCTGGAGCAGACCCGACGTGCCGCAGAACATCGTCGACGGCTCGCCTGACCGCAAAACGTGGGGCAAGCCGAGTGCGAGTTGGCCGAGCAGCGGGTGCGCCATCGAGGAGTACTTTTCGGACCAGGACTTGATCTTTGGTGAGTCCTCTTGCCCTCTCTCTCTCGTGCGCATCTCTCGTGCGCAGTCGCCTGACGACGAGCACGTTTCATAGATACGACGCTCTGGTGCGCTCGACCCTCTCCCTCTTCCTCCTCCCTCGCCCTGACCCTCGCGCCTCATCCTCTCCCTGTCTCTCTCGCAGCGGTGACTGGGCCGGTGCGGTACGTCGTCGTCCTCCCTCTCACCCTCCCTCCTCGCCCGTCACGCACTCACGTCAAGTCCTCGTGCGCCCAGGTCTGGCCCGAGCAGTGCCTCGCGCTCGGCGCGACATGCTCCGACGCCGTCAAGGACCCGAAGAACTTTGACAACGCGTACTGGGAGGTGGCGTACGTGCGCGTGTACTCGATCTAGCGCTTCTCGAGCGTGTGCGGCGAGGACGAGAGGCGAGAGCGCGAGAGCGAGAACGAGAGCGAGAACCGGACGAGCTTGAGGTCGGGTACTCGCCGACCGAAGCGAGCACGAGCGAGTGCTGCTGTTGTACGGCGTGCCCGCAGCGAGGACGAGTGCGAGAGCGAGGAGGTGCAACGCGAGGGAGCGAGAGGCAGACGGCCAAGCGAGGACACGGCCTGCGCCCGCGCGCTGCCGCCAGGGGGTCGTAGCACAGCTAGGTAGTGCAACGCTCGCTCCAGCAGGTGCACAGCGGGTGCGAGAGGAGCGAGGACGCGGCCGCCGTGCGACCAACCACTCGCGGCTCGTCGTCTGCGTCGTCTGCTCGTCGTCCCGCCCACCCTCTCTACGACCCAAGCACTCAGCCATGCCGGCCATTGCACCGATCCAGGGCGCGCTCCGCAAGCACGTGCGTCCCGCTCCCTCTCGTCCTCGTCGCGGCCCTGTGCCGCCGAGCCGAGGCTGATCTCGTCCTCTCCCCCGTCTTCGTCCGCCCGCTCTCGCGCCCACAGCTCCTCACCAACCTGAGCATCGGCATCGGTGGCGGCCTCGTCGTGCGTCCCTCTTCCTCCTCGCTCTGCCGCCCGCCGATCGCGAGGCGTGCCCCTCCTTGTCCTCGCCTCGCCTCCTCCGCCCCGCGCCGACTGACCCTCGCCTCGTCGTCCTCCCCCACAGGCCGGCTACTCGTACTGGCAGCTCGTCCACCTCCCCCTCGTGCGCAACCGCGACAACTGGTGCGCCCCCGTTCTTGCCCCCTTCCTCCTCGCCGGCGACAGAGCTCACCTCGCCGCGAACGCCTCCCACAGGTACCTCGAGCAGGCCAAGCTCAAGGCCGAGTCGGCATAAGCGCGTTCGGTGGCTTGTAGAACTCGAGCGGTCGACGGGTCGCGGAGCGAGAGGGGAACGCCGACGGGTTTCGTCTTCGAGGCTCGACCCCGGACGAGAGGAAGCGCCATCTCGGGCCTTCGTGACGAGGAGCGAGGCACCCCGCACGCTCGACGCTTCTCGACTCCTCGCTGCTCTGCTCGGATCGCTCCCTGCCTCTGCTTCGTCCTCGTCGTCGCCGTCCTGCGCTGCACCGCTAGCCTCTCGACATGGCCATCGCCCCGATCCAAGGCGCGCTGCGTCGCTCTGTGCGTCCTCGGTCCTCCTCTCGCTCTCCCTTGCCTCGTCGCGGCCGCTCATTCGGTCGAGCCGTCCCTCTCGCAGGCCCTCCTCCACATCTCGCTCGGCCTCGGGTCCGGCCTCGTCGGCGGCTACTCGTTCTGGTGCGCGCGCGCGCCGTCCTCCTCTGGCCCCTCTCCTTCTCGTCGTGCCTTCTGACCCTCGTTGTCGGCACCCAGGTACCTCCATCACCTCCGCAACGGTGCGTCGCCTCTATCTCTCCCGCCCTCGAGCGATCCTCGGACGACTGACCCACTCCGTTCCCCTCTCCCGCTCTCGCCCTCCTTGTCCCTCGAGCAGTCCGCATCCGTGATGAGTGGTACGCCCAGCAGCGTGAGGCGCAAGCTCAAGCCTGAGTGTCGAGTGCGAGTGTGCGGCAGGATGAGGCCCTAGCAGCCAAGCGCGAGATAGAGGCAGCGGGAGACGAGGGGCGAGGACCGTGCCATGCGAGCTGGATCTTTGTGCCGAGGAGCTGCGCGTCGAGAGCGAGGCGAGAGCGTTCGTCACTACGCGCGAGAGATGTCGCTCGTCGAGCCATGGCGAGAGCTGAGCCTCGAGAGGAGCAGCGCTCGAGCCGCTCGCGATCCAGGAGCGCCACCCTCGCGACGGCGCTCGAGAGCAATGACAGGGGCTCGTTCTCTCATGTCGAGCTCTCGCCGAGACACGCACACTCGCTCGCGAAGAAGGAGAGAGAGAGACGCGGCGGGAACCGGGACAAAGAGCAGTACATGGCCTCGCGCCGGCACTACGACAAGCTCGCGCCGACGTACGTCGGCGCACAGCACACGCCCTTGTCGGTCACGATCCTGTGCGTCTCGCCCTTGCCGGCGTCGGCGACCCAGGCCGCCTCGCGGTTGGCGAGCGTCGTAAAGCCCGGCTGCACCGTCTCGAAGATCTTCTTCTTGGGGTTGAGGAGCTCGAGCGCGGTGCGGTCCTGCATGCCCTCGAAGTAGACGCGGTCGCCCGGCTCGGAGCCGGCGGGCGGGTCGACAAACTCGACGCCGGCGTCCTTGCCCTCGGGCGAGGTGGCCTGCATGGACGAGTGGCGGGGTCAGTTCAGATGGCCGGCGACAGGAAAGAGACAGAGGGAGGAGACGCACGCAGAGAAGCATGCCGAACGACTTGATGCCGCGCACTGTGAGAGCGAGGGAGGAAGGGCGAGACAAGGTCAGAGGAGGGGGCCCGAGCGAGACGAGGCGAGGGGGAAAGGGAGGCAAGCGGACGCGAGACGCACTGCTGACGGGCTTGAGGTTGCACACGGTGATGACCATGGCGCCCTGCACTGCGATCGCGAGGACCGAGAGAGCGTGAGCTGACGGGGCCGAGGTCGAAAGAGGGAGACGAGGGACGCACTCTGCTCGAGCGTCTTGTACTTGACGAGGCCCGACAGGATCGTTCTCGGCTCGGCCTCGCCAACGTCAATCTTCTCGACGTAGAGGGAGTCGGCGTCCGGGTGGACCGAGACTGCGAGACGAGCGGGCCAAAGAGGGGTCAGTGCGGGGCGTCCGGGTCTGCGTCCGGCTGCGACGAGGACGGGCGAGGACGGTGGGACGGGGAACGCGAGGGACGCACCCTCGACGATCTTGCCGACGCGCAGGTCGACCATCCACGGCGCGGGCGCCTCTGCGACCGGTGCGGGCGCGGGCGCCTTCTTCTCCTTTGGCGGCTTGTCCTTCTTGTCGCCCTTCTTGCTGGCGCCGTCCTTTGCTGCACCCGCGGTAGCGGGAGCGCCGGCCTGCTCGCCCTTCTTCTTGTCGCTCACGACCTTGTCGACGGGCGCCTGCTTCTGCTGCTTGTCGGCGGCGGCGGCGGGAGCGGCAGCAGCGGCGGCGTCGGCCTTGGGCTTCTTGGGCTTGACGTCGGGCTTGACCTCGACGACGGGGACGTTGTCGACGTCGATGGCGACGAGGGCGGGGCGGCCCTCGAGGAGGTCGGGGTTGCGCGCGAGGGCCGAGGCGACGAGCGGGAGGTGCTGGACGTGGTCAAAGTGGCGGGTCAAGGCCGGGTGCGACAGGAGGGTCGAGTGCGAGGCTTGGGCCTGTCGAGGGAGCAAAGGAGGGTCAGGCGCGCGTGGACGAGGGCGAGACGAGAGAGAGGACGAGGGGACGGACGATGTGCGGGTGGACGGCGGCAAAGAGGCCGAGGTCGGCGGCGGTCAACGACTCGCCGGCGCAGTAGGTCTTTGTGGTGAGGTCGGTGTCGATGGCCTTGAGCGAGTCGGGCGAGTCGAGTGAGGGCGAGTCGAGCTTGGCGAGGAAGTGCTTTGCGGCGTCCTGCTGCTGCGGGGTGTTGCCGAGGGCGTCGTTGGTCTTGCCTGCGGCGTCGACGAGGGCGGTGACGATGTCGGCGAGGGCGGTGACTTTGCCCTTGGGGGATTCGAGAGCGAGCTGGTGGGTGGGCGGTGCAAGGTCGAGGTGAGCGCGGGTGGGAGCGAGGCAGAGGAGAGAGGAGAGAGGGCGAGAGGGGGGCGCACCGAGTCGGCGTGCGAGAGGGTGAGGTCCGGGACAAACTGGCCGTACACGGCGTGGACGAGGGCGGCAGCACGAGCTGGCGGGGACGAGTTGGTCGAGAGCGAGAGGTGGATCGAGGCCATGGTCGACAGGCGGTGGCGGGACTGGGTGAGGGTGCGGCGAGTGAGTGCAGTCCAGGCGGTTGTGAGCATGCACTGACTAGCGAGTGAGCTGTAGCGAGAGAGGGAGGACCGGGTGCTGCTCGCCTCTCCTCGTCGTCGTTCGCGGCTCCTTTTCCCTCATCGCCCGCGTCGTCCTCATCAGCCATGCTCGCACGCACTGCAGGTGCGCCCTCACCTCCTCCCCTAGCTCTCACCCACACCAACTCACCAACGAACCTCCAACCGTGCAGCCTCGTCGTCGCGCTGGATCGCCTCGACCTCGACCTCGTCCTGCCTCGCATGCTCCACCCTCCCTCCTCGACCAGCAGCACTGTGGTCCACTCCCTCCTCCTCCAGGGCCTTCTCGCACGCCACATCGCCCCGTCGCGCACCCACCCCGTCCTCGACCTCGCTCCCTCCTCCGCTCCCTCACCACGCCCACCGCAACGCTCTCGAGCCTCAACCCCTCCCGACCCACTCGACCTCGTCGTGAGTCACGCCTCTCCTACACCCTCGCTCCCTCCCCACACTGACCCGAACCTACGCCCGCAGCTCTGAGCCCTCGGCCCTGTCGCTCCTCGCGTCGCAGCCGTCGCACTACGTCGTGGCCCTCTTCATGGGTCGCCGCTACCTCTTGACCCCGGGCGACATCCTCACCGTCCCCAAACTCAAGGGCCTCGACGTCGGCCACACCCTCGCCCTCACCCGCATCCTCGAGGTCGGCTCGCGCGACTACACCCTCCGCGCCGCCCAACCCGCCTCGCACCCGCTCGCGACCGTCCACAGCGCGACCGCCGCCAACCTGAGCGCCAACCGCCAACCGCTCGACTCGGTCCTGCGCCCGCCCATGAGCCGCGCCGTCACGGTCGACGGCACCCCGCGCGACTGGCAGCGCCACCCGGACTCGCTCCCTCACCTCGCCGCCGACACGGTCCAGTGCACCCTCACCGTCACCGAGCACACAAAGGGCACCATGTTCGAGGTCGACAAGTTCAAGCGCCGCAAGGGCTACCGCCGCACCCTCCGCAGCAAGCTCGCCTTTACCCGCCTCCGCGTCGGCGAAATCACCCTCGGCCCACCCAAGGCCTGACGCGCATGGGTCGGGCACGAGGGTCACGGGTCGGGCTTGCGGTCGATGGGGCGGGTCGCACAGGGAGCGGGTTGTAGCGAGGGGCGCGGTTGCGCGCGAGCTGCACTTTGTACGATTCGAGCCTCTCTCTGTCTGTCCCGCGCGTCCGAGAGAGACTTTCGACGCACACAGAGAGCATGCACGACACGAGCAGCGAGAGTTTGAGCGGATTCCCGGTCTGCCCAACCTCGTCGCGCGACGAACGCGCCTCGCCGACCTGGCTGTGTCCTCCTCGTCGTCGGCCCTCCCCACCACTGCTGTGCAGCGCGAGTCCCGAGCCACCAGCCATGAGCTCGATCGCCGCCAACCTCCTGCGCCCCGTCGTCATCTGCGGTGCGTCCTGCGCCCTGCTCTCCCAGCCTCATCTCCCTCGCCGCACCAAAAGAGCTCACCCCTCCCTCCCTCGGCGACAGGCCCGTCTGGCACGGGCAAGAGCACGCTCCTCAAGAAGCTCTTCAACGAGTTTCCCGACAAGTTTGGCTTCTCCATCTCGCGTGAGCCCAACCTTGCCCTCCTCGCGCTCCTCCTTCCTCGTCCCCGCGCCCGCTAACCTCTCTCGCCCCCGCGTGGCGCCGACAGACACGACGCGTGCGCCGCGACCAGGCGAGGAGCGCGGCGTGTCGTACCACTACGTCTCGCGCGAGTCGTTCGTCGAGCTCGTGCAGCAGGACGGCTTCATCGAGCACGCAGAGTTCAGCGGCAACATGTACGGCACGAGCGTCAAGAGCGTCGAGGACGTCAAGCAGGGCGGCAAGATGTGCATCCTCGACATTGATACCCAGGTGCGTCCCCCCCACCTGCTCTCTCTCTCTCTTGGGTCGCGCTCGCTTCGCTCACTCACGCCGTCGTTGCACGCGCGCGCAGGGCGTCAAGCTCATCAAGGCCAACCACCCGCACCTCGACCCGCTGTACGTCTTCATCTCGCCGCCGTCGCTCGCGTCGCTCAAGACGCGCCTCGCCGGCCGCGGCACCGAGTCGGACCACTCGATGCAGGCCCGCCTCGCGGCCGCCGTCGGCGAGCTCGAGTACGCAAAGAGCGGCGCGTTCGACGTCGTCGTCGTCAACGACGACCTCGAGCGCGCCTACGCAAAGCTGCGCAGGGTCGTCGTCGACCGCGACCTCGAGGCGGGCGACCAGCTGCCCGACTTTGCCGCAGAGCAGTGAGGGCCGGCGCGCGCTCTCTCTCTTTATCTGCAACGACTGCCTTGCTGTCTCGCTCTCGTCGAGTCTCTCAGATTTGCCGAAAGGAGAGAAAGAGAGAGAGAGAAGGTCATGGCCGTCCTGGCGGACTTGTTTTCCCAGACGGGCTCATCCTCCTCGAGCTACGCAAGGTCGACGTTCGGGTCCGAGTACAGCTTGAACGTCTTGTCGTACTGGCCCGCCGCGATGAACCGAGCGTCTGCGAGCGACCGAGAAGGAACCGTGAGTACACCTGCTCGCGGGCGAGCTGGCGAGGAAGAGAGAGAGTGGGACGCACCGCTCGACACGTCGACGCTCATGACCTTGCCCGCCTGGTCGTTGGCCATGGCGCGCACCTGCTGCCAGTCGTCGGCGCTCCACACCTTGACGTAGCCGTCGAACCCGCTCGAGACGAGGAACGAGCCCGACGTCGGGAAATCGGGCTGGGTCGTCGCGTCGTGCGCCGAGTAGACGTCGCCCGCCTCGGGCTTGACGCTCCCGTCCTCCTCCTTGACCTCGCTCTCGCCCTCGCCCGCACCCTCGCTCTTGACCGCAGCACCGCTCGCGCCGTTGAACTCGTCCATGCCGGCGAACGCCCTCGGCGTCTCGGTGACCGGGTAGCGCTCGGCGTCGCGCGCTGCCGGCGCCGAAAAGAACTTGACGTCCGAGATGGCGCTCTTGTGGCCCGGGATGGTCGCGATCGCCTGGTGCATGCGCAGGTCCCAGATCCGGATCGTGTCGTCGTTCGAGCCCGTCGCGACTTGGTACCTGCGCCAGGACGACAGCGTCAATGCCGGCACGAGAGGCGAGAGACAAGGAGGAAAGAGAGAGAGAGAGGGTGGACGCACCCGTTGGGCGAAAAGTCGATCGAGAGGATGTCGCGGCTGTGGCCCGACAGGACGAGCGCCGTCCGGCCCGACCGCAGGTCCCACACGCGCGCAATAGCGTCGAGCCCTCTGCGCACAACGTCGAGGTCGTCAATATCATGTCGCACAAGGGCCCGAGCCGTCCTCGACAGGACAGGAGAGGAGAGAGCGCGAGACGCACCCAGATGCAACGAGCGCGCCGTCCTGCTGGAACGCGATGGCGTACACCTCCTTGCTGTGCCCCTCCTGGAGGAGGAGCTCGTCGCCGCGCTCGACGTCCCACAGGCGCCACGTGCCGTCGTACGACGCCGAGCCGAGGTACCGACCCGACGGGTGGAAGTTGACGCGGCACACGCGCGACTCGTGGCCCGACAGGGTGCGCAACGACGTGTCGCTGCGGGCACAGATGTACTGGGTCAGTGTCGAGCTTCACAGATGAAGGCGAACGAGAGAGAGAGAACGGACGCACTCGTCGAGGTTCCACAGCTTGATGTCGTTGTCGGCGCCGCTCGTCGCAAAGTTGACCGCGCTCGAGCTCTGCGACAGCGTCGCTTCTGGGTGCCACGCAACGCCACCTATCCGCTCCTTGTGCGCTGCGCGTGCGAGAAGCCGAGGCGTCAGGACAAGAGACCTCGGGCACGAGACGAGGAGAGAGGCGGACGCACCCCTCAGGACCCGGACCTCCTTGCAGCTCGGCACGCTCCACAGCTTGGCCTGCCCCGTCCACGAGCCCGTCAAGAGCATCTTCGAGTCGGGCGAGAACCGGACCGCCGACACGGCGCGCGTGTCGCCGATCTGCGAGCCGAGGTTGGTGAACGTCGACAGGTTCGAGAAGACGGCCTTGCGGACGTCCATGAGGCGGGCGAGCGGGACGCCGGCGTCGAAACGTTGGCGTGCGAGACGTTTCCTTGCCCTGTCAGAGGGAAGGGGCGGCGATGGTCAGTCTCATGGGCAAGGGGAAAGGAGGATCGAGGAGAGAGGGAGGGGAGGCGCACCTCGGCAGCGAGTACTCGGCAATGTCGCGACGTGCGGCCTTGAGCGCCGTCGGGCCCTCGGTGTAAAACTCCTCCTCCTTCTCGCTCTCCTCGGACTCGCTGTCGCTCTCCTCCTCCTCCTCGACGTCCATCGCCTCGCCCCGCTCGAGTCGCGCTTTGGCGATCAGGTCGCGCAGGCGGTCTCGCCTGTCGGCGGGGCCCTCGCCAAAGAGCGTGATGGGCTGGTCGAGCTCGCGCAGGCGGGCGCGCACCTCGCCGTCGTTGGTCGGGAGGGCGATCTTGCGGGCGAGCTGTCGGCGGTCGAGCTCCGACAGGAGGCGCGCCGTTTCCGGGTGGGCGGCCGAGCTGGCGACGTCCGAGTCGCGCGCCTCGAGCGAGTCAAAGTCGACGTCCATCGAGGCCATGGCTGACGGCGGGTGGTGGGCGGTCGTTGACGAGGGGAGGAGGGGCGCCGGATAAGGGCGAGGACGAGCTGCGGTGCGGCGCGAGCTGGACGAGTCGTTGCAGGTGGTGCTGTACAGTCGGTCGAGCTCAGCAGGTAGCTCCTCTTGGCGAGCTGAGGAGCGGGGATGGAGGAAGCCTTGCGTCGAGATGAGCCGGCAACAACTTCCTCCGCGCACACTCGTCCACTGGCATCGAGCTATCGTGCGACCTGTGCAGTGCACTCACAGTACCTATAGCACCCTCTTGTGCGACCGGAGTGCCCTCTCGACGCGTGCAGCGAGAGGCTTCCTCCTCATCGCCTCGAGCGCGTTCAACCTGGCTCTCGTCTCTCATAGCGGCAGGAAGCAGCCCAGCGGCTCGCCTGAGAGAACGAATGTGACTGTCTGCGGGCAGCGCGGTGCTCTAAGCTTGCCCAGCTGCTGTTGCACCTCGCTCTCTCGTGCGGGCGCTCGAAAGACACGGACTGCCCGAGTTACAACAGCACGGCGCGTAATAGGGAGGGCGCAAGGGGACAAGGGTCTACGAACAGCGAAAGACGAAGGGGAGACACGGACGAGGGAGGGGAAGGGCGAGAGAGGAGGGGAGGAACGCTCAACCGGGGAAGGGCTTGCCGCGCACGTCCTGGTACAGCTGGTCGCGCAAGCGCTTCTTGGGCGCGCTCTGCTCCTTCCACGCGCTCGACATGCGCTGCATGCGCTGCGACGCGACGACGGCGAGCGCGACGCTGCGTAGCGAGGTCGGCTTGGTCGGCGGCGACGACAGGACGGGCAGCGACAGCTGCGTCAAGATCGTGTCGATGCTGTTGCGGGAGACGACGGCCAGATGTCAGTGACTGAGAGTGAGGCAGCGCGTGTACACGCGAGGGAGAGGGAGGAGGAGGGAGAGAGAGAGAGATGGGGACGTACGTCTCCTGCTTGGTGCGGACGACGCCCTCGAGGTAGCGCTTCTGCGACCCGGCTTGGACGCGGAAGTCCATCTCGCGCTCGACGCGAAGCTTGAGCTGGCGCAGAAGGACGAGCAAGCCCTTGACCTCGGACTTGTGCTTGGTCTGCAGCTGGGCGAGAGCGGTCGAGGTGGTACTGGTCGGGCTGCAGGGCGAGGCGACACCGCGTGTCAGTGCGACGATTGAAAGTATGAGAGACAGAGAGAGGTAGAGGCGGGACGCACGAGCAGACATGGCGTGCGAGCTCCTCCTCGAGCGCGCCGAGCTTGCGCCGGGCGACCGAGAGCTCCTCCCTCGCGCGACCGAGCTCGACCTCGTCGCTGCTGCTCTTCTTGGCGCCGAGCTCGTCGCGCTCGCGACGCACGGCGGCGAGGTCGAGGCCGAGGCTGATGGCGTCCTGGCGCACGCGGTTCAGGTCGGCCTGGAGGTTGGCGACGCCGCGCAGGATGTCGCCACGCTCGTCCTGGAGCGCGCGTTGCTCGGCCTCCTTGGTCGACAGCGATGCGCGCAGCGCGTCGAGGTCGGCGGCTTGACGAGCGAGCTGGGCCTGCAAGGCGGCGTGGTCGGCCTTGGTCGACGACAGGTCCGTGTCGGCGCGTGAGGCTCGCTGCGTTGGCGGAAGAGCGGGTGTCAGTGCTGCACACACTCAGGAAGTGACGAGAGCGAGGACGCACCTCGTTGACGTCGGCAAGTTGGCGGATGAGGTCGGCGCGCTCGGCTACGAGCGAGTCCTTCTCCTTGCGCAGCCGCTCGACGACGTCGGCTGCGACCGCCTTGGCCAGCTCGCGCTTGACGGCGGCGAGTTCCTGCAGGACAGAGCGCCTTGTCAATAGGTGTCACGTGTGAGGGAGGGAGGCCGGGTGAGCGAGAGACGCACCGATTCGGCCGACGCCAATCTCGCCTCGAGCGCCGCCTTGGCCTTGCCCGCGCCCAACTGCTCGCTCGCGAGGTTGCGCAGCCTCGAGCGCTCGGTGCGCAGGTCGGTCTCGAGCACGGCGATGTCGCCCTTGGCCTGCTTGAGCTCGCGCTGGACAGCATCGTGCTGCTTCGAGAGCTTGGCCTTGTCGGCCGCGAGGTCTTTGGACCGGGACGCCTGCTGCTGGAGGACGTCGTTCTCGGTGCGCAGCTCGGCGAGCTTGGCGTTGACGCTGGCGAGGGTCGTCTTGAGCGAGTCGGCCTTGGGCGTGGCGGACGACGAGGATGAAGGTCTGTGCGCACGTCGTCGACGGACGAGGGTCAGGCGAGGTCTCGAGTCGGCGAGAGGAGCGAGATGAGAGCCAGGGACGCACTCGGCGAACGAGACACCGTCGCGGTCGATGCGCAGCTGGACCGTCTTGTTGGCGTCGAACGTCGCCTGGCACTCGGGGCAGTGCACCTTAGCGAGCCGACCTCGTACGCGCTCGAGCGACCCGCCGTCGCCCAAGAGTCGCTCGAGGTCACCCTCGAGCTGGGCGATGCGCGACTGGGCGGTCGACAGCTGGCGCGCGAGCGAGATGGTGCCCGACCCGGCCGCCTCGAGCTTGTCGAGCTTGGTGTCGATCTGGACGTTGGCGTCCGAGAGCTGGCTCTGGAGGTGCTCGACGACCTGCTCGAGCTCGTGGATCTGGGCGAGGAGCGGCGAGATCGTCTCGTTGGCGGTGGTGCCCGGGCTGAAGGCCGAGAGCTGCAGGAGGGCGGCAGGTGAGTGACGTCGACGATGCGGATGGACGACAGGGGCAGCGAGAGAGGGAGAGAGACGGGACGCACGTTGCCGAAGAGCTGACCGGGGGTCTTGGGCGTGTAGAACGACGGCAGAGGGCGGAACCACGACTTGTCGGGCGTCTTGGTGCCCGCCGGCGACGACAGCTGCACCGACACCTGCTGGCGGAGCGACTTGACGCGGTCCTCGAGGTTGGCCTTGTCCGACTCGAGCTGCTGGACCTCGAGCTCGCGCAGGCGCGCCGACTCGTCCTCGTGCGTCGCCGCCGCGAGCTGCTTGCGCAGGTCGTCGCACTCGCGCCGGGCGGCGTCGAGCTCCTCCTCGAGCGACGAGATGACGTCGTCCTGGGCGGCGCTGAACACCTCGTTGGCGAGCGGCGACTTGGCCTTGGGGACGCTGAGCTGCGACAGGCGGGCCTCGAGCGCGGTCGTCTTGGCCTGCTCGGCGTCGAGCTGCGCCCGGAGCGACTCGAGGGCGGCCTCCTTGTCGGCGAGGACCGTCTCGTTGTCGACGAGCTGCTGCGCCGAGTCGTCGAGGGCGTCCTCGAGCTGGCGCAGCTCGTCGTCCTTCTGCGCGACCTGCTGCCGCAGCTCGTCGACGTCGACGTCGCCGCCGCCGCCCTCGCCACGCTCGAGCTCGTCGACCCTGCGCTCGGCGAGCTCGAGCTCCTCCTGCATGCGCGCGAGCTCGTCGTCGCGCGCCTCGACGTCGCCGCGCAGGCCGGCGACCGTCTCCTCGAGCTGGGCGACCTCGTCGCGGAGCGCGTGCACCTTGCGCTCGAGGTCCTTGGCCGCCGCGTCGTCGGGCGCACCGGCGACGAGCTGCCGCTCGAGGTCGTCGCGCTCGCGCTCGACGCGCTCGAGCTTGTCGCGCTCGGCCCGGCGCACCTGCTCGTCGTCGCGGCGCCGCTGCTCGACCTCGTCGCGCACGCGCTCGACCTTGGCCTCCTGCGCCTCCATGACGGCGCACAGCTCCTTCTCGAGCTGGGCGTTGTTGTCGGCGAACTCGGTCTCCTGCTCCTCGAGCTGGCGGCGCGCGGCGTCGAGGTCGCGGTCCTTGTCCTCGAGGGCGACGAGGAGCGCGTCGCGGTCGTCCTGCAGCGCGGCGACCTCGGCGGCGCTCGCCTCGCCGGCCGAGGCAAAGTCGCGCTGGAGCTTGGCGAGGTCGGCGCGCAGGACGTCGCGGTCGGCCTCGGCCGCGCCGAGCGAGTCCTTGAGCTCGAACACCTCGCGCTGCAGGCCCGACAGGCGCGTCGACGCGTCCGAGTCGTCGCCGCCGCCGGACGGCTCGTCGACGACGCGGTCGCGCAGCCGTCGCACCTCGGCGTCCTTGTCGCCGACGACGGCGTGCGCGCGGTCAAGCTCGGCCTCGAGCTCGGCGATGCGCTGCGCCGCCGTGATGCTCGTGCCGTCGGCAGCGACGCCGAGCTGGTCCTGGAGGCCGCGGATGCGGCGCTGGCCGGCGACGAGGCCCTCGAGCTCGTTGCCGAGCATCTCGACGCGCGACGTCTCGCCGCTTGCGCCGTCGCTCTCGCCGTCCTCGCCGCCGCTGGACCTCGACGCCGCACCCGCTCGGGAGCGCGACGCGTCGCCGCCGGTGCCGGGCCCGAGGACGCTCATCTCCCTGAGCGTGTCCTCGAGCCTGCGCTTGTCCTCGAGGAGGCGCTCGTTGTCGCGGGCGGTACGCTGCACCGCCTTGACGAGCGTCGCGTTCTCGTCCGTCAGGTGCGAGTTGAGCGTGTGCAGGTAGGCGTTGAGCTTGGCGCCGTTGAAGCGCGAGCCGCCGGCCGCACCGCCGCCGAGGCCTCCTGCGGCGCCCGTGCTCCCGCCCGACGCGAGCGCCTCGCCGCCCGACCCGACGGGGAGCGACGTGTTGGCCTTATGGAACGTCGTGAGGTCGTTCGACGACCGGTCCGACCCGAACGACGACGCCGTGTGCTGGTCGTCGTCGTCGCCGCCCGGCGTGAGCCGCGACGCGACCTTGGCCGCCGAGCGGTGCGGGTGCGGCGTCGCGCGCACGTTGAAGCGCGGCTTGGCCGTCGAGCGCAGCGTCATGAGGAGGTGCGACGCGCGGCGCTGGGCGGCCGACTGGTCGACCGAGGGCGTGACCGGGTTGTCGTGCGCCGCGCTCGCGTTCAGGTCGTGCGGCGCGAGCGGCGAGTCGAGCTTGGCGTTGTGGGGCGTCAAGGCGGGCGAGGGCGACTTGGACAGGGCGCGCGAGGGAGTCGCGGCGTGGTGGTGCTGGTCGAACGAGGCGTGGGGCGAGCGACGAGGGGACGAGTTGCGGCCGAGCTCGATCGAGGGGAGGGTCGACTCGGTCGCGTCGTGGCGGCGGAGCGGCGAGAGGGCGTCGGGCAGGATGTTGTCGGAGCGGGCGGACGAGGCGAGGGTCGGTTTCTGCGGGCAGGCAGCAACGTCAGGACGGCGACACTGGGAGAACGAGAGGGCAGCGGAGCGCACCTTGACCGTTGCCGGCGAGTGTGGCAGGCCGCCGAGAGCGTCGAGCGGGTGCTGGTCGTCGTCGTCGTCCCTCGAGCGCTCCGACTCGTCCTCGGTCTGGAAGCTCGTGCGCTCGTGCGTCTCGTCCTCGGTCTCGGGTCGCGGCGGCGGCAGCTCGGACAAGTCGAGCGTGTGGTCGAGATGTGGCCGGGGCGCGGGCTGGCGCACGTCGTCCTCGCCGCCGCTGCCGCTGAGGACGACCATGTCGTCGTCGAGGCTGGCGGCGCCGGGCGCGATGCCGCTCACGCTCGGCCCATCGTCGTCGTCGGTCTCGCTGAGTGCGAGGTGGTCGTTGTGGCGCTGGGTGGGCGACAGGGTGGCGTGAGGGCGAGCGAGGGTGCGCGACTTTGGGCCGACGGTCGCGGTCGAGTCGTAGGCGCTCGAGCGAGCCGAGGGCGGGTGGACGGTCGACTGAGAGAGGTAGTGGGCGGTGTGGGACGGTGCCGGGGTCGAGGTGTAGGGGGACGAGGCGGCTTGGTCGTGTTGTTGTGGTCGGCGAGGAGGAGGGTCGTTCTCGTCGGCGTCGTCGTCGCTCGCGTGGGCCGGCAGGCGGGTGCGCTGGGGCGAGTGGGCGATGGTCGAGTCGGCGTCGGTCTCGGAGAAGGACGGCAGCTCTTGCGGGAGGCCGGGGAGGTCAGGGAGCGACTGTTGGTCGAAGACCTCGAGGCGCCGCAGCAGCCGCGAGGGCGTCTCGGGGTGGTACACTGCGGGAGTGGCGAGTCAGCAAGGGTGGCTGGAGAGAGTGCAAGAGTGGCAGCTCACTGCGCGAGTGCTGTGGTCGAGGTGAGAGCGTCGACCGAGGCGCGCAGCAGGGCGCGCCGAACCCTTCGCCGCACGTGACCCTCGCACCTCGCGGCTCTCGCAGTCGGTGAGCCAGAGAGACCAGCACAGGGTCGTACAGCGATTGCCTTGCTGCAGGCTGACCAGCAAAGCGCGAGGCGTCGCACCTCAAGCGGCGGTCGCGACCCGGTCCGCCTCCGCGTTCGACAGCCGGAGGACAGCCCTCTCTCGACCACCACGGCGACCGATGGCCACGACCGATGCCACCTTGGTTCTGCAGGACCTCCTCAGCCTACCTGCGCCCGACTTCGTCCCACCGGCGACCCTCGCGCAGCTCGTCGCCCTCCACCTCGGCTCGCTCCCTCTCTCGACCCCGCACCTCGCCCTCGTCCCGCTCCTCGTCCGCTACACCCTCCAGAGCCCCGCACTCTGGTCCAGCCTCGACCCGCAACACGCCTGGGACCGCCACCGGCTCGCGTTCGACGCCGCGAGGCAGGGCGTCCTCCTCCGCCTCGACACGCTCGCCCGTCCGCCCTCGACCACGCCCGCCCTCCCGTCCTCGTCGAGCAGCACCGTCAAGGGCAACACCGGCTGGTCGGCCCGTCGCGCCGTCCACACCTTCCTGCGCGAGCTCTACGCGGGCCTGTGGGCCGACCCGACCTCGACCACCACCGGCGACGGCCGCGTCGACCCGCTCGTGCGCCTCACGCTCGCCTCGGGCGTGCTCGCCGCCCTCCAGGAGTGGAAGCGCCGCAAGGAGAAGCTCTGGGTCGGCGGCGCGAGCGCGCTCGACCGCGCAGAGAAGGAGGCCGGGCGGGCGTGGACCGAGTGGAGCGACGCTCGACGACAGCAAGCCGGTGCGTCCTCGTTTCTGCCTCCCCTGTCCTCTCCAGTGTCCCCGGACTGACTCGCGAACCGCAGGTCGAGAGCTCGAGGCGTTCCCGGCCTGGCTCGCCGCGCAGACCGTTCCGTTCGTCCGCGTCGAACAGCTCGCCGCCGACTGGAACGCTCCTGTGCGTCCATCCACTCGCACTTTCCAGATCATAGCTCGGTACAGGTACTAACGGCGAGTCTGCCCCCTTGCAGGTCCTCCTGTCCGGCCTGTCGACTGCCTTCTCATCCGCCTTCGCCCACGGCACCGCCTTCTCGCACCCGCCTCTCGCCGCCGACCTGAGCTCGACGGCGTCGGGCCTCGAGTGGGCCGTCCCGTCGCCCTCGCACACGCATCTGTCGGCCCTCGTCCAGCGACCCCTCTTCACCTCGCTCGGCCCGCTCTCGCGCGCGCTCGGCCGCGCCCTCGAGGCGACGGCGCTCACGGCGGCCCAAGCGCGGTCGGACCCGCTCGTCGTCCAAGCGTCCCTGTCGGCCATCCACAGCCTGTCCGAGTCGCTCCTCGCCGTTGCGACGGCCCTCTCGGCCGCCTGGGCCGCGACGCCCTGGTCCGACCACTCGGACGAGCAGGCCCTCGCGCCCGCCACGCGCGCCCAGACGGCCCCGTGGACGCTCCTCAAGTCGCTCCTGTTCGCCCAGACGCTCGTCTACTCGTCCCTCCTCGAGGTCGTCTCGGCGGCGCCGGGCTCGGAGCCGGGCACGCCGCCGACGGCGCTGCAGCGCACGCTCGCGAGCGAGGCGGTCCAGGCGCTCGCGAGGACGTACTTTGTCGCGCTGCGGTTCGGGCAGGCCGGGTTTGAGGCGTGGAGGGCCGTCCTCGCCGGCTTGGTCGAGGTCGTAGCGGCGCCGACGGTCGGCGCACGAGCCGAGGCGTCGTCGGGCGTCATGGAGGGCGACGAGGAGGGCGACAGTGCGCCGTCGCCGGCCGAGGAGCTCGTGCGCTCGCTCGAGCCGCAGCGTGTCGGCCCGCACGAGCGAGCGGTCGAGCGTGCGGGTGCCACGTTCTGGCTCAACACGGCCGAGCAGGTCATGCGCTCGCTCGGCGACGATTACGTCGAGCGAGTCGTCCTTCGAGGGTGCAGGCCGTGCGTCCCATCTCTCTTTCCCTCTGTGTGTCTCTCGAAAAAGTGAGCGAGACTGACCCCGAGCTCGCGCACGCCGCAGGTACCTCGACGACGCGACCTACCGCGACTCGTTCGAGGCGGCGCACTCGGTCGTGCTCGCCGTCTTCTCAACGACCAAGCGCTGCGCGTGCGACGTCGCCCCCTGGTACATCGACCTCCTGCTTCGGGTGCGTCCCCCTCCACGTCCCCCTCCCCCTCTCAGAGCGACCCTGACCCCTTGCCTTCCCCCTTCCCTCGTCGCACTCACAGACCTACCCGTCGCTCCTGTCGCCGACCCAGCTGCGCCTCGCGTACGCGACCGTCGTCGCCGGCGTCACAGCGGCAGGCGACGACGCGCTCGCGTGGTGGTGCGTCGAGGAGCTCCTCGCGCGCATCGACGCACTGCCGCCCTCGAACTCGAGCGCGACGAGCATCGCAGCCGAGCAGGCGTCGACGCCGAGGCGCACGGTCGCGCTGCGGGACCTCGCCGAGGACGACGGCCCTACGGCTCGACCCGTCGCCGAGGTCGCCACCGCCGCCGCTACCGCCGCCGACGCTCCGTCTATCGACGACGACGCGATGATCACGCCCGCCGAGCAGCGCGTCCTCGCCCTCCCTCGAGGCGCGCACCTCCTCGTCCTCGTCGCGCTCCTTCCCTCGGTCTCGCTCTCTCTCCTCCCGACGGTCCTCTCGGCGCTCGAGGCGCTCGTGCGACACGAGCCGGTCGGGAGCGATGCGCGCGATGCGCTCGTGCACGAGTGCTTTGCCGTGCTCGGGTCGGGCATGGACGCGGTCAAGAGGGGCGAGGGCGTCAAGTGGTGGTTGGAGAGGGGGAGGGGGTTGCTCGTCGGCGGACCGCTCGAGGAGGAGAAGGACGGGGCTCTTGACGAAGTGCGTCAGGCGACGGCGGAGAAGGAGGAGCAGGAGACGGGTCCGGGCGACGAGGAGGCCAAGCTGTAACGCTGCCGCCGTTCGACCCACCTTGTCTGGCTCGCGCGTCTCTCGAGAGAAGCTTTTGCGACTGCTTTGGCCATGCACAGAGGCTCAAGGAGAGCGATGCGCGAGGCTGCGGCGCTGTTGCGTCCGACTCGGCTCGTCGTAGCGGGCGCAGGAGGTCGCCCTGACTCGCAACACCTCGACCCGTGTTGAGCACTAGCACAGCTGCCCCGTGCACTACTTCCAGCCTACCGCCGGCTCCGCAACACCCGACGCTCGTCGCCCGCCTCGCCCCTCAGTCGCCTCCTCATCAGCGCCGCCAAGTTCCCGCCCCTCCCCCTCGTCGACGACAGCCCCTGGGCTCGTATAAAGCACCCCAGTCCGCTCCACACACATACCATCCTCCGTCGACGCGCCCTCGCCCTCGCCGCCGCCATGCCCGGCGCCTCCTCCTCCGCCTGCTCCTCCCCCGCCTCGGCAAAGAACACCGCCCGGCCTAACCGCGCCTTCCCGCACCTCAGCCCGACCGACACGCCCACGCTCAAGGACGTTGCGCGGCTCATCAAGGACGGCAAGGCCAAGCGCGTCATCGTCATGGCCGGCGCGGGCATCTCGACGGCGGCCGGCATGTGCGTCCACCGTCTTCCTTCGCTCGTCGAGCCTTTGCTGCAGCGCATTAACGACGAGCTGCTGCGGCGCGACATGTTTCGCACAGCCCCGACTTTCGCTCGCCAGGCACCGGCCTGTACGACAACCTGCAGCGCTACGACCTGCCCTAGTGCGTCTCGCGCACCCTCTCTCTCTCTCTTTCTTCCGCCTCGCCACCCCAGCCTGACTGACACCGTACACCCTGCAGTCCCGAGGCCATTTTCGACCTCGACTTTCTCGAAGAGCGGCCCGAGGCGTTCTACACGCTCGCCAAGGAGCTTTACCCGGGCAACTTCAAGCCGACGACGAGCCACTACTTCTTCCGCCTCCTCCAGGACAAAGGGCTGCTTCATGGCTGCTGGACCCAGAACGTCGATACGCTCGAGCGGGCCACCAACGTGCGCCCACCTCTTGCTCTCTCCGTCTTGTCCCCCTCGCGCGCCTCCTGGCGGCCTTCGCCCAGCCGGACTCACGCTCCTCGCCCCGGTTGCAGATCAAGGACGGCCTGATCGTCGAGGCGCACGGCTCGTTCGCGAGCGCGACGTGCACGCACTGCAAGAAGCCGTACACCAAGGAGGAGATCAAGCCGGCCATCATGCGCGGCGAGGTCGTACGGTGCGCCGAGAAGCCGTGCAAGGGCCGCCGCGACGCTCTCGTCAAGCCCGACATTGTCTTCTTTGGTGTGTCGAGCGCACGCTCTTTCTCTGCCTCTCTCGCCGCGAGGGGTCCGAGCGCCGGCGTCCCTTCCTCCGCATCCTGACCTTCCCCACCTCCCTCCCTCCTCCCCTCTCTGTCTCCTTTCGCGCACACAGGGGAGGGTCTTCCCGAGCAGTTCTTCTCGCGCATGCACCACTTCTCCTCGTGCGACCTCCTCTTGGTTCTCGGCACCTCGCTGTCGGTCGGCCCGTTCAACTCGCTCGTGCACCGCGTCCCCTCGACGTGCCCTCGCGTCCTCATCAACCTCGAGTCGGTCGGCGAGGCCGAGCGCCCGGGCGCGCAGGGGTTCGAGTTTGAGCGCGACGGCGCGAGGGACGTGCGGTGGCTGGGCGAGGCGGACCGGGGCGTCGAGGAGCTGTGCGACTTGCTCGGTTGGCGCGACGAGCTGAGGAGGCTTAAGGAGGAAGGGTGGAGGGAGCTCGATGCGGCCGAGGGCAAGGGCGTGCGAGAGGAGAAGGAGGAGGGAAAGGGCGCCGAGGAGAAGCGCGAGGAGGTCGTCGAGCGAGTGGGCGAAGCCGCAGGCGAGAAGGAGCCGAGCGAGGAGGTCTCGAACGACTCGAAGGAGGTAGATGCGCTCGCGCAAGCGGTCGAGGGAGTCTCGCTCGAGGCGCAGGAGGACGTCGATGAGGACCAGACCTCGACGAAGCTGTAGCTCTGCCTCTCTCTCTTTCGGTCCCTGTATCGCACTTTCCCTCAGCCCTCTCGCTCTCGGTCACCGTGCTGCACATCGTGAGGTTCCGAATACAAGAGAGATAACTCGAGAGCGAGAGGATGCCACGTCTACTCGTCCTTCTCCCGCTTGAGCGCCGCCTTCTCGGACAGCTCGATCTCCTCGGCCGGCGCCGACGAGGCCGGGACGGCGACGGGAACGCGTGCAGCATGGTGGCGCTGAGCGTGTGCTGCCGGCGTCTGGGCCGAGAAGTAGGCTGTGCGCGGAGGGAGAGAGAGAGAAAAGAGTCAGTTCTCGAAAAAGAGGAAGAGGCTCGAGCGAGCGAGGACGCACCGTGGAGCTGGTCGTTGACGGTGCGGATGACCTCGTTCGTGACGCCCTTGGACACGGCGAGCACCGGGCCCGTCATGTTGAGCGTCCACGTGACGTACGCCGCCGTGAACCCGAGGAGAAGGAGCGTGAAGTAGATCGGCGACCGGATGACGGCGACGAACTCGTTCCACCCGAGGACGACGAGGACGCAGTAGATCCAGTACGGGATCTGCGACGTGCTCGACACCATCGAGCGCTTGGCCTCGGTGTAGTAGGCGTCCGTCTCGCGGCGGAACCGGGCCGAGAGCGACGCCTGCGCCTGCGGCGTCAACAGCTGCAGGCTGTCGGCAAAGTCGAACTCGTCGTCGGCGGCCGACGCGGCAGGGTCGACGAGGCTCGACGAGCTTGCGGACGAGGCGAGCTCGAACGCGTTCTTGTCGTCCGACGGCTTGATATGGGCGTACAGCGGGATGAGCTCGAGGACCGAGTCCTTGGCCTTGCGGAAGATGGTGTCGATGTCGTCCTCGGGCTTCCACACGCGCGGCACGCCGTCGGCGTCGTACCGGAACTTGTCCTCGAACACGAGCCGGAGCTTGTTGAGGAGCGCCGCCTCGGCCGTCTGCTCGTCGAGCTTGGAGCGCAGCGCGAGCCACGCCCGTCGGCGCAGGAGCGACAGCGCCGCATCGACCTCGTCCTTGGTGCAGTTGAAGCCTGAGGGCGCGAGAGTGCATGGTCAGGAGGGGCTCGCGAGGACGGGCAAAAAAAAGAGAGGGAGGTTCGAGACGCACTCGTCGCCTTGCGGACGTAGGCCTCCTCGGCCTTGGCGAGCGCCGCCTTGAACGCGCTCAGGACCTTGTCCCACATGTCGGCGCTCGGCGAGTCGAGGGCGAGCTCGACCGTCTCGGCCATCTGGCGCTTGATGTTGCGCTGCAAGGCGACGAGATCGGGTCAGTGCGGCGCGCACGATACCTTCAAGCCTCGAGCACTGTAGAAACAGTGCGCTGAGGCAGAGAGGGAGAGACGAGGCGCACCTCGATGACTGCGACCATCTTGCGCGTCTCCTCCTTGCGCAGCAGCTCGGCGACGCTGTCCATGTCCTCGCCGAGCGCGGCCCGCTCCTCCTCGGCGCTCCACCCGCTCTCCTCGAGCGTGACCCGCTTGGCCTCCTCCTCGAACGTGCGCTCGGCGCGCGCTCGCGCCTCGGCGACAACGCGCGCAAAGTCGTACCCGTCGCCCTTGAGCGCGTCCTCGATCTCGACGCGGTACGCGCGCAGCAGGCCCTTGTGCGCGCTCTTGAGCTGGGTCGCAAACAGGGGCGCGAGCGCGCTGTGCACCTTGGCGACGAGCTCGGCGCGCTGGCGGGCGTACACGGCCGGGTGGTACCGGCTCGCGGCCGTGTCGTACGCGACGAGGGCGGCCTGCTTGGCGTCGAGCATGCGCGAGCCGAGCGTCGAGTCGAGTTGGCCGGCGGGCGGTGCGGGAGGGAACGCCGAGACGAGGGCGGCGAACGTCGAGAAGGCGGCGGCCGCGAGCTCGCCGCAGCGGAACTGGGCGAGGAGCTCCTGCTGCGTCGGCAGGTCGAGGTCCTTGTTCGACACGACGGCGTCCCAGATGGTGCCCATGTAGGTGCTGATGCCGTCGGCCGGGATGCGCTTGTGGTACTTGCTCTGGAACACGGACGACGACGACGACGCCGCCGCGCCTTGGACGTTCGACTTGTTGAACCGTTGGCGGAGCTCGACGACCTGCGCCTCGAACAGCTCGGGCTGGAGGAGCTTGTGCGGGAGCGTAACAAAGTCGAGGTCGAAAAAGTCGTCGATCTTGGAGCTCTCGAGGCCCTCGGGCTTGCTCAGGCCGTCCCACAGGCGGTTCAGGTCGGCCGTCAGGGTCGCGCGGAGGTTGGCGAGAGGCGTGGCGCCGATGTGGTCGCGGATGACGAACAGGAGGAGCGTCTTGTCCTGCGAGCTGCGCGCGAGACGAGGGGTCAGTTCGCCCTCCTCAAACACAAACGAGGCTACCTCGCGCACGCGCACAGGGCATGCACGATCGCCTCGAGACGTTCAAGTGCGGCGACTCACTCGCCTCGGGCCTTGCCCTTCTGCTTTGCCGCGAGGAACAGGCCGAGGTTGACCTCGAAGACGGTTTTGAGGAGGCCCATGTTGGCGCCCTGGTACAGGCCGACCTGGTGCTCCCAGATGTTGACGAGGAGGACCTCGGCGACGGCCATGCTGAAGAGAGCCGACTTGCGCTCAAAGTCCTGCGGACGACGACGGGGCGTAAGGGCGGGCTCGGGAGGAGGACGGCTGAGGGGAGCGAGAGCGCACCTGGTCCTCGCCGCGCTCGCGACCGTCGGTGCCCTCGACGTCCATGACAAGAACGGGCATGTCCTGGCCCTTGGACATCCAGATGCCTGTGGAGAGGCGGGGCAGGTCAGCGAGCGGGCTCTGGGTTCTGGACGGTCGCAGGGCAGGTGAAGAGGAAGGGCCGACGCACCCTTGGTCGTCTGCCTCCTCTCGCTCTCGCTCATGACGTCGAACTTGGTTCCGAACAGGCGGTTGAGGAGCGTGCCTGCGGGCGCCGAGGAGAGAGGTCAGTCGAGGTGGTCGGCTCGTTGTGGGGCAGGTGGACGGGCTCGACGCACTCTTGCCGGTCGACTGCGAGCCAAAGACGGCGACGACGTCGTAGTTGAAGCCGGCGTCGGCGAGCTTCCACCCCTTCATGTGCTCATCGAGGGCCGTGCTGCGGGGCGAGGGGAGTTGGGTGAGCGAGGCGCTCACGAGGGGTACAGGAAGCGGAGGGGCTGGGCTGCTCACGTGAAGCGCTGGTTCTCGTCGACTGCAATGGAGGGGGTATGCGAGAGTCAGTGTCAGGGGTTGAGGGATCGCCTGAGGCGGAGCGTGGGGAGGGACGCGAGGGGGAAGAGGAGGGAGGAGGAGGCGACGCACCGACTTGGAGCTTGGCGTCGAGGCCAGAGCCCTCGGCGTTGGACTGAAGGCCGACTGCTGCACCGGCCGGGGCGTGGTCGTTGTTGCGCAGGTGGTCGGGGAGGTTGGCCTGCGCCTCCGCGAGGAGCGGGTTGCACGCCAGCTCGGCGGGCGGGTTGGCGAGTGCGTCTTGTGCGATGGCGATGCTCTGGTCCATTGCCGTCGTCGGAGCAGCTTGGGCGGCTGTCGAGAGCCTGGCTGCGGTGGGGAAGCGAGAGAGGGAGGAGAGGTTGCCGGATGGTGATGACGAGGAGACACTCGCGCTCTCTGCTCTCAGTTGGTCCGGCTGGGGCCTCGGTCTGCGAGTTGCGTCCTTCGTAGCAGCACCCACCCACCCTGCCGACTTCTCGAGGGCGACAGAGACGAGCTGCCTTCCCCCGCTCCCTCGCCTCGTCCTTTCGACCGCTCCCAGCACCATGTCTTGTACGCACAGCCTCCTGTTCCTCCCCAACAGACCCGCACTGACTCAGTGACCGCCCCGCAGACAACAACATCGGCCTCGCGACCCCTCGTGGCTCGGGCACCTCAGGCCACATCCAGGCCAACCGCTCCTCGTACGTCCTCGTCCTACACCATCTCGGGCACGGCTCCAGCACGCGCACGAGCTAACACTTGCACCCCTTGACAGGATCCGCCCCCGCCAGAACCAGCGCGAGGCTGCCCCAGACTTCAAGAGCTCGTTCGCCCACCGCGCTCCGGACCAGGGCATCCTCGACCACGAGCGCAAGCGCAAGGTCGAAGCCCAGTGCTTCGAGCTCCAGGTTTCGCTCGAGGACGACGGCGTCGCGCCCGACGAGGTCGAGAAGCAGGTCGACGCCCTCCGCCAGCGCCTCCTCGCCGCCGGCGCACCCGCCACCGCCGCGTCGGGCATCAAGGCGCACCAGCGCCACGAGCTCGCCGCTGCCAAGCAGGCCGACGACGAGCGCATGCGCCGCGCGCTCGGCATCCGCGCCGACCACACCGAGGGCGCCGCGTTCGACCGCGACCTCCAGCAGCGCCTCAAGGAGGAGCGCATCGCCGAGCGCGAGCGCGGCCGCGAGGAGCGCGCCCGCATCGAGGCCGACCTGCGCGCCGACCGCGCCAAGGCCCAAGCCGCCCGCGACGCTCGCCCTCCCCCTCCTCCACCTGCCGCTGCCGCTTCTCGCGGCGGGCTCGACGACCGCTCGTACCGCGACCTCGACCGCGGCGCCGGGTCCGGCTCGGCGCCGGGCTCGGCCCGCCTTCCTTACGGCGCGTCGACGTCCCGCGGCCGGTCCCCCTCGCGCGAACACGAGATGCGCCCGCCGCCCCGGCGGTACGACTCGCGCAGCCCCTCGCGCTCGCGCTCCCGGTCGCCGTCGCGCTCGAGGTCGCGCAGCCCGCCGCCGACCCGTCGTCGCGGTCGTTCGCCGTCGAGGTCGCGCTCGCGCTCGCCGTGGAGGAGGGCCGACTCGCGCTCGCGCTCGCGCTCGATGAGCCGCAGCCGCAGCCTGTCGCGCTCGCGCTCGCCGCCTCGCCGCCGCGTCAAGCGCGACGACTCGCGCTCGAGGTCGCGCTCGATGAGCATGAGCCGCAGCCCGAGCCCGCCGAGGCGGCGGGGCGACGACGACGGAGGGCGGAGCGCGAGCCCGCCGAGGCGGCGCAGTGCGAGTCCGCCGGCGCGCAGGGCCCGCGACTGAGGGACACGAGGAGAGGGAGACGCAGGGTGCGTGACGGCGGACTCGAAGGACGGGCGGCGGCGTGTACTGTAGCTCGCGACGGCTGTACTCTCGGTTCCTGAGCTTCTCAGCCTCGAGAGGGACCGAGCGACTCGAGAATGCGACAAAGAGAGGATGCTCGACAATCTTTACAACAAGAGGATGCACGAGAGGGAAAGAGAGAGTCTACGAGCGAGTACTGCGCCATCTACAACCGGATCTCTGCCGGCGCCGCGCTCGCCGCCTGCTCCTCGCCGAGCGCCATCGCCGCTCGCCCCTCGTCACGCTCGGCGGCCTCCTTGCGCTTCTGCTGGTCGATGAGGAAGTCGAGCGCGAACGAGTTGTCCTCGCTCAGGCGCACGACCGACTCCTGGACGTCCTGGAGCCCGCGCTGGACGCCTCGCAGGACGGCGGCAAACTCGCCCTGGTTCTGCCGCAGCGTCTTGCCGTGTGCGGCGAAGAGGGCCGAGAGCCACACGAGGTGGAACTCGACGTGCGGCGACTTGGCGAGCTGAGCGGCGAGGAGGCGCAGGGTGGCGGGGAGGTACGGGGCCGGGAGCTGGCGCGCGAGGAGGGCGATGGCGGAAGGGGGGACGGCCTCGTAGACGGTCTGGAGGAGGGGCCGCTCGTTGAGCTTGAGGGCCATTACGAACGCCTTGAGGTAGTGGCGCTCGTCGCGGAGCGTGTCGAGGATCGACGAGGGCGTAATGTCGACGTCGAGCTCGAACGGGTCGAACGTGAGCGAGTCGTCGAGCGAGTAGATCAAGAGGCCCTCGGTCGACGCGGCGGCCCACGACCGGCCGGTCGGGCTGAAGCGCACGCACTTGGTGCGCGCCTCGGGGCGGTACCGCCGCTTGCTCATGTCGCCGCCTCGCGCACCGGGCAGCGAGCGGTCGAGGCGCTCGTCGAGGTCGCTCGCGTCGCCGCGGTCGTCGATCAACTCGCGCGGGCCGGCCTCGGTCAACTTGCGCGAGTCGAGCGTCTCCTGGGTGCCGTCGAGCGACAGGTTCTGCGAGATGGTGAACCGGCGCAGGAGGACGCCGTCGCGTGCGTCGTACAGGCACACGTGCTTCGAGCTGCCGCCGGCGAGGACGCAGCTGCCGTCGGCCGTGTACGACAGGGACGTGAACGCCTTGGTCGACGAGTTGTTGGCGGCCGTCACGCGGTCGTCGGCCTTGCGCCCGCCCGAGATGTCCTTGCGACCCTCGAGCAACGTGCGCTGCGTGCCGTCGACGACGTTCCAGAACGAGATCTGGCCGTCGAGCGTCGCGACGGCGACCTCCTTGCCGTCGGGCCGGAACGCGAGCGCGAGCGCGTCGGCCTTGAGCTGGAACGGCTCGACAGCCGAGCTGCGCCCGAACGTGTCCCACACGCGGATCGTCTTGTCCCACGACGCCGACACGAGGCGGTCGCCGAGCGGCGAGAAGGCGAGCGCCGACACGGGCGCCTCGTGGCCGGCGAGGACGTCGATGAGCTTGCCCGTCTGCGTCGACCACATGTAGATCTCGAACCCGTCGCCCGAGCCACCGGCGCACACGATCTCGCCCGAGGGGTCGACGGCGAGCGAGTTGAACTGGACCGGTTGCGGCGTCGTGAAGGTGCGGAAGTTGCGGTACCGGATCAGGTCGAACGCGCGCACGGTGCCGTCGAGCGACGCCGAGAAAACGACCTGCCCCTGCTTGGCGAACTCGACGGCCGAGATGGCGCTCGAGTGGTCGTCGAACGTGACGAAGCAGAAGCCGCTCGCAGCGTTCCACAGCTTGACCTTGCCGTCGTCGCCGCCGGTCGCGACCTGCTGGCCGTCGCTCGAGTACGACAGGGCGTTCATGTCGAAGTAGTGACCCTGCTGCTTGAGGACGTACGACTCGGACTGCCACTCCCACACGAGGAGCTGGCCGAGCTTGCTCGCGCCGAACGCGAGCCACTCGCCCGACGGGTTGACCGTGACAGACGTGATCTTCTCCTGCGAGACCGACAGCGTGTGCACGTTGTTGAACGTCGGCATCTCCCAAAGGCCAAAGACGCCGCTCGAGAAGCCGACGATGACGAGGTTGGACGGCGCGTGCCACGTCGTCGAGACGACCTTGGCGCCCGCCTGCATGAAGTAGTGCCGCGCCTCGACGCCCCACCGAGTCGTCGCGATCGTGTTGTCGGGCCCGTTCGACGTCGACGCCTCGGGCGCGACCGCCGTCATGCGCTCGTCGTCGTCCGACTCGTCGTCGCTCGGCTCGTCGTCCTGCTTCTTGCTCCACGTGAAGATGGCGCCGTCGCGAGACACGGTGTAGATCTGCAGTCCCGCAAAGAGTCAGTCTGTGACGCTCAGAGGGATTCGTGAGAGTGAGAGACCGGGAGCGCACCGTCTTGTGGTCCTGGGAGAAGTAGGCGGCGAGGACGGCGTCACGGTGGCCCGAGAACGTCTTTGGTCGGTAGCCCTCGACAGGATAAAGCGTGTACAGCTTGGCCGTCATGTCCTTGGACGTCGTGAGGAAGAACCTGTGACGAGAAGTCCGTCAGGGTCGGACAGGGGTGGACCGGCACGGCGAAAGAGAAAGAGGGGACGCACCTCGAGTCGCTGCTCCACGTGATCGAGAGCACGTCGTCGTAGTGACCGGTATAGGTGCGGTGCAGGACGAACGGGGCAAACTCGCGCGCGAGGTGCGACGGCGTCTGCCACACCTGGATCTGCGAGCCGTGCGTCGCGGCGATGAACCTGCCAGATGCGCACATGTGAGTACGCGCCGCTCAACCGCATCCTGACGCAGAGGAGAGAGAGAGGCGTCGACGCACTTGCCGTCGGGCGAGAACTTGATGTCGCGCACGGGCTTCTTGAAGTTGAAGTGGTGGAGCACGGTCGAGCGCTTGAAGTTGACGAGCACGGCTCGGCCGTCTGCAGGGCAAGGTGTAGACGAGGTCAGCTCTACGGTGCTCTCGAGGGACAGAGAGACTCGGGGTGGGACGGACCTTCGTCGACACTGATGAGGACGGTGGCATCGGGCGAGAGGGCGATGCGGGCGATGTTCTTGCGGTTCTCGAACGACAAGGTGCGCGACTTGTTGCTGTAGGAGGTCGCGAGGGACTGTCAGTCGAGGCTTGAAGGGCTGGAACGCGAGTCCACGGGAGGAGGAGAAGGAGGAGAGGAGGACGGACTTGACGAGGTCAAAGACAGAGACGCGGTTGCCGACGGGCGAGATGACCGAGTTGCCGTCTGGGGTGAAGAGGACATTGCCCTGCTTGTAGACGGTGCCCGCGAGGTTGCTGAAGCGGAAGCCGGACGAGACGGTGCGGAAGGCGGGTGTGGTGGTGCTCGCGACGGCCATGGCGGGTGGTCGGGTCGGCTTGAGAGCTGTGCTGCGGCGTGCACGGGCTCTGTAGCGTGGCTGCTCGAGCTCGAGAGTGGAGCGAGAGGACGAGAGGTCATCGCCTCGCTCTCTCTCTCCAAGCTCACTCCGCCGCAGGCCCGCAACTCGACAGCGCCTCGCACGAGCGACCTGGTCGCGTCTCTACCTCGAGCAGCTAGCTCAACAGGGCACGCCGACCCCGCCACCCGGTCTGCGCGAGCTGTACTCGCTGCACCTCGATCGCCCCACCTTGGTCTTCATCAGCTCGACCCCTCGTCTACGACCCGCACTGCTCGCCCCAGCTTTCGCGACGCACAGCCGTCTCGGTACATGCCTCCTGTCGGCATCCCCGCCGCTTTCTGGCGAGGCGGCACCTCGCGCGGTCTCCTCTTCCGCGCCGAGCACCTCGCCGCCTTCTCGCCCGCCGCCCGCAACCGTATCATCCTCGCCGCACTCGGCTCGCCAGATCCAGACGGCCGCCAAGTCGGCGGTCTCGGCGGCGGCGTCAGCTCGCTCAGCAAAGCCGCCATCGTGAGCGTGCCGGGCGAGGCGCGAGTCGACCAGGCCCGCGTCGGTCCGCTCCCTGGCGTCGCCTGGGCCGACGACGGCGAGCGCGACGGCCAGCAGTGGGACATCGTGTACCGCTTTGCCCAGGTCGGCGTCCGCACGCCCGACCTCGACTGGTCGGCCTCGTGCGGCAACATGTTCGCCGCCGCGTGCCTGTCGTCGCTCGCCCTCGTCCCCTACACGACCCTGTTCGACCGCGCACGCACCTTGCCCAGGCCGGCGTTCGGCGACCCGCTCCTCCTCCCGCTGTCGGTCCTGTCGGCGAGCAACGGCGTCCTCATGCGCGCAAGAGTCCCCGTCGACCCGTACTCGCTCCAGGCGTGGGAGCCCGCACCAGGCGAGGGCGTCGCGATCGCCGGTGTGCCGGGCTGCGACGAGCCGGGGATCGAGGTCGAGATGCCGCTTGAGCAGGGCGAGTCGGGCGCACGCGCACGAGGCGGCCTCGTGACGGGCAACGCGAGGGACGTCGTCCAGCTCGACGACGGCAGCGAGGTGCGTCTGCCTTTCCCTCGTCGACTCGAGCAGCAGAACATGTTTGACTCTTTCAGATCGCCCCACTGCAGGTCACCGTCTCGGTCTTTACCTCGGGCCTGCCCAACATCTTCGTCCCTCTCTCGTCCCTTCTCGCCCTCGACGGCCACTCGTTCCCCGCCGACCTCCTGACCCTCCCTGCCTCGACTCTGTCCTCCTTCCCGACCCTCGCCCCGCTCCTCGAGCGCATCCGCACTACCGCCGCCGCCCACTTCTCCCTCCCCTGCTCGCTCGCGAGCCCCAAGATCACCCTCGTCGCCCCCTTTCCCTCGTCGTCGTCCTCGACCACCTCGACGCCGTCGAACGACGGCTACACGACCTCGTCCGGCCTGCGAGTCGCGCCGCAAGACGCCGACCTGCTCGTGCGCGCCGTCAGCTCGGGCGACTGGCACGCGTCCGTGCCGGGAACGACGCTCGGCGCGCTCAACATCGCCGCCGGTGTCGAGGGCAGCGTCGTGCGCGACGCGATGCGCGCCGGAGCTGGTGCGGGAGCGGCGCTGTCGCTCGGCGAGGGCGGAGCGCGGGACGAGGTGGTCCGGGTCCGGGCGGCGCACGCGGCAGGCGTCACCGAGTCGAGCGTGCGGTTCGACGCCGAGGGGCACGCGCAGAGCGTCGTAATGGTGCGCACGGCGAGGGAGATCATGAGGGGCGAGGTGCTGGTGCCAGAGCGGTTGCTGTACGACGAGTAGAGACGGGGCGAGTTAAGTGCACGGACAGTGTCGTTTCGGCTCTCCAACTCGGTCGCGCGGCTCCTAGCGTCTCGAGAGACCCTTCAGGCTGCGTCTGCACGTCCATACGAGAGCCTGGTCGCTCACTCTCGGCTCTGTGCAAGAGATTCGGATCTGGACCGGATTCCAGCACTGGCGCACCGCCGACGAAAGCTCGACGACGTCCACCACGCCTCGCCCCGCTCCGAGATGGTGCCGCCCTTCCTGTCATCTGCACAGCTCGCCCAGGAGCTCCGCCGAGCAGCCGCTACCGCCTGCGAGCGGCCCTCGCCCGCCGCCGCCGCCTCATCTCGAGTGAAGCCTCGCTTCCTCAACGAGGTGCGTCCCTCTCGCCCTCTGGACGCGTCGCGGTACTGACATACTGCCCACACAGCATGCAGGAGACTCGTCGAGCAGCGATTCGGAGGACCAGGTCGGCTCGGACTCGGACGACGACCACGACGACGCGTCCCTCATCGAGGAGCACTTCCTGCCGCCTCTGAGCGAGGAGGCGACGTGGTGCAAGGCGTTCACCTACGCGCGAGTGCTCTCCAGCATCGGCCAGCAGTTTGCGACCGAGTTCCCGCTGCGCGTCCTCGCCGTCGCGAGCGGCTTCAGCGGTGCGCCCTCTTCGTCGCTCTCTCTCCCTCCCACCCCGAGCTGACCTTCTCGTACGTCCGACAGAGTCCCTCAACGGCGACATCCACACGGTGCGCGCGCTGGACGGCCGCAAGGAGCTCGCCATCTCGCACTCTCGCCTCACGCCCGAGCAGGCTCAAGACGTTGCCGCTTTCCTCGCCCGCCGCGAGCACACCGCGATCGACGCCCTCTCCTCTCTCGCCCTCGACAACGACGACGCCGATGAAACCGTCGCACCTCCCGCACCGGCACCAGCACCGACCTCGCCCTCTCGCCGCGCCCGAACCCGCACCCGCCCCGGCCCCTTGACACCGCCTTCCTCCGCTTTCCCGGGCAGCGCCCCCTTCCCGCCAGGCGCAACGTCGTCCGAGCGCGCCGAGCTCGAGGCCCTCTCGGCGCGCACGTTCGGCGACTCGCTCCTGTCGGGCCTCTCGTCCCTCGCCGCGACGCCGCAGCGCGCGCGCAGCCCGTCGCCGGGCCCGAGCGCCGAGCGCGAGGCGCACGAGGAGCTTCTCGAGTGGTACCAGCATGCCGGGACGGCCGGCGGCCGGCAGGGCACGGCGCAGGTTGGCGACGAGGACGAGCTCGCGAGGGACGGCTGGGCGATCGAGCCGCCGCTCAGTGTCGCGCTCGAAGGCGGGGCGCCCGTGCTGAGGGTACCCGCCGCCGTTGGAGTGAACGAGTTCGCGTTGTACGAGGAGGTCGAGACGGAGGAGGACGAGGAGCTGCGGGCCATGGTCGCTCGAGTCGCCGACGACGAGGCCGAGGCCGAGGCTGCACTGCGCGAGCGCGAGCAGCAGGAGCAGCAGGAGGCGGCGAGGCGACGCAGGGCGCGGCGGGAGCTTGTCGGACGGTAGATCTCTCTCGCGCTCTCTTGGCGCCGGCCGCCATCGTGCAACAGATACTGCACGACCACATCGACGTTGCACCGCTCCAAGAGAGAGAGAGAGAGGCCAGCTCGACCGAAAGATCTGCCGCTCAGGCCCACTTGGGCGTACTGACGCCGCTGCTGCCCGGCGTCCCGACGCTCAGGTCGAGCGCCTGCTGCTGCTCGAGGCGCTTCTTCTCCTTGCGCTTCTGCGCCTGCGCCTTCTTGACGACCTGCTGCGCCTTCTTGCGCTCGGCGAGGACGCGCTCGCGCTCGACCGGGTCGAGCGGCAGCGACGGGTCGTTGGCCTGCGCCGCGAGCTTGGCCGCCTTCTTCTGCTGCTGCGCCGTGTTGACCGCACCGCCGACGCCCGACCCGCCGTCCGACATGACGTCGCCGGCTCGAGCCTTTTTGTGCGGCTGCTGCTGATGCTGAGGCGGGAGAGGAGGACGGGCCGACGCGACCGACATGGCGGGCGAGCCGGCGCGAGACGGCTTGGGCGTGCCGCCGGCTGCGCCACCTGGACCGCGAGCGGCGGCGGCGGCGGAAGCTGCGGCGCCGTGCGCGCCGCCGAGCCGGATCGAGGTCGGGTTCGCGCCGGGCTGCGCCGCGAGCGACGGGTTCGACTGGCGCTCGCGGTACGCCTGGATAAAGGCGAGGCGCGAGAAGCTGTGGCGGGCGGTGCTCGAGTCAGTCGATGCGGCCCGTCGAGGCTGCAGAGGAGGAGGAAGACTGGGACGCACGCAGGTCCCCTCGTCCTCGGCACGCCCTCGTCGCCGACCTTCATGAGCTTCTCGTGCTCCTCGCGCTCGCGCTTGTGGCCCTCCTCGCCGTCGTCGCCGTCGTCGCACTCGCCCGAGCTGCAGAAGCGCTTGCGCTTGGGCGGGCGCAGCGTCGTCGCGCGCAGCATCGAGTTGGCGATGCGCGACGTCTGGATCGAGGGCGACAGGCACAGCGGCGGCATGGTGCGGTTCTGCGAGAGGGCGGCCGGTCAGGTCGGCGCCGAGAGGAGGATGAGAATAGTCGGACGCACGAGGATGACCGACTCAATCTCGAGCGCCTCCTCCTCGGTCCAGCCGACGACGTCGTCCCTGCCCTCGGCGAGCGCCTCGTGCTCGATGCGCCGGCTCTGGATCGCGAGGTCGGTCCATAGGGTTGCCGGGTTGGGCGCGAGCACGATGCGGTACACCTCGGCCTTGCTCGTCGCGGGCGTCTCGCGGGCCTGGCTGAGCGAGAGCGAGAAGGACGAGCTGAGCGACGCGCGCGAGGTCGAGGCGGCCGAGGGCGACTGGCGGTGGTCGTGCACCTCGACGATGAGACAGCCTGTCCGCAAATGATGTCAGCGTGCTCGTCGTGGAGGACAGGCGGTGGCGAGAGGGGACGCACCGTCGTAGTAGACAATGCCGGCGTCGTCAAGGACGTCGAGGAGGTCGGTCGGGAGCTTCTGCTCGCGCACGGCCTCGAGGAAGCACTTCATCGGCGAGTCGTAGCTGAAATTGCCGTGCTGCGTGTGTTTTAGGACGTCAGTGAGCGTCACGACTGGCTGAGAGAGAGACCGGCGAGCGCACCTGGTGCTCAAAACGGAAGTGGGTCGGGTACAGGTGGATGACGAGCGAGGGCGGCGCTCGACGATGCCGCTTGAGGACCTGGCGCGTAAAGCGCGTCACGTTGTAGGTAGCGCCAGTCGACATGTGGGCGGAGGGGAAGGCGGGGCGAGGTGGAGCGGGAGGAGGTGCGAAGGGAGGCTAGTGGCGATCTGTGGGTTCAAAGACAGTCAGTTGGGCGTGCTCAATAGGTCCACAGACTGTACGGGCCATCTACTGGCGCGTCGTCGCGCCTCGACGGCCTCATCAGTGGGTCCGGAGGAGGAGGGGGAGATGGAAGGTCGGCGGCTCACCTGGTCGAAGGAAGACGCGTTCAGGCGGTCGTAGAAGACAGCCAGAGCAGGTGGCAGCGCTCTCTGATCCGCTCTGGGTGGGAGCGCAGCAGCGAGAGTGGGCGAGAGGCGACCTCCCTCCTCGTCCTCCCCCGCAACCACTGCTCGGGCCCACAGCAGTGTGAGCCCGCCTTGCTCGGCATGGCTATCATCAGCAAGCTCTTCTCGTGCCGTGCGCCCTCTCCCGCCCACCCAGGGTGCGCATCAACGCCCTCTCTCTCTACTCCCCTCTTCCTCCCTCGCTCGAACGAGTCGAGCTGTGCGTCCAGCACAGCCCAGAGGCGCCTCCCTGACCAGCCCGTCCATCCACAGCTCGACTCTCGACCTTCTCGATCCGCAAGCGCGCCCTGCAACCCGGTCCCCGCCTCCCAGGGAGCTCATCCTCGAGCTCGCTGTCGACGGCGCTGTGGACGGCGAAGGGGATCCGGGTCGAGCACAGGGAGAGGGAGGGCGTCGCGTGGTGGATCGAGCGTGCGAGCGAGGGGAGGCTCTGAGCGCGAGGAGGTCTGGCGGAGACGAGGTTCGAGCACTTCCGGTCGTACTCGCAGGAGGTGCTGCAACGCGCAGCTTTCATCGAGAACGCTCCGCACGCCACAGAGAGAGAGGTATGACTAGTGTGATACAACAAGAGAACGTCGCTACGACCCGCTCGGCCGCCACCTCCTCCTTCTCGACCAGCCCGGCTCAGATCCGGTCTTGCGTCCACGCAAAGTCGTCGAACAGCGTCTGCGAGGTTACGGCGAGTCAGTCTGCGATCGTGAGAGAGGAGAGGCGGCGGGAGAGAGGACGCACCGTCGGACGGAACGGCCAGGCGTCGAACACGTCGGCGAGAATGACCCACTCGTGCATCTGCAGGTGCGACACGGCCTTGTCGACCTTGTCGGCGCCGACACCGAGCTCGATGAGCTTGGGCACGAGGTTGCCGGCGCCGGGCGAGATCGAGCTGCGCGGGCGAGGACGAACGCGTCAGTGAGGGGGGCGGGAGGTGGGTCGAGGAGGGGGAGCGAGAGGGGGACGCACGCAAAAGCCTTGTGCCACGGCGTCGCCTTGGCGACAAACATGTGGCGCGTGACAAACTCGAGCGCGTCGTAGTTCTTGACGAGCGCCTTGGGCCTCGGCGTCACCTTGATGGGCGTCACGACGGCGACGTCGCCGCGCGGCCGGTGGAAGTGCATCGTCGCCGGCTGGAGGCCCGACAGGGTCGGCGTGCGCTCGATGACGGCGAGCGAGTTGAGCAGGACGGCGAGCTTGTGGTAGTCGCTGTCGCCCGGCTTGGCGAGGATCTTCTGCTCGAGGAAGGAGAGAGGGTGTCAGTGCGTGGCACGGGTACGAGGGGACGAGAGGAGAGGTGCGGGACGGACCTTCCACAGCGCCTCGGGTCCGAGGAAGCCCATCTGCATGCGCCCCTTCTGGAAGTACCACATCTGGCCTGCGATGGCCGACACGAGCTGGACGAAGAGCTGCTGCCCGTACGACGAGCTCGGGAGCTGTGCCGCGAAGAACAGCTTCGGGTGCACTGTGGGCCACGAGTCGTCAGTTCACGCCGGCGAGGAAGAGGGAGGGCAGGAGGGAGAGGTTGGGCGCACCCGAGTCCTCCCACGGCACGGTCGGGACGTCCTCGAAGAAGCCCTTCTCCTCGACGTCCGTGTACGCCTCCCACCGGAACGGGTCCTCGAGGATGTGCTCGTACCGGCCTGGGTACCGCTCCTTCAAGACCTGCGGTGGCGGAAGGGCTGAGGGTCAGTCGAGGAACGAAGGTGAGGTTCAGAGGAGGAACGAGGCCGGCGCACATTCAGTTGGGGCAGGTACCGGTACGCGTCCTCGACGGCGATTGACCGCTTGACGTTGGGCAGCTCGAGGAACGCGCGCGTCAAGCCTCCTGGTCCTGTGAGCGAGAGAAGGAGTTGTGAGCCGCCGCAGGCAGGGAGGTCGAAAGAGGGAGAGGTCGAGCGCACCTGCGTACGCCTCGACAACCGTGACGCCGTCCATCTGGTCGACTCCCCACGCCTTGACGACCGCCCGCGCGCTCGCCTCGTTGACGAGCGACGACCTGCCCCGAACGGCCGGGGTCATCGTGAGGCCCGTGAAGAGCTCGGTCCGGGGCGTGCCGACGGCGAGTGGGCGTGGCTTGCTGAGCGTCTTGACCTGCTTGCTCGTTGGGGTCTTGCGCGCGGTCCGTGGGACGCTGACGAGGCGAGAGGCGGACGAGGCGAAGGTGCGGCGCGAGGTCGAGGGGAGGGCGCACGCGGCGCAGGCGACGAGCTGCGAGGTGGACGCGCGCAGAGACTGCATGATGGGCGGTGCTACTCGAGCTCGAGCGAAGGCGGAGCGAGCGAGTGGGGCGACGGAGGAGGCGAGCTTCTCCTCGGAGGAGGGACGAGGAGAAGCTGATGAGACGCAACTCGCTGCCTTGCACCTGAGCCTGCAAACGCATGCTGGCCACACTCGCACGCACTCTCAGGAGCGTCTGCGCCAAGCCCAGCTCTCGCCCGCCTCGTCTCGCTTTCCTCGCCTCGCACGGACACCGCTCTGCACAACTCGACCTCGCAAGCGCCGAGCATCTGGTGGTACAACACGCGCGTTCCTCCTGCTACGCCTCCCTCCGTCGTTTCCGCCGCCCATGGAGCGCCCCGCCGACGTGCAACAGCCCGACCGCCGCTGCCACAGCGAGCGCGGCCTGCGTCTGACGCGCCGTAGACGACGTCGCTGGCTCGCCGGCGGCACCGTGGCCCGTGCGAGGTGACGCAGCGACTGCCGCACGTCGAGCGCGCCTCGGCGCAGCGCGCGGCGAGCGCCTCAGTCCCACCGTCGCCGCCTGGTCCTGCCGCCGCTCGTCGACCTCGCCGTCCTCCTCCTCCTCGATCGCCCCGCCCTGCGCCGCCTCGCCGGCCCCGCTCAGCTCGACCTGGCTGACGGCGCCAAAGAAGTCGGTGAGGAGCGTCTGGTCGAGCGGGCGCGGGAAGAGGTCGCTCCGCACGCCGGGCGTCGAGCGGATCACCTCGTGCGAGAACGTGTCGAACTGCGCATGTGCGACGGTGGGTCAGGTGGGAGGTCAGAAGAGAGGAAGGTGGACGCAGGGAGAAGGGGACGCACGAGGTTCTGCATGGGGATTTGCGACGTCTTGTTGATCGACTCGAGGAACGTGAGGACGTGGTGCGTGTAGCGGTCCGTGACGGCGACGCCGATGTCGTTGTCGGCATGATGCTGCGAGCATTGAGAGAGGAGAGGGTGAGCGACGGCGCGGCGCACGAGGAGAGGAGAGGTGCAGACGGACCGAGTACGAGTTCTGGTCCTTCTCGCTCGAGCCCGTCGCGAGGATGTTGGGCGAGTAGAACTTGCTGTACAGCGTGTTGGCCTGGCACGTGTCGACCATGAAGAAGATCTCGTTGTACCTGTCGGGCACCGTGCGTCAGGACGAGGGTCTCCTCAGGGCGAGAGAGAGAGAGAGGGGGCGCACCGCTTCTTGGCCCACATGCCGGCGAACGCGTCGGCAATGTCGAACGCCGAGATCTCCTCGTTGTCCTGGAACTTGAGGAACTCGTCGCCGCCGTGGCCGGTCATGTAGACGAAGATGTTGCTGCGCGAGTCGGTCAGGAGGCGCTTGGACGCCGGCGTCGACTCGGGGAGGCGGCCTGCGCGACGAGGGCAAAGGTCAGGGGCGCTCGTAGACGAGCTCGCGAGGCAGAGAGCCGCAGACGGACCCGAGAGGAGGCGGAGAAAGGCCTCGACCGTGACCTCCTCGCCCTTGTAGTCGACCTCGATCTTTTCACCGTACAGGTCGACTTTGCGGTCGGCGTTCGAGTAGACGGTGCCGGCGAACGGGTTGCGCGGGTTGCACGCGACGTCGTCGGCGAGCATGAGGATGATCTGCGAGTCGGGGATGCCGAGGCGCTTGACGGTGCGGTACCTGCAGTGCGCGAGGGGTCAGTGCTACCGAGGGAGACGGGTTCTCTCGAGGGAAACGGGGAGACGGACATGGCGAGGGTGTTGGCGATGTGCTGTCGTGGTCGAAGCGAGGCAAGGTCAGCTCGTTGCGGCGAGAGAGGACCGGAGAGAGGCAGTGCCGAGGACGGACCCTGTAGTTGAACCAGAAGCGCGACTGCAAGGGGCAACTGGGTGAGCACGGGGAGGCTCTGAAGGAGTAAAGGAGAGGACGCACGGTGCACACGAGGACGGCCCAGTTGTTGGTGAACGAGGTGGACGCGACGGGGGTTGACGAGGAGGAGGACGAGGCGGCGACGAGGGCCGACGCGAGGAGCAAAAGCGCTGCGGCCCAGCCGGGTACGAGCATGCTCTACGAGGCTAGACGCTCGGAGCAGGAGCTGGTCGGTGCGAGGGCGAGGAGGACAACGAGGACGAGGAGCCGACCTTGGCTCTCTGTCGCTCGCCCCCACTTGCTCGCCGTCGCCACTCTCGAGACGCGCCGTGCACCACCTTGCACACACTCGGTGCACCTCGTCAACAACCGCCGAGCCTCACCCAAGTCGCCCGCTCGCCCCTCGTCTCGCCCTCTCGTCCCCGCCCCGCCGCACATCATCGCCCGCCCACCTCGCACCACCCGCAGCCCCAGAGCACACCCAGCACCGCCCAGTTAGGCTCACGACAGCCTCGACCACCCTCGAGAGCCGGCCCTCGCCCGCCTCGATGCAGACGGCGCCACCGCACGCGCACTCTCCCCACCCGGCCTCGCGCTCGGTGGGGGCACCTCCTCCTCTCGCCTCGCACCTCGACCACGCAGCCAAGAAGGCCGCAAAAGGTGCGCACCCGTCCACCAGCTCATGGGCCGCGCAGAGCGACCGATCACTGACTCGCTCTCTCGCACCCTCCCCCTCCCCATCCACCGCGTGACTCGCCGCACGTCGTTCGTTCGCCTCGCGCTCTCGCCGCAGCCAAGGACCTGTCGCACGTCCCGTGCAAGTTCTTCAAGGCCAACAGCTGCACCGCCGGCAAGGCCTGCCCCTTCTCGCACGACGTGGGCACCCCGGGCGTCAGCAAGCCCGTCTGCCAGTGGTTCGCCAAGGGCAACTGCAAGTTCGGCCACAAGTGCGCCCTCGCCCACGTCCTCCCCGGTCAGCCCCTCAGCTGGGACCGCAAGAACAAGCGCGCCGCCCAGCAGGCCCTCCGCGACGCCCAGGCGACCGCCGACTCGACCGGGCTCGTCACCGCCACCCACGCCACGGCCCAGAGCTCGCGCCCAAACGGCGGCGACACCAACGGGCTCGTCCAGACCCTGCGCCAGTCGGTCGACATCGGCAACGGCAACGGCGGCGCGGCGGCGAGGGCCGGCGAGTACGCCCGGTACCAGCACGCGGCCCAGCAGCAGTACGCCGCCAACGGCGCGGGCAATCCCGAGGCCGTGTTCGGCTCGCCCGGCAGCAGCGTCGGGCAGCGTCTCTCGCCCGCGTCGCCGCCCCTCCAGCATCGCTCGATCCCGCCTCAGCACCTCCAGCACGACGCGCCGCACGCGCCCCTCAGCTTCGCCACCCTCGCGCACGGCCCGACCGCCGCCTTCGTCGCCCCGTCGCCGTCCGGCCTGTCGCACCACTTTGGCGGCACGTCGCCCAACGGCCGGTCGTCGGTCGCGGCGCACGCCATGCTGTCCGAGCAGGCGCGCCGCCTGTCGAGCACGAGCGAGTCGCTGTCGCCGCCGCGCATGCCGCAGCACCTCTCGCACACGCGCGTCAGCTTCACCGGCGGCACCTCGCCCGGCCCGCCGCCCTCGCCGCCTCTCGCGGTCCCGGTCGCGCAGGCGGGCGCAGGCGGCGGCGGCGGCGGCGGCGGGCCCTCGATCTTCGGCACGTCGCCGTTCTCGGGCTCGCGTGGCCTGTTCATCCCGAGCTCGTACGACAGCAACGAGGACGGCTCGGGCGGGTTCCCGCGGTCGCCGCCCGTGCGTGCGAGCATGCTCGGCGACCACCTGCAGCGGCCCTCGTCGGGCATGATGACGCTCGGCGCGCCGTGGCAGGACGCCGTCGCCGTCGTCGACGACGAGTCCGGCACCGGCGACGACGCCAACGCCGAGGAGTTTGACGAGGGCTTCCTCCCGTCGAGCCTGAACGAGCTCCTCACGGACGAGGAGTTCACGCGGCGCACCCGGCGTGCGGCCAACCACGCCGGCCCGTCGAGCCTGTCGAGCACGAGCCCGATGCCCCAGTCGTTCGACCCGTTCCTCAACAGCAAGTCGGTCCCGGCCGAGCTCCTCCTCGCGGCGGGCAAGCCGTCGCTCGCCTCGCCGCCGTCGGCCGTCCTCCTCCCGCACCCGTCCATCGGCGCCAGGTCGGCGTCGCACACGGCCGCGACCTCGTTCGGCCTCCTGAGCTCGAGCGTCGAGGGCCACAACCCGTCGGCGACGCCGTATCAGCCGGGTCCTCCCGGCGGCCCGAGCAACGGCGGCGCCGGGCGCGGATCGCTCCTCGCACAGAGCCGCACGCGCGAGGCGACCGTCGTGCTCGACTCGTCGACGGGCACGCCGCCTCCCGTCGCGACGCCGCCGACGTCGTCGCTCCTCGGCGCGGCGCTGAGCGGGTACCCGCCGGCCTCGGCGTCGGCCGCCTCGGGCATCTACTCGGCGTCGTACTCGGACACGGCCGGCTTCCACCACCGCCCGTCCTCGTTCGCCGCAGCTGCGGCAGCAGGAGGAGCCGGCTCGGGCTCGGCCGCAGGCGCCGTGTCCGTCGCGGGCCACCCTCTTCCGCCGCGGTACCCGCAGACGGGCCTGTCTCCCGGCACCAACGCGTCGCTCGCCCTGCCCGGCTCGTCGCTCCCCGGCGGCCTCGCTGCAGGGCTCAGCAGGCTGCACCTCGTCCCGCCGTCGCACACGGGCGAGACGCCGCCCTCGAGCAGCTACGCCGCCGCCGCCGCGTCGCCGCCCGGCTCGGGCTCGGGCGCGGGCTCGTTCGGCCGGCGCGCCACGTCGAGCAGCTTTGTCGGGAGCCCGCTCGCGCAGCACGAGTCGGCGCTGCGGCTCGGCGTCCCGGGCTCGATCGGTCGCGCGGGCGCAGGCGGCGGCAGCGGCGCCGCGACACCCGAGCCGCAGAGCGCTGCTACCGAGCGGCCTCCGCGAGGGCAGGGGCTTGCACGCGGGCTCGGCGGAGCGAGCGGGAACGGGGCAGGGAGCGCAGAGGGGAGCGCAGAGGAGGACGACGGCCTCGAGGGCGGCGAGGTCGAGGACATCCAGTTCGAAATGGAGGTGGCGTGAGCCGCTCCTGTGCCTGTATCTTGTCGCATCTGTCCCTCCCCTTGCTCGCCTCGCCGCCCCCTCCCACCCCTCGCCGTCGTCGTCGTCGTTCCCGACCTTTGGTCGTCCCCCTTCAAAAGCGCCTCTCGCAGCCGTCTTCTCCTTAGTTCTTCCTTAGTGCGCAATGCAAAGACCTTATGGACTCGCAGGACGCGCGCTCGGAGCCTCGCAGAGAGCGAGTCGAGCTTGCGCACCTCAGCGCGCCGGCGCCTCGCCGCTCTCTCACCCTCACCGCACGCAGTCACCGCTTGACTTGGCCTGCGATGGCGCGCACTCTGCGCGTAGGTTGTGTGCAGCTATCCCCGTGCTTCAAGGACCCGGCTAGCTCGCGCCGACGAGCACAAGCGCTCATCAATTCGTGCGTCCCTCTTCCGCCCTCGCTCTCTCTGCACACCTGTGCGGGTGAAGCTGACCGCGTTCTACTGCCTTCAGACTCGAAGCCGACTCGCTAGATCTCCTTGTCCTGCCTGAGATGGCCTTCACCGGTGCGCTCCCCTCCCCCCGCACCGCCTCCTCCGAGCGGCGAGCCAGAGCTCACCCATCTCGCACACAGGGTACTGCTTCGAGTCGCGTGAGGACATCGCGCCCTTCGTCGAAGATGCTGAGACGGGCGACACCAAGGCTTGGGCAGCACAGACCGGTGCGCACCACTTTCCCTCTTTCTCGCACACGAGCTCTCCAAGCTGACATTGGACCCCACACAGCGCAACGGCTCAACTGCTACGTCCTCGTCGGCGTCCCGACTGTGGCGCCCAACCACCCGTCTTCCTCCACCTCGTCGAACCCGCCGTACCACAACTCGCTCCTCGTCGTCTCCCCTTCTGGCGCCCTCGCCGGCGTCTACCACAAGCACCACCTCTACGGCACGCTCACCAATGACGCCGCCGACTACCTGTGGGCCACCGCCGGCGACGCATTTGTCGCGCTCGACCTCCCCTTCCCGTCCTCGTCGCCTTCCTCGCCGCACGGCAGCTTCCGCCTCGTTCCCGGCATCTGCATGGACCTCAACGAGCGCGACTTTGCGCCGACGAGCGAGAACGCGCTCGCGACTTTTGCGCGTGACGAGCGGGCCGACGTGCTCGTCGTCGCGATGAGCTGGCTCGACTCGGAACCGCCGATCGAGGACGAGCACGAGGGAGCCGAGGAGACGGGGGACGAGTGGGACGACGTGCGGGACGTCATCTCGTACTGGGTCGTGCGGTGTATGCCGATGCTGGGCAGTGGGGCGGCGCTCGTCGCGGCGAACCGGGTCGGGCGAGAAGGCGGTGCGTCCTCGTCTCTCCTCCCTCCTTCTCTCGGTCTCTCCCTGACAGCTTTCCCTCTCGCAGACACCGTCTTTACCGGCTCATCGTGCGCTGTTGAGCTCGGCGACCGGCCAGCAGTGGCGCAGTACGCCAACAAGCGCGGCGAGGCCGTCATCCTTGCCGAGCTGTCGCTTCCTGAGCGGGGCGAGGACTAGACGGACGTGAGGGGGAAACTGCTATTTCAACTTGTTGCTGTACTATCTACGAGATGCGCACGATGATCTTGCCCGTGTTCTTGGCCTGTTGCGAGAGAGAGAGAGAGAGCTGTGAGCGACTGGTCACGAGGGCCGAGAGGAGGAGGAAAGGGAGATGGGGGCGCACCTGCTCCATCTCCTGGTGCGCCGAGACGATGTCGTTCCAGTCAAAGACCTGCTGGGGTTGAGTTGCGTGAGTCAGAGGCGAACAGGAGGAGAGAGGGAGCGAGAGGGAGAGAGGGCGGACCTTGTGGATGACCAAGTCGATGCCGTCCTTGCCGTCCGCCTTGGCAAAGACGTGATCGAGCGCGCGCTTCGAGAAGTCCTGGAGGAGCTCGGTCTGGTACTCAAGCGACCGGCTGCGGAGCGTCGTGCCCTCGACGCGAGCGCGCTTGTACAGGAGCTGGCTCAGGTCGAACGGCTTGTCCGTCTTGGCGCCGCCGACGAGCCCGACGAGGACGATGCGGCCGTCGCGCGCGAGCGACTGGATGTTGCGCTCCCAGTACGAGGCGCCGACGAGGTCGATGATGATGTCGACGCCCGAGCCGTCGGTCAACTTGGCCACCTCGTCGGCAAAGTCCTGCGTCTTGTAGTTGACGCCCTTGGCGCCGTGCTGCTCGACGAACTTGACCTTGTCGTCGGTACCGGCCGTCGCAATGACGAGCGACGCGCCGAACATGCGCGCGAGCTGGATGGCGGCGAGGCCGACGCCGCTCGCGCCGGCGTGCACGAGGACCTTCTGGCCCTCCTTCATCTCGGCGATGCGGATCAGGGTCTGCCACGCCGTGAGCAGGTTCTCGGGGACGGCGGCCGCCTTCTCCCACGAGACGTGCGCCGGCTTGCGCGTCGTCATGCCGGCCGGGACGCTGATGTACTCGGCGTACGCGCCGCCAGTCGCGAGGCCGAACCTGTTGCGGGTCGTACGTCTTGGTCAGCGCTGCCTCGAAGCGACACCGTCCTCGGCGAGGAGAGGAGAGAGAGGGGACGTACACCTCGTCGCCCTTCTTGTAATCGCTCGACCCGGGCTCCTCGACCGTGCCGCTGAACTCGACGCCGAGAATCGGCGACGCGCCGGGCGGAAGCGGGTACATGCCGCGACCTGCGAGGGTGAGAGAGTGAGGTCAGTGGACGGTGCGGGGAGGAGGAGAAGGTGGTGAAGGACGCACGCTGCATGATGTCCATGCGGTTCAGGCCGAAGCAGATGACCTGTGCGCAATCCAGAGGGTCAGTCTGCTGCCCCACGGCGAGGAGAGCGAGAGCGAGAGCTGTCGGCGCACCTTGACGATGATCCGGCCGTCTCCCTCCTTGAGCGTCGGGCGCTCCGTCTCGCCGATGTACAGGCCCTCGGCAGTCTCCGACTTGCCGTCGCGTACGAGCACAGCGCGCATGGAAGGCATGGTTGTTGGTGCTTGTGGTGGTGGTGAGGGACGGGGAGAGGAGGAGAGGCGGTGACGAGCTCCATTCTCGGCGACGAGTCCGAAACGGCAGACCCGGGGCAACCGGACTCTCGTAAGCCCGAGGTTCGCTTCGAGACTGGCCGAGGACGTCGACGCCCGAAAGTAGCAGCACCAAACCGAGCTTACAAGCTCGAATACAGACGGGGTACTATGCGCGAGGAATACAAATGCGACCAGAGGTCAACTCCCGGTCGACGCGTCTTTTGACTTTTGGGCTTCTCCGCCGGCGAGGGGAGCAAAGTGCGGGGGTGGACGAGGCGAGGCGGACGCTGGCTCCTCCTCCGTCCGCCCACATCTGCGAACTGCTCGCATCGCTTGCTTGAGCGCACAGTGCTGCTCGAGCGCGCTTTGGGACCCGTCTACAGCCCGCACCTCGCCGCCCCACGCCCTGCGCCGGTCCGTTCGCCCCTCCTCGACTCGCCTCTCGTCCGTCGCCATCTCGCCAGCAGCCTGAACCGCCTCGAGGACGCGACTGCGGGCCCGCGCGAGGGCGTCCCGACTCGACTTACCAGGTGCGTCCCCCAGGGCAAGCTCTCGCAGTGCGTCAGGGCCCGGGCGAGGGTCACTCTCGCGCGGACTCGAGAGCTCACCAGGGTTCTCGATGCGTCGACAGGTCATGCAGCTCGTCCTCGTCCCTCCGACCTCCCTACCCGTACCCCTCCGGCTCCAGACGCACGACGTTCCGACGCCCGTCATCGACACGCAGCTCGACCAGCTGCGCGTCCCGCGAGGGTTCCTCGTCGCGCGCAAAGCGCTCAAGAACGTCGGTCTCGAGCAGAAGAACTACCTCGCGTTCGACTCGTCCGCCTGGTGGCAGGTCGTCGTCCGCTCCGTCGAGTGGAATCTCGAGGACGAGGTCGTCGTCGTCACGCTCGTCGACGGGACTGAGGAGCGTTGGCAGATCGGCGACGACGGCGGCCGCCTTCGGTCTGCAGCACTCGTCGACGGCGACGACGACACGAGCACGAGTGACGGCCAGGGCGACCCGCAAGACGGCGACGTCGAGATGCGCGACGGCACGACCGCTCGCGACGCCTCGCCCTGGGCGCCGGCGCCCGTCCTCGAGCACTTGCGCGCCCTCTGCATCGACCTACGCTCCGCCTACGAGGACCTCGGCATGGTGCGCGAGTACGACAACCGGGCCCTCGATATCGACGCCGACGACGACTGGTCGATGCTGCAGGACCTGTCGGCCGACCACGACATGGACGTTCCCTTTGCCCTGAGCGACGCCCAGTCGTACTTCGAGTACGCCACGAACGGCTTCGACGAGGACGACGACTCGAGCGCGAGCCAGGGCCGCACCAGCATGTCGAGACGGGCGCGCCGACCTTCTCAAGCAGCGTCGGTCGACGGCGACGACGAGTCGCTCAAGTTCACTGGCCAGTTCGTCCCGCAATATCGAGATCGGTCGAGCAAGACGTCGCTCGCCGTCGACGAGCCGAGGCGCCAGCACGACTACCTGTCGATGATCCACCTCCTCGCGCGCATTCGCGCCTACCTCGCCAACCTGTTCTCCCGAGTCGTCATCCCCAAGCTTCGCGACGCTCTCCCTGTCACCTACACGCTGTGGGCTGGGTCGGGCGCGATCGCCTGGTGCCGTCGTGAGGCGATCCGGCTCGGCGGCGACGTCGCACGCCTCATGCTCGACCTCCTCGAGGACGACGGCGACGTGTTCGACGCCGACAGCGACTCGGAACCGTCGCAGCCCGACATCCTCGTCCTCAACGAGGACGACGAGTACTCGCTCAGCCCGTCGTTCGTCGGCAACGCCTCCTCGTCCTCGCCCGACGGCCTGAGCGGCCTCGGCGGCGTGTACGACGAGCTCGCCGAGTGGCGCGCCGAGGAGCGTCGCATTCAGCGTCTGTCGCAGAACGTCCTCGTCAGCCTGCAGGGCGACTACGAGCTGCGGCGCTGGTGCGAGGCGGCGCTCGAGCGCGCTCGGACCTTCGCCCAGCGCGACGGACTCGTCGAGACCGCTCCGCCGAGGTGGACCGAGCCCGTGCCGTCGCAGGAGGTCAGCCACACGCTCGACGGCGACGAGGGCGACCTCAGCGAGCCGCCGTCCAAGCGCGCGTCCGAGTACCAGGTCCCGCTCGCCCTGCGCCCGAGGGCCTTGTCGTCCGCCCCTGCTTCGCCGCCGACCTCACCTCCTCCCGAGACGGCCTCGTCGGCGCGCAAGCGCGCTCGCTCGATCGGCGAGTCGGTCGGCAGCGACGACTCGACCGAGGGCAGCAGCACCGACGAGGACGAGGACGACCTCGACTCGTTCATGCGGTACCAGACCGAGTTCTTCTACCCCGAGGACCCGCTCGACGAGGAGTTCCTGCCGTCGAGGCTCCCGAAGGAGCTTGTGCGCGCGAGCGCGTCGCGAGGGGTCGAGATGGAGGAGCACCGGGCGAGGGTCCACGAGCTGCTCAACAAGATCAACGGGGTGCGTCCTGCCTCTCTCCTCCTCTCTCGTCTCGACGCAGAGGACCACACCTGATGCAGCTCGAGCCGCACGCAGCTACAGCACAAGATCGTCGAGCTGCAACACTTTGTCGCGAGCGAGGCGGCTCGGTGGGAGACGAACCTCGAGGAGGCGCGCAGTGCGTCCCGACCGTGCCTCACTTCTCTCTCGGACCGAGATCTGACGCTCTACTGCACGCCTGCAGAGCCCAAGGAGCCGACACCTCGTATCCCGTCCGGCCTGAGCTCGACTGGCCCCTCGGACGGCTCGCCACCGGTTCCCGCGCCCACCAAGACGCCCGTCCCGCTCAAGGCCCAGCCGCTCCGCAAGCAGGCCGGCGACCGCGCCCTCGCCCTCTCGCTCGACAGCGCCCTCGACGCGCTCCAGTCGCCGTTCCGCCCCGAGGCGCTCGGACCGGTCAAGGTCCCGACCGTGCACCTGCAGAGCGCCGCGCCGCGCCGCAAGCAGAAGTCGAACCTCGAGATGTACGTCAAGGTCGTCGCCATGTCGCGCAGCATCCAGGCCGCCACGCCGCCACGGAGCCGCGTCGAGTCGAGCGGGCAGAAGAAGCGCAAGCGGCCCAAGGGCTCGAGCGCCGGCGTGCACGCGTCGCACGCGCCTGGTCGCTCGCCGACGAAGCGTCCACGGCTCAAGCTCGTCCAGCGCGAGGGCGCGAGCGCCGACCTGTCGAGCTTGGCGAGCGGCTCGGCGCAGCAGGTGTTCGGCTCGTCGACGGCGCCGACGCCATCGGCGGCAGGAGCGAGGGCGTCGACGCAGGACCCGCGCCACCTCGCCGCTCTCGAGCTGAGCAATCGGCGGCGAGGGGCCGTCGCGGCGGCGAGCGCGCGCATGCCGTCGGCGTGGGCCGAGGACGAGCAGCACGAGGAGGAGGACGAGGTCGACGATTGGTCGAGCGGCAGCGACGACGAGAGCGAGGGCGACGATCCCGCGCCTGCGCGCTCCTCGATGCACGAGGCGAGCAAGTACTGGGACGAGTCGGACTCGAGCGACGACGAGGGGCTCGAGCGCGTCGACCTCGGCGCCGTCACTCGCTCGCGCGACGACTCGCCCGACCTGCCGACCTCCTCGCCCTCGCCCGACATGCGGCCCGACTCGCCGTACTGCGACGAGTACGAGGCGCCGACGCGACCGGGCACTGCCGCCGTGCCGTCCCCAATCCTCCTTGCGCCGTCCCTCCTCGTCCTTCCCAACCTCGGCCCGCTCTTCCCGCTCTCGGCCGAGCGCAGTGCCCTCAACGCACGCTCGACCTCGCCCGTCAACGTCGACGGCGCAGGAGGAGGTCCGCCCTCGCCCGACGACGAGCCGTTCCTCTTTGCGCCTCGACCGCGCCGTCCGACCTTCTCCAACCTCGTTCCTGCCCCGCCCGCCCCAGCCGACACGTTCGACATCGCCTCGTCGCCGTTCTCGTCGCCGCCCGACACGTCGAGCGCACCTGCACCCGCCGCCGAGACCGGCCTCGCGCAGCGCATGCGGGACCGGCTCGCGTGCGTGTCCGACCCGCCGGTGCAGCTCGTCCCGCCGCTCAGCCTCGACTGGCCCGCCGACGGGGCCGAGTGGGACGGCGGTGACGGGTACGAGCTCGTGCTCGGGCTCGAGGTGGGCGAGGACGACGGCGGCGTCTGACCGCGTGAGCCCGTGCGTCGCCCCCTTTCGCCTCCTCCTCCTCCTCCGCCGAACCGCACACACTCACGCTCGTCCACTCGCACCGCAGGCTTTTCCTCCCGCACCGACCTCGCCCATCGTGTCACATCGACGTCGTCCCATCCACCGCTTGTCGCCCACCGTCCCCTCTCCACCTCTCGACTGTCCCCCCGCTTCTCCGCGCCGAGCCTGATCCTGCACAGCATGCATTCACCCGTCTCGGTCGGTCGGTGTCGAGAGCGTCGAGAGCGAGGCGCGAGAGCAGCGGTGCTCGCGAGAGAGCCGACAGAGGCGGAGAGAGCTTTTTGCGCCGAGAGAGTGAGAGAGGCAGAGCGAGCTCCGCAGCGTTGGCCGGGCGCAGGTGTGTCGCTGGACCAAGAGTGGCTGCAGGTGACGATGAGCGTCGACGAGCTGGAGCTCCGCGACAAGGAAGAAGCTCGAGGACGAGCTTTTGAACGCGCCCAAGACGAGCGACGTCATCGCTGTACGGTGCGGAGGCCCGCGGAGCGAGTGGAAACAGGGGTCAGGCGCGCGCGTGCGCACGAGCGGACCCTCGCAAGAGAGCTTCGGGCGAGAAAGGTCGGCGAGCGCGAGCTTCTCTCTCCTCTCCCTCTCCCTCTCACCGCCGCACGCCCTCTGAGCCACGACCCACCAGGTGAGCACACACACTCTCTCTTGCCTGCCCACCTTCGCGCTCGCGCAAGGCGTGACGCTGACCCCACTCGCCCCCTCGTTCTTCTCGTCGTTCGGCCTCCGCGCTCGCTCTCGCCAATCCTCGCCGCCAGCCGCATCCAGCTCGCCCTACCTTCGTCCTCCTCCTCCTACCACACCCACACACCTCACCACCACACGCACCATGTCCGGCTTCCGCTCCGCCGCTTCGTCCTTCTCCGGCGGCCCCCGCCCTGGCATGAACTCGCCGTGGGACACGCCCGTCGCCACGCCGTTCGAGTCGCCGGCCACCACCCCTGGTGGCTCCCCCGTCCTGCGCGACAGCGACGGCAAGCGCCTCCCCAAGGCGGCCGACATCCACATGATCCTCTCGGACGGTGCGTCCTCTCTCCCTCTCTCTCTCCCTCCTCCTCGCTCGCGAGATGTGCGACTGATCTCGGTCCCCGCCCTGCAGTCGACGGCACCCTGTTCACCGACGCGCACGAGCTCCACCCTCGCGTGCGCGACGCCATCCAGTACATCCGCAAGATTCGCCCCGAGATCCCCATCATCCCCGTCACGGGCAAGCAGCTCCCGTCGTGCCAGAGCCTCATCAAGGACCTCGGCATCGAGGACATGCCCGCCGGCTGCATGCACGGCGCCATCATCTACGACAACCAGCGCAAGATCGAGCAGGAGATGTACCTCGACGGCCACTTTGTCCGCGACGTGTCGCGCCTCATGCGCAAGCACAACAAGTCGACCTTCCTCTACGTCGAGGACTGGAACGCCATGGTCACCAAGGAGGAGAACGGCACCAAGGACTGGGAGCAGGTCGCGCGCGGCTTTGACCCGGCCGTCAAGGACGAGCGCGAGGGCGACTTCATGCAGAAGGTCCTCAAGGGCAAGGAGCGCATCTACAAGGTCCGTCCTCGCTCTCTCCTGTCGTGTCTCGAGCGCGCGAAAGTCAGGAACCCGTCCTGACTCGTCCTCTCTCCCCCTCCTTCCTCCTCGCGAACCGCAGGTCTTCCTTCCCATGGACGAGGAGGTCGTGCCCCAGTTCATCGAGCTCATCGAGAAGACGTTCCCGACCGTGCCGTTCAAGATCACGCGCGCGCTCCCGTACATCATCGAGATCGTCGCCGAGGGCGTCGACAAGTCGGCCGCGCTCGCCTTCTTCGCCGCCAAGTTCAACGTGCGCCCGGAGAACATCATCACGTTCGGCGACGGCGAGAACGACGTCGGCATGTTTGGCGCCGCCGGCTACTCGGTCGCCATGGCCAACGGCATGCCCAAGCCCAAGGCCGTCGCCAAGTACCAGACGACGAGCAACGACGACGGCGGCGTCGGTCGCTTCCTCGACATGATCTTCCGCCCCGAGTACGTCAAGGAGCCCGACGCGGGCCTCTCGGTCGACCACCTCAAGGCGCTTGACGCCCAGCTCGGCGCCGCGAGCGCGTCGCCCCTCGCCGCCGGCCTGTACCCTTAATCTCCCTCCCCCTTCCTCTTGATACCCCCTCATCCTTGACGCTCGTCGAGTCCGTTGTGCCGTATCTATCTCTCCCATCATGTGCATAGCTCGCCTCTCCCTCTCTCCCCCCCACTGCAGCATCCCTCATAGACGCTGTCGATCGTCGGCGGTCCATCTTCTGGCGACGTAGCGAGCGAAATACAGGCTTATTCTCGCTCTCGGCGTCGTCTCGTCCGTCGCAGCAGAGAGCGTCGAGCGAGAATCGAGAGCGCGTGCGACCCTTTCCGAGAGCTTGAGCCGGCTCTCGAACGAGATGGATGAGGACCAAACGACGAAAGGCTAAGATTGACAACAACAAGACGAGACAGCTCCTCCCGCCTCGCTAACCCTGCACCTGCGCCGTCCGCCTCTCCCGGCTGAACCTCGCGACGCCCTGGATGAGCGCGCCGAACGTTGGCGGGCTCTGGACGTCGTCGCCGAGCCAGTGCGGGAGCTGCGCCTTCTTGGCGGGCTGCGCGTACCGCTCGTCGAGGAGGATTATGGACGCCCAGTCGCGAGCGCTGCGGATGGCTCGACCTGTAGACGGGCGAGGAGGACGACAGGGAGAGATGGAGAAGGAGGGGTCCGAGCGATTTAGCCTTCTCAAACAGAGATTCGAGGGGAGGATGACGTAGCAGCGCACCGATGGACTGGTTGACGGCGCGAAAGGCGAGGTTCTGATCTGTGAGCGCGGTCGACTAGGGCGTCAGGACGGCCGGGCGAGGGAAAGAGAGAGAGAGAGAGAAAGCCAGACGCACAAAGAACTTGGCCAGCGTCAGGCGCGCCTGCGACTCGTCTCGCCTGCCCGGCGCTCTTGAGATACGCCATACGCTCCTTGAGCTCGGCCGACTGCGAGTTGGGGTACGGGATACCTGCACGGGAAGAGGGCGAGTCAATACGCGAGGGAGGGAGGGGAAACAGGAACGACGAAAAGGGGAGAGCGACGCACCACAGACGACGACAGCTGCGTCGAGACGGGGTGTACAAAGACTCAGTACGTGTCGAGTGCAGGGAGAGGGATCGAGGGGACGCACCGCGAGCCATGTCGTCGGCGAAGTTGATGCCCTCGGAGAGCTTGGCGCCGACGACGGCGAAAAGGATGCTGCCCTGCGGGGCGTCGACGACGCGTCAGGGACGAGAAGAGATGTCGAGGGTAGGGCGGAGGGACGCACCTTGGCGTCGCCAGCATTGCCCGCCGCAAACTCGCGCAGGACGAGGTCGACGTCGGCCGAGGCCTTGGGCTCCCAGAACGTCTGCAGAATGCGTGAGTCGGCATGAGAAGCAGTCTACGAGAGAGGAAGAGAGAGAGAGGCGGGGCGCACCTGCTTCTTAGCGCTCAGGCGCTTGATCATGCCGCTCTTCTCCCACCGGGCTTGAGCGTGATGGAGGAAGTCGTAGGACGGCACGAACACGACGACGCCCTTGGGCACCACCGCCGAGATGTTGACGATCGCCTGGCCGAGCTCGTCGAGCTTCGAGAGCGTCGGCGTTAGTCCGGGTCGGCGAGAACGAGGAGGGGGAGGAGGACGTACGAGCCGCTCGTCTTTGCGCCGCTCAAACGTGAAGTTGAACGGGATGCCTGTCGGGCCCTTGGTGACGGCGAACGTCGAGACATGCTCCTTGGGGACGACGTGACCGCAGGAGAAGGTCGAGAAGCGCTCAGGCGCGAGATAGGGGAAGAGCTGTTCGCGAAAGTCGCTCATCTGGGGCGGGGTCTCAAGGTCAGGCGGTGCCGCTCTGTGCTCAAGACGGTGAAAGTGAGATATAGACGGACCGGAGCCATGGTACCGCCAGCGAGCACGACCGCCCTCGCCTCCTCGGCGACGTCGCGGAACGAGTCGGCCGGCGCGAGGAGCATGTACTTGAGCGTGATCTCAACCTTGCCCTCGACGCCGTCCTTTCCTGCAGGCTTGGTCGACTGCGACAAGAGGACGCGACCGTCGCGGGAGGCGTTGGCGAGCGACAGGATGAGCTGCTGAATGTGCTGCAGGGCGCGAGTCGCGTTGGCCCGTACGGCTTGACGACCTGCGGCAACGGCGGCTCGTCAATCGAGGGCTGCCATAGAGAGAGGAAGGAGGGACGCACCTGATGCAGTTTTCTCCTCGGCAACGCTGTCGACGTAGCCGCCAATCTGTATGAACATGGACGGGAGGCATTAGTGACGTGGACGAGGAGAAGGGAGGCGAGGTCGTGGACGCACCTTGCGCGCAATCTTGGACTTCTGAAGGTACTCGTCGAGCTTGCGCAGGTTGATCTGGTCGAGCGTCGTCGAGCCGCCGCGGGCAAAGACCTCGGCGACCTGCACCATCTCCTCCTTCTTGCCGCGCTTGGCCCACGTCTCGGCGAACTCGCTCAGGCCCTTGAGGAGGAGCGCGAGCTGCTTGAGGTATGTCGCGTTGAGGCCGGTGAAGCGCGACCGGAACTTCTGAATGTAGACGAGGAGCGCTTGGCGAATGACGATGAGCTGCGAGGTCGTGGTGCTGACGCTGTGCAGCGAGAGGATCGAGTCGATCAAGTTGTGCGCCTCGTCGATGATGATGATGTGGCTGCAGGCGAGGCGGATCGTGAATAGTCGCTCGTTGGAGGAGGAGAAGAGGGACGCACTCCTTGAGCGAGATGCCGAGCGCCTCGCGCGCCGACCTCTGCATGAGCAGATTGTACGGGAGCGTGACGACCTCGGCGGCTCGGACGGCCTTGCGCGAGCCGTAGTAGGGGCACGTGTGCGTTTTGCGGCCGAGCTCCTCGATGTCCTCGATGTCGCGGACCGATGCCTGCGGAAACGACGGGTCAGTGAGCTCGCTCGGGCGTGTAGACGGTCGAGAGGCTGTGAGACGCACAAGAGCTTTGTCGCGAAAGTCGTTGAGCCGGGCTGGCTCCGACGAGGGCGGCAGGAACTCGCAGCGGTCCTTGCCGCCCTTTTGCAGCTCGGTGCAGAGGTCGCCCATGGCCTCGTTGCTGCCGCCGCTCTTGCGCCGCACGTCGTCGTTGATGCACAGCGTCTGCCGAGAGCCGAGCGGGATGATGCGGACCGGTCGGGACGCCTCGGGCGAGGTGGACGAGATGGTCGAGTCGGGCGGTGAAGGAAAGACGAGCGAGTCGTCCTCTCGGGCGAACCTCGTCTTGCGGAGCTCGGCGACGAACTGTGACAGCTGCGAGTGCGTGCGCGAGGCAAAGAAGATCTGCGAGGGCGAGATGGTGAGCGTCGGAAGAAGGGCGGGACGAGAGCTGACGAGGCGGACCTTGCGAATGTCGGGCTCGTCCTCGTCCTCGTGCCGCGCCTTGCCCTTGCCAGACATCCTGCACGAAGAGGTTCGCGTGAGTACAGGGACGAGCGGCGCGTGGGAGGGAGGAGAGGGAAGCTTGCGACTCACGCATCAAGAAGCGCTCGGACGGCCGGCGAATAGTTGTCGTCCTCGCTCTGGGCGAGCTCATCGGCCGTAGTTGACGTGTCGCCGTCTTCGAAGTATGGCGTGGGCGCAAACTGGTCGTCGTTGTCGTCGAGCGGCTCGTCGGCGGCGATTTTCTGCGGCAGGACGAGGTATGAATGAGCCGGACGAGGAAGTTGATGGACTTGAAGACGCTCAGGGAGCAGGGGACACACCAGACGCTTCTTGGCGAGCGTTCGCCCCTGCTCTTGTGCCGCCCTGACCCTCTCCTTCTTCTCCCGCTCGCGAATCGCCCGCAGTCGCTCCTCGAGGTCGCGCTCTTGCCGGTCGAGCTCGTCCAGCTTGGACTTGATCTCGTGCTCGATGACCCAGGCGGGCTCGTCCTTCATAGAGTCGGACGAAGCGACGTGCTCGCGGATTGAGGCGACGAGGTCGTGTCGGGCGTGCGCCTTGGCGTCGCGGAGGAACGAGAGGGACGACGAGATGAGGGATAACGACTTGCCCTGCGCACTCGTCCGGGGCGATGCATTATCCCGTGAGTCCCGGAGGTGACGAGAAGGCGAGAGAGAGAGGACGCACCGTGCCGGTGGGCGACTCGACGACCGTGACCTGGCTCGCGGCGAAGGACCGGTACAGGTGGTCCATGAGCTGCTTCTGCACGTCGTACGGCGCGTCGTAGGGGAAGCCATAGGTCGGGTCGGAGGGCTCAAAAGCCATGTCGAGGTAGTCTGGCGGGCGCAGGGAACATGATCAGCTGGGCGTCGCGGGGAGGAGAAGATGAGGAAGAAGGACTCACCCAGGCTGGAAGATGAAGCGCTCTGGCCAGAAGTAGACCTTGTGCGACCGATGGACGCTCGAGCAGCTGCCCGCGGTGCGCGCTCGAGATGCTGGCGGAGCTGGACCGGGGTCGGAACGAAAGGCGAGCTCGCGTCGTCGGCGAACCCTTGCGGCCAGCGCGCACTCGCCGGACTCTTCGTTCGCTCCTTGCGCAGCCGTGCGACAAGCGATCCCGCAGCAGTGCGGTGAGCGAGAGAGGACGGGGGAGAGGACCCGGCGCCGCGACGCGGTCTCGAGAACTCTCTCAACTTGCGGCGCTGCGACGCTGAGGGGCTTTCGTCGACGTGCGCCAGGGAGCCAGAAGTGTCTGTATTGCGTGCAGCAGAAGGTGAGGGTCTATGGACGACGAGAGCCAAGAGGGGAGTGTCTGTGGTGGAAGAAGGCGAGTGTCTGCGCCGAAAGGAAGGGAGAAGTGTCCTTGGGGTACGGATAACTAGAACAACGACGACCGACAGAAGGGGTACAGAGATAGAGAGAGAGGGCACAGACGCTAGAACTGCGGGTTCCACAGAAAGTCGCCGGCGTACCGAGACGGCGTGACGGCGGCGTCGATCCAGGGCGACAGGGTGAGGGGCGTGAGGGCCTTTGTCGACGCGGCCGGCGGGGCGACAGTCGTAAAGAGGGAGAGGGAGGGGCGAGAGGTGCGGAACGGCTGAGGGGCTGTGCTCGAGGGAGGGCCCATGAGCGCCGCATGCTGGTTCGTCGCCTCGACTGGCGGCGATGGCGGGGCGACGTGCTCGGCGTAGAAGTGGTGCCCGTGGTGGAAGGCTCTCGGGTCGGGTACCGCGCATGCCTGTGCAGCGAGCGCCGGTGAGTGACAGGGTATGCGGGAGGAAAAGAGAGAGCCGGTCACGCACAAAGCCTTCTGGCGCAGGTCTCGCCGTCGACGGCGTCGGCAGCTCGGACGACGACGCGAGGCTGAACTCGGACATCGACTCGGCGGTGAACGCGGGGCCGAACGGCACGCTCTCGCACGGGCGCGAGCGAGGAACGAGGTGCTCGACGATGGCGACGGCTCGGCGCACCATGCGCGTGACCTTGGGCACGAGCGGGCGCGTGCGCACGAAGTGAAGAAGCTCGTCGAGCTGTCGACGGGTTGGCGAGGTGTCGGTGTACGCGACGGGCAGCCCTGCACGCGAGGAAGGTCAGGGCCGGCCCTCGCTGCGACGGCGCGAGAAGAGGGGAGGAGGGGGCGCACCGCTCAGGTCGACCGCCGCGCATACAGCAGCCGCGAGGATGCGCAGGAGAATGTAGGGCGCGGCGGCTGCGTCCTCCATGCCCGCCGAGTCAACCGACGCGAACAGGTTGCCTGCGCGACGAGGAAAAAGGGGTCAGGGGCCGCTCGTCGTGGACGACCACGAGGGAGCTTGGACGGACCGAGATGCTGTACAGCGAGACGATCCTGCGCCTCGCTCGTGTAGCCGGCCCTCGCCGCGAAGCGGTGCAGGCGGTGGAACGAGTACCGGGCGAGCGCGGCGACGAACACGTTGTCGCCGTGCTCGTTGAGGAACTCGTCGAGGTCGTCGAGGATGAGCGACACCTCGTCGGGCGAGGTGCCCTTGCGCGTCGTGAGCGCCTTGCTGACGCGGCGGTTGAGCATGCCGGCCAGGGCGTGCGCCGTCGAGATGGGCTCGGACGCGTCGGGCTCGCCGCCGATCGAGTCGATGGGAAACTCGACCGAGATCTCGTCCTCGTCGAACGGCTGCCACGCCTTGCCGAGCATCGGGCGCGCGACGCACTCGTACGAGTACAGGGTCCAGAAGAGGCGCCGGCGCAGGTTGGCCTCGACAGGCGACAGGTGCGGCGCGACCTCGCGCGGGTCGCGGTTGAGCTGCAGGTCAAACAGGCCCGCCACGACGCTGGCCGTGAGCGACAGGGTCGCCTCGAGGTACCGCCCGCCCTCGACCATCCACCACTGGAGGAGGAGCGAGAAGGCCCTGACGCTCTCGACCGTCGGCGAGACGAGCGCGTCCACGGCCGCAAGAACGCGACGGCCAGCGTCGACCCACGTCCTCGCGAGTAGCTCCTTGGCGGCGCCCGCCGGGACGACGACGTTCTCCTTGCCGGCGCTCGGGTCGGGCGAGAGCATGAGCCCGAGGCCGCACGCGACGAGGTAGGTCGCGAGCCATGCCGGCTCGGGTGCGGCGTGCGTGCGCCAGAACGCGTCGCACTGGGCGAGGAAAGTTGGCGGGTGAACGAGGCGGAAGAGCCCGTTGGCGGTCGCGAAGAAGGCCGAGAGCGACAGCTGCGCTTGTGCGAGCGTCGGCGCGACGGCCGTGACGGTGCGCTCGTACTCCTCAGCCGAGATCGAGGCGTGCAACGAGGCCGGTGTCGGTAGGTTGTAGTACGGGAGCGGCGGCGCTTCCTCGGCGTCGATTTGGCGCAGCTGTCGCGAGAACGAGAGAGGAGGACGAGTCAGTTCTGCGACGGGAGAGGGATAGGCGATCGACCGGGCCAAGGAAAGGAGACTCACGTGGGCGGACAAGGACGTTGCGTCGAGGTTGAGCGCGCCGAGTTCAGGAACGTCGCTCCCGCCGAGGATGTGCCGCGTGAGCGTGTCGGCCGCTCGGTCACGAGCGACGCCATCGGCCGTGACGGGTACCAGGAGCGCCGGTGGGCCGGTGACGGGTGCAGAGGAAGCGCGCGGGCGTTCTGGCGGCGCAGGCGAGGTCGAGGCGAGGGACGGAGCTGAGTCGGCCGAGACGAGCGACATGAGCTCTTCGAGGCGGTCGAGCTTGCGCTTGAGCTGGCGTGACGGCAGGTCCTCGGGGTTGTCGCTGTGTGGGCAAGGGCGGGCGGTCAGCAGCTGCTCGAGGTCGGCGGTGGGGCGCCAGGGCGACGTGGACCGGACGGCGAGGCGGGCAGGAGAAAGGGGAGGGGGGCGGGGGGGGAGAAACGGGGGACGCACATCCACAATAGCGCCTGGAACGAGCAGTTGTCCGTCTCTCCCTGCAAGGTGGCACACACTGTCGTCAGGGACGAGGCGAGGGGGAGCGGCGAGGAGGAGGAGGAGGAGGAGGAGGACGCACCCTCAGCTGGCACCCGTCGCACGCCGGCCCGGTCAGGCTGCACACGCTCTTGCGCGTGCGGCACTGCAGACACGCGACTGTCCCTCGTCCCGGGACCGCTGGACGAGGCGAGGAGCCCTTTGCGCGGCCGCGAGGGGAACCCGCCCGGTTCGAACGAGCGCTCGCCTTTGGCGCGTAGTCGTCGTCGTCCCGCCTGCGCTTGGCCATCGTCGGCGCGCGTGCGTGGAGCTGTCGGGCTCGTGCGAAGACGAGAGCGAGCGAGGTGGAGAGAAAACGGGCCAGGGAGCCGCGTTCGCTCCCTACACGGCTCCCGCGTGTGAGAAAGCCAGGAACCCGCCCCGCTGGCGCTCGACGAAAGACAGTGTGGAGCACCGGACGAGACGCAAGTAGCTCCCGACGTGGGGACCGCCAGTCTGGCTCTCTGGCTCGCTCGCCAACTCGCTCGGACCCGCGAGCGCTCGCTTGCGGGAGAGCCACGTTCGTACTCTCTCGTCGCTCTCCAGAGGCCTCGAGCTCGAGCCAGAAGCACGGACAGCGCGAGCGAACGAGAATAAACCGCGAGGCGAGGCACGCTCGCGCTCGTTGCGGAGCGTCTCGAAGGGAGCCTCGCCTTCCCGCGTTGGGCAAGCTGACGCATGAAGCGCACAAGCGCTGAACAGGCCTGATCGCGGGCGATGGAGCGAGACCGGGTGAAACGGGCGAGCCAAGTGCGGACGGGCGAGCGCGAGCGGGTCGAACGTGGGCTTGCGCCGGGCGAGGGGACACACTGCTACGACGAGGACGGCGTCGCCGCCGACGTGTGCGCTCGAGCTTCTGACGCGGCCTTGTTCGTCTCGACGGCGGCGGCGAGGAGGTCGTAGTACTCCTGCCACGTGGCGACGACCTGCGCGAGAGCGGGCACGAGAGGGAGGAGAGGAAGGCGGCGAGGGCCGCGTCAGTGACGAACGAGGTGAGGACCATGGACCTGAGACGAGGAAAAAGAGGACGTACAACACGTTGACGGGCGGCGAGCGAGTCGGCAAAGTCCTCGAGGGCCTTCTTGAAGTCGTCGACCTTCTCCTTGTCGAAGCGCGCCATCTCGGCCTTGGTGAGCTTCGACACGTCGTCAAAGTCGTGCCGCGCATCGAGCATCTTGCGTTCCGCCTGGTTGCCAAAGACGATGCGTAAGCTGCCGTCCTGCTCGCGGTCGAGGGGCCCAGGCGGGAAGGGGGAAGGGGAAGGAGGCGCCGACGACGAGGGGGGTGCGTAAGCGACGAGCGCTCTCGTCGTCGGCGCCCACGAGAAGAGGAGGGGAAGAGACGAGGGACGCACATCGGCAATCTCGGCGACCGAGAGGTTGAGGAGCTCAGAGTGGGTCCGGCCCGACCGCTTGGCCTTCTCGTGCGCCGTCTGCATCTTGCGCAAGTTGGCCTCGGCGGCCTGCCACGTGTGGTACGCCTTGATGCGCGCGCCGAACACGCCCTGCATCGAGAAAGGAGAGAGACACAGTCAGTGCGAGGGCGCGAGAGGTGGCGGACGCTCGGCAGGGTAGGGAGGAGGACGCACCCTCGCGCTCGTACACAGCCGGGCGTAGCTCTCGGCGACCGTCGTCAGGCCGTCAATCTTCTCCTCGTCGGCCGCCTGCGCCTCGGACAGGTCGTACAGCTTCTTCTGCACGGTCGCCGCCTCGTCGAGGAGCTTGCGCAGCGACGACGACAGGTCACACTGGGCGAGCGCGAGGAACGCCGACTGGAGCTCGGCGACCGAGCCCTGGAGGGCATGACGAGCTTTGGCGGCCTTGGCGAGCGAGTCGATGAGGGTGCGCAGCTGCGTCTCGAACGCCTCGAGCTGCTGGCGGCGCTGGTCGAAGTACTGCGGGTTCCACAGGTCAGGCTCGTTCTCGGGAGTGGGACGGGACGAATGGGACGCACGTCGTCGAACTCGGTAAACTTGGGGCCCGAGATGCTGCTGCTGAGGTTGGCGAGGAAGCCCTTGTGCTCGGTCGTCGTGTCGATCTTGCGCTGCTTGATCTGCGGGACCGAGCGCTCCTCGTCAGGTCATTCCGCAGGACGAGAAGAGGCGAGGACGCACGTCGATGTGGAACGTATCGCTCTCGAGGAAGAGGCGCAGGTCGGGGTCGCCGACGAGCATCGGGTGCGAGACGATCTTGTTGAGCGCCGACTCGAGGCCGAGCCTGCGGTTCTCGACAAACTCGCTGCCGAACCGACCTGCAGACACGCACCCAAGTCAGTAGAGGGACAAGGCGAGAGCGGAAAGAGGAGAGCCGACGCACCGATGGCGTGTTTCTCGGGCATGCCGGGAACGATGACGCCCGGGTTGTTCTGGGTCAGGGCGTCGTACAGCCACAGGAAGTGGCTGAAGCGGCGCAGAACGGCAAATTCGGGCTTGCGGTAGGCCGAGGAAGTCGTCTGAGGGAGCGGGCAAGGGGGGAGTGAGAGTCAGGAGCGGTCGAGAGGAAAGAGGGAGGGAGAGAAGGGGAGAGGCTCACCCGGGTGCGGACCGTGTATACCGTGTGCTGAGCGGCAGGGTTGAGCGCACTGCCGACCGTCTGCGGGTCGCCGACCGTGATGATGAAGGTCGGGCCGAGCGAGCCGCCGAGCTGGGTGCTGCGAGGCGAGCCCTGGATGGTCGGCGACTGGGCGGGTAGTGGCGGCAGTGGAGCAGATCCCTGTATACAACAGAGAGGCTTTAGTACGCGCTCGAGCTCGAGAAGAGAGAGAGGGAGGAAGAGGACGCACCTCGCGCTCTGACCGCTGGTGCTCGCCCATTCCGACCGTCCTTTCCGTCGCCGGCGTGCTCGCGCCCGTCTCAGTCTCGCCGTCCTCGCCCTCTCCCACCTCGACGCTGCGGCTGTACGTCCCTCGCAGGCTGTCGGCGTCGTCCGTCGCGCCGAACCCGCCGTCCTCGCTCGAGCCGTTGAAGGCTCGGAAGCCGCGCGAGGTGGGGCGCTCGGACGAGGGCGCACTGCTCGCGCCTTCCGGCTCGACCGGCGTCGACGTGCCCTCGCCGAAGATGTACTGCGAGTAGGACGCCGCGTCGGGAACCGAGGAGCTCGTCGACTCGGGCTCGGGCGCCGGCGGCTCGTCGACGGCGAGCGAGGCGAGCTGCCGATCGAGGGTTTCGACCTGCTTGTTACTCGGCCATGCGTCGCTGCCCGAAGCCGAGCCCTCGCGCCCAGGCGTCGTGCCGGTCTCGAGCGGGCTGACCATGGCGTCGTACGGCGCGTCGCGCGCCGAGTCGACCGAGACGGCGGACGGGGCGACCGAGGCGGCGCGCGAGAGGATGGGCTTGCCGTCGACGGGCACAGAGGATGAGGGGGGGGCATCGGGCTGAGGCGGCGTGACGGCGCGGGACGGCGGGAGAGGCGTTTCGAGGGCCGAGGCGACAGGCGGCTCGACTGCCCCGTCGACAGGCGGCAGTGGCGCCGGCTCGACCGCGACGAGCTCTTCGAGCGTCGTGCTCGTCGATACAGGCTCGGCCGTAGCGCGAGGAGACGCCGACGCGCCCTTGGCCTGCTTCCCGGCGGCGGCTGGCTCGCCGACCTCCTCCACACTCGGCTTCGCCGCCGCCGTCGCCTGCTCGCTCTGCGACGGCGCCGAGCCACTCGTCACGTGCGAGTCGACCGCCTCGCTCGCGGCTGCCACCTTGGCGGCGGGCGCGGCCTTGGCCTTGTTCGGCGCCTCCTCCTCGGTCTCGAGCCCGAGCAGGGCGGCGAGCGGGCGCGCGACAGGCTGCTTGCCGACCGACTTGGCCGGGAGAACGGCGATCTTGCTGCCGAGCGGGCCCGCCGACCCTTCTGCACGCTCGGTCGCCTTCTTGAAGCCCGACTTGCCGGCCGGCTTCTCGTCACCAAGCAGCGCCGACAGGTCCGCCTTGCCGCGACGCGTCGACTGAGACGCAAAGGGCGACTCGGCCTCGGGTGGCGCCGCCGAGGTTGGCGACGACGGCGAGCGAAACCGGGCCGAGGACGGCGACGCGCGCGAGTAGCTGTACGAGAAGCCGTCCGGGTCGCCCGGCTGGACCTGCGGCTGGGCGGGCGTCTCGGGCTCGGGAGCGGCGGCCCGCACGAACTCGCGGTCGGCAAAGGCGTTGGTGGTGCCGACGGGCGTCGACGGCTCGAAGGCGGAGGGCTGAGCCTCGTAGGCCGACGGCTCGGCGTCGTGCGCCTGCGACTGGTACGGCGCGGTCTCGAACGGCGAGGCGTACGCCGACGACTGCTGGTCGAAGGAGGATGACGCGGGGCCGTAGGAAGAGGGCGCAGGGTCGTACGACAGGACGGGCGCCTCCTCGGGGGCGGGCGGCGAGACGTAGGTCGGAGCGTCGTACTGCGACTGGGCCGGCGGGGAAGCGATCGGTGCGCTGTAGAAGGGGGATTGAGGGCGCTGCTCGGGCTCGTAGGGCAGTTGAGCCGAGGACGAGGCGAGGTCGGCGAACGGGTTGGTCGCGAGGTCGTCGTCGTCTTGAGGAGCGCCGAACGCCGAGTAGGTCGAGCTTGCGCCGAATGCAGTGCTGTTGCCCGACTGGAGCAGGTCGCCAAAGTCGGCCGTCTCGTCGTCGCGGAAGCCGCCCTCCATCGGCGTCGGCGACTGGGGGAACGAGGTGGGGAAGAGGACGGTCGGTCGCAGGTCGAGCTGCTGCGGTGGTGGGGGGTCAATCACGCTTCTGAGGGGCTTGAAGAGAAGCTGGAGCGCACCTGAAGGTTCGAGGCGAGTGCCGGGGTTGGGCGAGCCGTCGAGGTGACCTCGTCAACTGGGCCGAGGCTGGGCGGCGTCGATGCGGTGTGAGGTGGAGGTGGTGCGCTGGTGCTCGAGCGGTGAGATACGGTGGAGGTTGAGCAGCTGCGCCTCAGCTGGTGAAGGCGAGAGCCGGGGTTGTCGAGGAGGAGCGAGCCGGGCGATGAGAGCGTCGGTCACCTCTCTGCGCTCACCTCTCGCCAGGTGCGCCGCGGTCAGTCGCTGTACAAGCAGGAAAGCGCTTTCGAGAAGCCACACAAGCAGCGCCGGCCTCACAGGCAGCCCCCGCCTCTTGCTCGTCCTCAGTTCCGAGGAGGCGCCGCTTTCACTTGGTTGTCTGCGCTCTCGCGTCTCGCTCGCTCTCCGCTGTGCCACTCTCGAGTGTGAGCGACGTGAAAGCTTTGATGCAACGATCTACAGACGTGCCCCTGCCTGAGCAAGGTCCGCAAACGACAGAACAGCGGACGCTCGAGGCTACCAGTCGAACTTGGCGATGTCGAACGCCAGCTGTGAGGGCTTGTAGTCCTTGACGGCACGACGCACGTCCTCGGCGAGCTGCACGGGGCCGCAGGCTGCAGAGAGGAGAAATAGTGAGGGAAATCCTTCGAGATGAGGGAAGAGGGAGGACAGGCAGCGCACCGACGACGAGAGTGCGTCCAGACGACTCGCGCACCGTCTTGGCCACCTCGAGGACGACGTCGGGTCGGCCGGAATGGTGGTTGTAGAGCGCCCTCGTACGCCTCGTCGACCCGTTCGAGCTCGAAGTCGACATCTCGAGCTTCTTCTCGTCGTCGTCGGCGGCAGACAGTGAGGGCGAGACGGTCGGCGACGAGGGAGAGGAGCCAGAGTTGCTCAGGGATGGGAGGATGCTGCCGGGCTCGGGGCGTGTGACGTAGAGGTCGACGGCGAGGGGCAGGTGTGCTTGAGCGGCCCAGGCGCGAGTCTCGGCAAGCGTCTCCTCGATCCATTCGCCTTGCTCTGTAGCGTTGAGAGACATGTGCGGATGCGGGACGAGTGTCAGGACAGGTTGGCTGAGTGCGCCGCAGAGAGCGAGGCAGAGAGGGACGGACCGGCGTGGTGAAGTGCCCAGACGAGGCGGACGCTCGTCGTTGCGGCGGTACCGAGCGCAGCCTTCTGGCAGACGTCGGCAAGGATCGAGATGGGATGCGTGATCCCTGCGGCAAGGTAGGTCCTGCGAGGTCAGGGCACGGACCTCGGCTCGAGGAGAAGAAGGAGAGAGTGAGCGCACCTGCGCCGCCGGCGAGGCACAGCACCGACTCGTATTCCTCGGCAGGCTCGGCAGTATCTGCGCAGCGACGGGATCAGGATTTGGGCGAAAGAGAGAGAGAGAAAGAGGAGAACGTCGTCGACGCACCGAAAGGACCCTCAACAGCGACCATGAGCTCGACCTCGTCCTGCCCCTTGGCCGTCATTTTCCTCCGGATGTGCTGATCGAGCTCGCTCGTGATGCCCTTGTGGATGCGGAGGACGAAGCGCAGCTCCTGCTTGTCGCTGTCACGGACGGAAACGTTGGCGGCGCAGAACGGGTGGGTCTGGCCGTACAGGTGCGGGCGACGGAGGAAGTCTCGGCCCCTGCGCGGCAGGAGGTACAAGCAGAGGGTTGGTGAGACCGTCTCGACGTCGTCGCCGTCGACTTCGAGCCGCGCCGACCGGCGACAGAGAGGGAGAGGGAGCGAGACGCACCAGAACGAGATGTAGAAGTGCTGCCCAGGGCCCCAGGCCCCCTTGAACGGCACCGACAGCTTGATGGCGCCGTCGAAGATGGTCGCCCTTGCGCTCATTACCGGAGCACGGACGACGAGGCGCATGTTGGCCCACGACGTGAAGATGCTCGAGATGCGGAACACGCGCTCAAAGAGCCAGATGCCGACGGTCGCCATGACCCAGTCCTGCATGTTGGGGCGGTGGTACCAGCAGCCGCCGAGAATGATGCCGGCGCCGGCGACGTGCAGGGCGAGGAAAGCCTGGTACCCGCTGCGCGAGGGGGAACGAGCACTTGTCAATGGTCCGGCTCGACGTCGACGACGTGCTCGGCAGAGAGGGCAGGGAGAGAGGAGGAGGAGGGGCTCACCGACGACGGATGAAGCCGAGACCCGTGATCGAGAGCGCGACCATGAAGACGACAGCCTGAGGGAGACGAACGAGGGCTTGTCAGTTCGCGTGCTCGCCTCCTCGCCAGCGGTCTCGTGCAAGGAGGACGAACCACGATGCCCATCTTGAAGTAGAGCTCGCCGAAAGCGCGCTGCAGTTTGGCCGTCGTGTGGTGCGTGTAGTACTGCTCGGCGGGCAACTTGGGAAGGTCAATCTCGAGGTCGCACACACTCGTCCTGCGTCTCGGCCACGCGCAGACTGCGCCGATAGCAGACGAGACTGAAAGGGAGAAGGCGAGGACGCACCTGGCCGACGTAAGCGAACGTGTGGATGATCGCCATGACGGTCGAGTGCGCGCCGAGGTAGATGTGGTAAAAGCGCAGGCTCTGCTCGACGAGCGACGACGTCAGGGACGCTCGACGAGCCGACAACGAGAGAGAGGGGGCGGGGCGCACCTGGTACGAGAGGCCCGTCAAGCTCGTGAGGATGTTGTTGCGCCCGACGAAGAGGAAGAGAAGCGGGAGGTCGGCCGTCGCGATGCGGCCGCAGCGGTCGGCGAACATCTTTGCCGTGCTCGTACCATAGAAGACGTTGACCTGCAGAACGCCGATGAGGAAAGACTCAGACCGAGATGAGGTGGCCGACGGCGCGCGGGCTCGCGACGGACGAGGAGAAAGAGGGACGGACCAACGAGAAGACGAGGCACAACATGATGTCGACCATGATGAGCCCGACGCGGAGGATGCTCCAGTCGGACGGCAGAAACGGCACAGGCGTGAGCGCCGCTCGGTCGACGGCGTGAATGGCGCGCACGAGCGCCGAGTGCGTGTACGGGACGGCGGCGCCACCCTTCTCGCCTGCGGCGACGACGACCTTCTGGCGCTGACGGCGGGCATGGGCGCGCGAGAGCTTGAGGGCGAGGTTGCGCAGGATGAGCAGGCCGAGGAAGGCGCACGCGATCTCGACGTAGTACTCGGCGTACCCTGCGACTCGGGCAGCGAGTCAGGATACTGCGACACGACAAGTACGAGGTCGAGGGCGCGAGAGGAGATGGGAAGGGAAAGGGACGTGGCAGGACGCACATTCGCTGCGGGCGTGCTGAAGGAGCTTCTGCCGCTTTGCGTCGCTCTGCTGCCCATTCCCGCCTGCTCCTCCAGCCGACGCTCCTCCGTGTCCACCTGCCGCACTCGTAGCTGCCGGGCCGAGTGCGTCGACCGCCGACGACGCGCCGAGGGCCGAGGAGGACGACGACGAGCCAACGCCGGGACCGACATCGGCGAGGATCTTGTAGACGAGGGCGCTCGAGTCGAGGGCGACCATCGCGTCGAGGCTGTAGCGGGCAACGAGCGTGAGAAGGGGAAGAGAAGGGGAAGAATGCCGGGCGGGAAAAGCCTCTTCGCTCGGCGGTCGTCCTCGGGGTCACGCACCTGTAGGCTAGTCCTCGTCTGATTGCGCAGCGTGCGCGTGCTCGATCATCTGCGGGTGACCAAAAACAGGACGGGGAGGGCTGAGGGAGGGGCAGAGGACGAGGAGAAGGTGGGTTAGGCCGCCGATCTGATTAGAGAAGATCCGTGATCGAGGTGGAGAACAGGGTGCCGGACCGAGGGCAAGTTTTGCGCGCGAGAGCCCTGCGAGACGGCCAAGCCGGCTGCGCGCACAGGCCAAGAGAGCTTGGTCGGTTTGCGGATCTGGCTCAGGGAACGAGAGGGAAAACGAGGACGCACCGGCTTCTCCTCCTCATCCCTCGCCCGCTCTCCTGTACGCAGCCCGCCTCCCCTCCTCTTCTTGCCCGGGCACCGGCTCGATCATCGCTCGCTCCTTGACCTCGCTCCTGCGACTTAGCGCCCCGCTCCCGCCTGATCGTAACCCACCACCTGTTGGCCTGCTCCTGCTGTGCCCGCTCGCGCGAGCGGCCGAGGCTCGACGCCGCTCCACCGACGACTCAACCTGCTCCCGCCACGGGCACACGGGCGCCGATCAACGTTCTTCCCGGGCGCGAGCCCGACGAGGTACTGCCGCACGAGGATGAGTCGCTCGACGAGCCGCGTCGACGACTGGCGCTCGAGGCCCGCAAGTCGGTCGCGAGGCCGTCAACACCGGCGAGATGCGTCGACAAGGTCGATGTCCTTCTCGTCTCGTCGTGCGACGAGAGACGAGCGCGTGAACCAGCGTGTGGCAGACAGGATCGGGCGGGTCGGCAACGAGCCGGACGCGAGAGCGCGACCTCGTCGGCGGCGCAGGTGGTCGAGCCACGCAAGAGCGGATGTCGGAAAAGCGACATGAGGCGGCTGGGCGCGAGCCGATAAAGGACGCGAAGGCGGACAGTCGAGGGAGGGTAAAGACGGGCGAGGTGCGGAATGGGGTGCGATTGCAAGTGTACGAGGTGAGGTTATCTGCGAGGCGGGTCGCACGGTCAGTCGGGCTCTACTGTGGGAGGCAGAGGGAGAACGAGCGACGCACACAACAATGAGACGATGTCGAGCGGCAGGAGGTCCGAGAGCGCCTCGTCACGGCTTGTCGCACGTCTTGCAGCCAAAGTCGAGGCCGTCTGGGCTTGTCGGCACGTCGCCCTTGACCGGTGGAGGCGGCACGACGGGCTGCGACACGGCCTGGACGCTCTCGAGGTAGGCCCGCTTGCGCGCCTGGTCCTCGAACTCGAGCTCGCGGGCTTTTTGGGCGCGCTTGGCGGCGAGGCGGGCCTCGTCGCGGATGACGCCGGCGAACATGGTCTGTAGGAGGAGCGATGGTCAGCCGCGGAAGCCGCAGGTGGGTCGACGGGAGGCGAGACGGAGGGGACGAGGGACGAACCTCGCGCTCAAGAGTCTGAATGCGGTGCACGCCCCAGATCGAGGCGCCGCAGAAGACGACCGAGGCGGCGAAGAGAGCTTTTGCGGTGCGGCTCATGGTACTGGACAGGCGGCGCGAGGTGGTGGATGACCGGATTCCGAGGATGGAGAAGGACGAGGGAGATGAGGACGAGGAGGTGGGCGGCGGTCACTCGAGAAGCGAAGGCGACGCGGTGGGGTGGGCACTAGTCGGCTGAGCGCGGTGTAGGCGTGGACGGTGCGCTTGCTCGAGGTGGACGAAGCGAGGGGGCCGAGTCTGACGAAGCGGCGGTGCAAGATGGGGAGAGCAGTTCTCGTTTCCTGCGTCCGCTCACCTCGCCAGAGATGCCAGTGGCAGCTCCACCGCTACCCAGCAGGCCAGGGCAGGTCCCTCCAGAAGACCCGCTCCCCGACGAGCCTCCTGTGCGTCCCCCTTCTCCTCCTCCTCCTCCTCTCACATCTCCTCGGCCGCTCACCTCGGCCTCGTTCCCTCACTGCAGCCGCCTTATGAGCCCACGCCCGCCGCCAACCAGCAATCGCTCGAGTACGGGCCCGTCCGCCCCTTCCAGCCTCCCCCTCACGCTCCACCTCAGCATCCGCCTCGGCCCTCCTCATCGCCTTTCGCTCCTCCGCCTCGACCGCCTCTTGATTCGCCAGGCCCGTCACTACCTCCACCGTCATTCCCCTTCTGGAACGGCGCGAGCCTGTGCGTCGCACCGCGTTTCCCTCTCTCGCCTCGACACCCCGCGCTGACCCCACCTCGGTCCCGCATCCGCTCTCTGCAGCACGCCCGCCCAGACCGGCTTCAGCGAGGGCAACCTGTACAACCAAGCGCCGCCTGCGCAGCCGCTCCCCTCGCCTTTCGGCTTTCCCCCCTCGCCTCAGCCCCAGTCGTCCTTCTCGCCTCCCCCTCACGCACCGCCTCATCAAACTCACGCGCTCCCGCCGCCCTCACCCGCCCCGAGCCGCACCGGTCCGCAACGGTACGAGCCGACCGAGACGCCGACCCCAGGCCAGCCGCTCCTGAACCAGGGCAGGCTCCTCGTCTACCAGGTGCGCTCCTCGTCCCCTCCCCTCAGCCGGCATTGCCTCTGGGCAGCACCATGAGCTCACTCTCTCGAACCTGCAGCCGGGCAAGGCCGTGTGCTGGAAGTGCGCCAACACGGGCTACAAGCCTTTTGACCCGTTCACGGGGTGAGTCCCGCCTTCTCGCCCCGTCGGCCGAGCGACGCTTGCGCACCAGCGAGCCCGTACTGACTCGAACTTGTCTTTGCAGCTACCAGGGCGACGACCCGAGCCATCCTTGTCGAAAGGTACGTCGCGTGACGACGTCTCTCTGCTCGAGATCGTCCTCGCTGGGGCATCTGCGCCTCGCGATTCGCCCTCGCCGGCGAGCCAAGCTCACTCCCTCCCTCGTTCCCCTTTCTCGCAGTGCTGGCAGAAGTACGGCCGACCCTACACGTCTGCGCTGCGCATCTCGCTCCAAGACTCGTCGTCGCCCGTTCCGCCACACTACCAGCGCCCGCTGCGCCTCGTCCAGACGCCCCAGACGCGGCCCGCACCGCCCCAGGTCGTCTACTCGTCGGGCAGGTACATGCCCATGCAGCCAGGCGCAATCGTCGTCCAGCCGGGCGACCCGAGGATGGGTGAGCTCCCCTCTCGCTCTCTGTCCCTTCCCTCCCCGAACCGCCGCGTCTCGAGCCGAGCGACGCCGGCCGAGTCGCCGGTCCCTCGCGTTCGACGTTCAACCTCGCCAAGCAGCCCCGACTGACTCTCCTCCCGAGCGCGCAGGCGGCATCCTCTGTCGACGGTGCGGCGGCGACGGCCTCGTGCCGGGCTTCCTCCTCATCGACGACGTGACGTGCGACGCGTGCAACGGCGCCGGGCGCGTCTTCCCGTGACAGCGAGGGACCTCGGGCAGAGAGAGGGCGGGCGCTGCGGTACATACGGCGAGGAGGAGGGGCGAGGACGGAGCACGAGCCTGTTGTTGTACAAAGCGTCGAGTCGAGCCTCGACGGCCTGGAAAAGAAACGCTGTATCACTCGTTCTCTCTTCTCTGGTCACGAACACGAACGGCGAGCGCGGGAGAATGCAACATTGCGAAAGTGAGAGGTGGTACAGCTGCGGCCCGCTCGCTCTCGAGCCCCGACTCGACGCTTCGCCCACGCGCACGGACGACCCTCGTCTGCCTCGCCCCGTCTACCACGCGTCCATCTGCGCCGCCGAGAGCGGCTCGGTCTCCTGCTCGTACTCGACCTCGACCCTCGGGCCCTCTGCAAGGGAGGAAAGAAAGCCGGGTCAGTGCTCGTCGACGACAAGGACGAGGAGAGACAGAGAAGGAGAGAGAGAGAGGGACGCACTCCTCCTCGGCTTCTTGGGTGCAGGCGCCTTGCCCTTGCCCTTCTTGGGCTCGTCGCCCGGCGCCGATTTCCGCTTGCCCGTCGTCGGGCCGGCGGCCGTCTCGTCGTCGTCGTCCGAGGCGGCCTCGTCGTCGTCGGACGCATCCTCCTCGTCGCCAGAGAAGCCCTCGAAGTCGGACTGTGTGAGATGCGAGCGAGGTGAGCGCTGTTCTGGCGGCGGCCGAGGGCGAGGGAGGAAGGGAGAGAAGGGACGCACAGCACCCTCGTACTCCTCCATGTCGTCGACGTCGGACTCGTCAAAGTCGCTCACGAACTCGGCCATGTCGTCCTCGAGCTCGTCCTCGTTCTCCTCGAGATCCTCGTCGTCCGTCTCGTCGTCGCTCTCCATGCCGAGCTCCTCGAGCTCCTTCTCGGCCTCGACCTCGCGCTCGCGGTTGAGGACGGCCTGCCACACGTCCTCGTTGACGTTGAGCGGCTGGTCGCCGTACGCGCGCGACTTGAGCCGCGCAATGAGCTCGCGCTCGAGCGACTTTTCGAGCTGCGCCGCCGAGAGCGCCTTGGCCTCACGCGCCGACTCGCGCTTCTCCGTCTTCTTCTTGATCGGGACAAGCTGCGGGCTGCAGGGGCGGCACGAGAGGGTCAGGGTCGGGACTGCGAGGGCAGAAGGAAGAAGAGAGGACGAGGGACGCACGCCTCCTTCATCTTGAGCTTCTTCATCCGGATCAGGTACTGCGTGATCTTGGTCAAGCGCTGCTTGCACTTGTGGACGAGAAAGTCGGGCCAGTAGATCAGGTGCTTGTCGAGCTGCGAGAGGAAAGAGAGGGAGACAAGTGGGAAGGTGTGCGAGGATGAGGGAACGGGTGAGTGTCAGGTCGGTCGGCTCGAGGGGCCCTGGAAACGGAGCGACGCACCTGTGCCAGCGCCTTGGTGTAGTTGCCCGACAGTTTGACGCGCTCCCACATCTTGCTCGGCAAGTGCGCGCGCTCGATCGTCTTCATGTACAGGTAGACGACGCCTGCGCTCGCTCGTCCGAGTCAGCGACAGCCTCCGGTGACGAGGCATGGTAGAGACAGGGAGAGGAGGACGCACCGCCATGCTCGCGGACGGTCGCGTACCGGCTGTTGGCGAGCGGGCAGCTCTGGCGGCTGCACAGGCCCGTGAGGTTGTACTCGTTGCGGCAGAAGTTCTGCGTGACGGTCCTGCAGGGCGAGGCACGGCTCGTGGTCAGCTCGAGACGCTGACAGGACGAGAGGAGGGCGAGGGACGCACTTGATCTTGTACGAGCAGTGCTGCCGGTTGATGATGTCCCTGCGCGCGAGCTCTGTGGCGTCAGCGGGGGCCGAAAGGAGGGCAGGGAGAGGCGGGCGCACCAGATGACATCGTCGGACTGCATGATGGCTCAAAGGGAGCGCTGAGGCGAGGTGGTCGGGTGAGATGAGGTCGAGCGAGGCGGAGGACGAGGCGACCGAGGTGAGGCGACGGCACGAGCTCCTGGCGGGCGTCTGGCGGGCTCGAGTGGTGCCGATGAGAGTGCTCGAGGTGCTAGTCGGGCTGGCAACGGTCCAGCGAGTGGCGGAGAGCGAGGCGGAGGTGGAGCAGCGGCCTGGCCTGCAAGCTCGAGCTCGCCTCGCCGTCTCGCGCGAACCGGCTCGACCGCTCGCTGAACACCGCCTGGCTCGCATTGGAAAGGATGCTCGCGGAAGGTTCTGTCATTGCTCGACGTAACAGGTGGTGCGCAGCCCGAAAAGACCGCGAGCGAGACCTCGTCGTCCTCCTCTCGCATGCGCTCAAACCTCTCTCGCGCGCCTCTCTCGCCGCCCGCCCGCGTCGGTTGTTGCCCGACCGCATGCTCGTGACCCCGTACCTGAAAAACCGCAAGGTGAGAACGAGCAGGAGAGGCCGATGCGAGTGCAGGTGACCGCGTTCCCGAGAGGGCAGCGAGCGCCGACCGTGGAGCAAGACGAGCGACGATCCCTCGCTCGACGCCGAGCAGAGCAGGGCGGGGACAGAGTCGAAGCGCTCGTCACGGAGGACGGCAAAGCACGTTTGCAGCGGTGACGAGGCGAGCGGTCGAAGGGGTCGAGACCGACGCTGTGGAGAACCACGGGGAGGAGGAGAGGTTGTGGGCGACGAGCGCACGCTGGCTGTCGCTCGAAGGCCGCAAGCTCGACGAGAGCACGTCGAGCAGGTGTCGGTCGCGGTCGAACTGGAACCGGCGCAGCGGGTGACGAGCACGAGAGCGAGAAGGGTTTCCTGGTCGGAGCGAGTCGGGAGGAGGGCGGGGGCGACGAGGTCGCGGTGGGACGAGCGGCGGCGGTGAGCCGGGGTGCAAGAGGTGCAGCAAGGTGCTCGTGAGGTGGCGGCCGTGTCAAGCAAGTGAGTGGTGGTGGAGGAAGAGGTGGTCGCCGAGGTGAGAGGAGAGGCGGCCGCACCTTGACGACGTCCTCCCCTGCTCTCGCGTCAACGCAGCCTCTGCGCTGCCAGCGACTCGACCACCACCACTGCGACAGCCACACTCGACTCGGCCACACCCAGTCGTGCGTCCCTCTGCCCTCCCCTCGTCCCCTGATCGCGAGCGGTGTGCTCGCTCTGAGTGGGCCGACCCCGCGCTTACTCGACCTCGTCCCGGCACCTTACAGCCTGCGACTGCCTCGCCACACGCTCAGCACCCACCACTCGACCCGTCTGAGCACCACCCCGACCGCGCGCCACTCGCCTGGCCGTCAACACCCTCCCTCGCCCACCTCCGCCTCGCCTCTCGACCGCCCAGGGACGCCCGCCCTCCCGATCGATTGCTCCTCCCCCCTCGACCCTCGGCCCCTGCACCGCCGAGCGGCCACAACTCGCACCATGGCGGCCGTCCTCAGCTCGCCCACCCCGAGCTACCCGACCTCGACTGCGCCCCTCATGACCCCGCCCCTCCTCGGCTCGCCAGAGCTCCTCGACTCGGCCGACGACGAGCGCAAGCACGGCCTGTCGCCCATCCCGGCCTCGCCTCGCACCGACGCCGACCTCGACCTGCCTTCGCCCGGCGCCGCCGCCGCCAGTCCAGCCGACACGCCCCCGTCGCCCGCCTCGACCGCGTCGGCCTTGAGCGAGCCGTCGACCCCGACCGCCCACCACTCGTCGCTCGTGCCGGCCTACCCGTACAACGTCGCCATGGTCCCGTCGGCTTTCAGCGGCGGGCCCCTCCCCGACGATTCGGAGCTCACGACGCGCCTCCCGAGCATCTGCGTCGACTACCTGTCGCACGACTGGGCAGAAGACGACGTCTGGACCTCGTGGAAGGCCATGACCCGCCACAAGAGCGAGATCGCCAACGGCGTCCGCCTCGAGAACGCGTCGTGGCGCACCTGGGCCAAGCAGCGCGGCAAGCTCAAGACGGTCAGCCCCGAGACGCTCAACTGGTCCGTCTCCCTCTCTCTCTCTCTCTCCTCCGCTCCACTGCTCGGTTCTCGCAGTTGCGCTGACCTGCACATGCGCGTGTCCCCCTGCGCGCCCTTTCCTCTCTCTCGCAGGCTCAAGGACAGCGACGTCACCTGGCTCTACGGCCCGCTCCACACGGCCGTCGACGCCGTCCCGCCGCCCAAGGTCGCGACCGCCGGTGACCGCCTCGGCCTCGAGGCGTTCCGTCCGCTCGACGCGACCAAGGCCGCCGCCGCCAAGGAGGAGCGCAAGAAGGCGCAGAAGGAGGGCAAGAAGGCGGCCACGTACCCGGTCCCGGCGGGCGAGGCCGGTGCGCCGCCAAGCCCCGCCGGTGCCCGCTCGAGCGCTCCCGGCGCCGGTCGTGCCCTCCTCGCCGCACGAGCGGCCGGCGCACGGTCGCGCAAGGCCGACGTCAAGACCAAGCCGATCCTCAAGTACCGGTCCTTGAGCGACATCCTCATGCCCCAGGGCCAGCCGACCTCGCCCGACGTCGAGCAGCTCGGCATCGACTTCCAGGACCAGGCCACCATCTCGGTCCACCACGCCCGCTCCGACTCGCACCTCGTCCGCCTCAACTCGCTCAACCGCAAGACCAAGCGCTCGTCGCCCGTCCACTCGCCCGGCTCGTCGTCGCCCGAGCGCACCGCGTCCGACTCGTCGAGCACGAGCACGTTCCTGCGCGGCGGCGGCGCCAACGCGGCCCAGGCGCGGCGCAACCGGCGGCACATCTCGTTCAACCACCGCGTCGAGCAGTGCATCGCCATCGACTCGAGCGACGACGTGCGCTCGTACTCGACCGCGAGCTCGTCCGACGAGGACGAGGACGAGGTGCTCACGTTCGGCGCGAGGAGCCCTCGGCCGTCGAGCTTCATGCGCACGCCCGAGCCCAAAGAGCCGCACACGATCGCGCGCCTCGGCCCGACGACGCTCAAGAGCGTCGAGCTGTACCCGTCGCCGTCGCCCGCCGTCGTCTTTAGCTCGGACCCGAGCGAGTACGACGACTCGGCGGCAGCCGCCGGCGCGAGCTCGCCGCCAGACGTCGTCGGCGGCGACGAGCACGTCGAGTCGTCGCCGTACCAGCACCCGGCGCAGGCGGCGCAGCAGCACGCCGCCGGGCAGCGCGTCATGTACGCCTACTCGAACCCGGACGCGGCGATCCGCTCGCAGTGGGACCCGGAGGACGACGACGACTACGCCATGGGCTTCGACTACTTTTTGGGCGCGAGTGGGCCCGACCTGCAGATCGGCGACGAGTACGACACGGCCCAGTACGGCTCGACGCACTTGATCGGCGCCGCGCACAACAACTACCGCGGCGGCTCGGTCGGCGGCTCGGTCGGCGGCGGCGGTGCCGCACCCGCAGGGTCGGACGGCGTGGCCAACTCGTACCTCGGCGGCGGCCCGTACTCGGCCGCGAGCCCGTACCACCCGGGCTCGTCGACGCTCGACCCGACGGCGCACGCGACGCAGCAGGCCGCGAGCCAGATGCCGCACTACCGCGACTCGCTCCCGTCGTCGTCGTCCTCCTCCCCCTCGCCGACCGCCTCGTCTCCCTCGAGCGCCGGTTCGCCAGGTGCCGCGAGCTCGACCGCGCCCCGCGCCATCTCGGCGCCGTCGTCGCCGCAGGTCGTCTCGGCGACGCAGCGCGGCCCGCACGAGCCGCCGCCGACCCGCGACGCGTCGACGCCCAAGCGCAGCGCGCTCAAGGGCGGCCGCTCGCGCGAGGCGTCGGTCGAGTCGAACCCGTCGTCGGCGTCGACCTCGCCTGCGAGCGGCGCGCCGTCGCCCGCCCTCTCGTCGGCGTCGACCTCGCCGCCCAAGGGCATCCAGGCCGTCGCGACGGGCATCCCGGCGCACGTCATGCGCCCGGGCGTGCCTCGTCGCGGGACGTCGGACGACGGCGAGCGCGGCAGGAGCGCGAGCCGTGGCAGCTCGTCGTCGCTCGAGCGCGAGGCGTCGGCGCGCAGGAGCAGCTCGAGCATCAGCCCGACCTCGGCGTCGTACTCGCCGCCGATCGGCTCGGCGAGCGGCTCGTCGCCCATCATCCAGCAGGGCTGGCGCGGCAGCGCCTCGTACGACTCGCTGTCGTCCGTCATGAGCGGCGGCGGGTCCGGCTCGGGCGTCGGCAGCGCGCCTCGAGCGGGCTCGCTCGGCGGCAGCTACTCGAACCTGCCCGACGTTCCCGAGTCGAGCGAGTCGTCGCCCAACAGCGGCGGAATCCGCATCGGGGGGCCGTCCTCGTCGTCCGGCGGCGCCGGCTTCGGTCGGCTCATCACGAGCTCGAGCGTCGACTCGATGGGCAGCCTCGGCTCTTTCGGCGCCGGGCCCAACACGCCGACGAGCCCGACGATGCCGAGCCCTGCGAGGCGGTACCAGAGCCTCGTGCCCGAGGACGACGACAACGGCCAGGTCGAGGACGTCGCGACCGTCAAGCCGTCCGCCGCAGCGGCGGTCGACAGCTCGCGCGACTTTGCCGCCACGTCGTCGTCGTCGTCTGCTGCCGCACCTGCCGCATCGGCGCCGGCGCCGGCACCCGCAGCTGCGCCCGCTCCCGCCGCGCCCAAAGCCGATGCGCCGGCACCTCCAGCGCCCGCACCATCGGCGCCTGGCGCGACGCTCGGCCACAGCCGCACGCCGTCGGGTCCTCGGCTGCGCAACCCGTCGCCCGCGACCGCCGCGACGACCAAGGCGACGGCGGCTGACGCGCGCCCGTCGTCGCCGGGCGAGAACGGCTCGCCCTCGTCGTCGTCGCCCTTGGCCTCGCCCGACGCGAGCGGCGGTGCCGGTGGGCCGAGCCTGCTCAAGCGCTCGCCGTCGAGCAACTCGCTGTCGTACGCGAGGCAGAGCCTGCTGCGCGCGACGCAGCGCGATGAGGAGGCGTCGCGCTCGTCGGTCGACGGCGGCTCCTCGCCGTCGCTGTCGTCGAGCGGCGGCCGCGGCAGCCTCGACAGCGCGCGCGAGGTCGACGGCGTCGGCTCGTCGACGGCGACGGGCTCTGCGGCGCACCCGCACGATGACGACGAGTTTGGCGCTGCGGCGGTCGGCGGCGGGATTAACGTCGCCGGCACGGCGAGGGACTTGCTCGGTGCCATCTCGAAGGGCATCTGGGGGTCTCTCGGTGGGCGCGGCGGCGGCGGCGGCGGACGCTGAGCGCCGTCGCCGAAGGAGCATACGCCGAATGGGGAGGAGACGCTCCCTCGTTTTATAGACATCCCTCTCCCCCTCCCCACCCCTCTCTCGCTTGTACGTATCCCGCATCTCAGGTGCTCCACCAGTCGCTCGCTCGCCTACCACGTAACCCCCTAGACTCAGTTTTTTTTTGCCTTCATCATGCTCGACGCCCGTTCTCCCCCTTCCTCTCTCCCTCTCCCTCCATCTCACTTTGCGGTACACACTTTGCCGGGCCCGTCGCCTTTGTAACTCGTTTGCGACTCTCTCTCCTATCGTGCGTCCGACCGGGAGCGACAGCGAGAGCGAGAGGACGAGCAGGGACGGAGGAGAGGGAACAGGTCCGTGCGCGCTCGCCGAGAGCTCTTCTCGAGGCCGGCGAAAGAGAACGAGAGCGAGACACCGACGATGCACACGAGCTACAGATCCCTCGCAGACGATCCACCGACGCGCACCGACGACGCTCAGTAGCTCCTGCCGAAGAGGGTCCAGCGCTTGGCCTTCTCGCCGCACTGCGGGCACACCTTGCCGTCGATGCTGCCCCACCGCGCCTGGTCGTGCGGGATGCACAGGCTCTTTGCGCCGGCCGAGGGGGCCTTCTCGTCCTCCTGGGCGCCCTGGACGCTCTCCTTGGCCGAGCGGTCCTTGATGGCGTCCTCGCACGCCTCGACCTCGCACCAGGGGAGGACCGTCACCTTGTTCGAGTTGAGCGCCGGCACGAGGTCGGCCCAGTTCTCGATCTTGGTGATCGAGGCGTCAAACGTCGAGCGCGCGCGGTCGAGCATGTCGACGTGGATCGTGTCGAGGAGCGACGGGATCGACGACGTGAGGTCGGCGATGGCGAGCGGCGCCTTGGCGCCCGTGTCGCGACGGACCGACAGGACCGACTGCTTGTCGAGGTCCTTGGGGCCGAGCTCGAGGCGGATAGGGACACCCTGCGCGTATTAGAGGGCGAGGGGAGGAGAGTGAAGGGCGGGACGAGTCAGGCTCGGCGCGACGAACGAGGACGAGAGAGAGGGACGCGAGGCGCACCTTGAGCTCCCAGTCGTTGTACTTGAACCCGGGCGTGTAGCCGTCGCGCAGGTCGGCCTTGGCCTTGATGCCGGCCTTGACGAGGTCCTTGGCGACGCGGTCGGCCTCGTCGTTGAGCTTGCTGCGCAGCTCGTCGCTCGTCTTGGCCGTGATGCCCGTCGGGACGACGACGACCTGGAGCTGGGCGACACGCGGCGGGAGCACGAGGCCCTTGTCGTCGCCGTGCACCATGACCATGACGCCGAGCGAGCGCGTCGAGAGGCCCCACGAGTTTTGCCACACGTGGAGCTTGTCGCCGCCCGGGTTGTGCGGGTCCTCGACCGTGATGTTGAACATCTTGGAGAAGTTCTGGCCGAGGCAGTGCGACGTGCCGCCCTGGATGCCGCGGCCGGTCGTCGGGATGAAGCCCTCGACCGTCGTCGTGTACAGGCCGCCGGCAAACTTCTCCTTCTCCGACTTGACGCCCGGGATGACGGGGACGGCGAGGAGCTCCTCGTACACGCGGCGGTACAGGTCGAGGATCTGGAGCACCTCCTCGTCGGCCTCGGGCTTGGTCTGGAACGCCGTGTGGCCCTCCTGCCACAGGAACTCGCGCGTGCGCAGGAAGGGCTCTGCGGGACGACGTCAAAAGAAGGTCAGGACGATCCCGGTGGAGAGAGAGGGCGAGAGGGACAGGTCTGGACGCACGAGGGTTCTTGAACTCCCAGCGAACGACCGAGTTCCACTGGTTGAGCTTGAGCGGGAGGTCGCGGTGAGAGCGGATCCACTGCGAGGGTGAGAGTCGAGTGTCAGTATCGATGTCGACGAAGGCGACGCGAGGCGAGAGGACAGAGGGGCGCACCTTGGCGTAGTAAGGGTACATGACCGTCTCGGACGTCGGGCGAATGGCGATGGGCACCTCGAGGTCCGACTTGCCGCTGCAGGGGCGCAGAGAGAGGATGCGAGTAAGTGACTTGATCGTCTCGGGCGAAAGAGAGAGAGAGGGAGGCGCAGGAATAGGGAGGGAGGAAGAGGGACGCACGCCCTGGTGACCCAAGCGACCTCGGGCGCAAAGCCCTCGATGTGGTCCTTTTCCCGCTCGAGGACCGTCTGCGACACAAACATGGGGAAGTAGGCGTTGTTGACGCCGAGCGCCTTGATGTGGCGGTCGAACCAGGCTGCAGAGGTCGCGGGTTCGAGGGGTCAGGGATGCGCTCGAGGGAGGACGCAGGACGAGAGAGAGGAGGGACGCACTCTGGATCTCCTGCCAGATGCCGTACGACCAGGGCTTGAGGATGTAGCAGCCCGAGATGTCGTAGTAGTCGAGCATCTCGCCCTTGATCAGGACCTGCTGGTACCAGTCGCCAAAGACGGCCTGCTCCTTCTTGACGGTGATGCCGAGCTGGACGCCGGCCTGGCCCTCGATGTCGGCCTGGCCCGTCTTGGTCCCGGCGGCGGCGGCGGAAGAAGAGGACGCCGACGCGGCGGCGGGCTTGGCGGGCGCCTCGGCGCCCTTGACGAGGAAGTCGGCCTCCTTGAGGGCGGCGCCCTCCTGCTTGAGCTGGAGGACGGCCTTGTGCCAGTCGTCTTGCGAGAGGATGAGGGCCTGGGACGGGTCCGAGGGCGAGGGGACGGACAGGGCGGACGCCAACGAGAGCGACGACGAGGTGATGAGGAGGGTCGACGCGGCGAGCGACGGCGGGAGCGAGAGCGGCGACGCTGTGGGCGAAAACAGCGTGTCAGTGATGGTGGTTCCTTGTGCTGCGCAGGCCGCTCGCCCTTGAAGAGAAGCGCGGTCGAGAGATGGTTGCGAGCAAGGCCCGCTCGCCGCGCACCTCGGCGCCGTCGCGAACAGGCCGCGCGCACGCTGGGGACAGAGGGCAAGGTGGAACAAGAGAGCTCACCCTGGTCGCGGGTCCTGCCGAGGAGCTTGTCGAGGTCGGCGGCGCTAACGGCGCGCATGTCCTTGAGGCCGACGCTCTGGGCGAGGTGCTTTGCGGCGCCGAGGTTCTTGGCCTGCTCGATCGAGGCGACGACGAGCTTGAGGTCGAGGTCGGGGTTGTCGGGGTGCTTTGCGCCGCTCTTGGGCGTGAAGAAGTAGGACAGGACCGGGGTGACCTCGGACGAGGACGACGGCGAGGGCTCGAGGCCGAGGGCCTGGATGCGGTCGGTGAGCTGCTGGACGTCCATGACGAGTTGCGGGAGGGGCTCGAAGCGACGCTTGAGGGCCGGGAGCGAGGTGTGGAGCGGACGGCGACGAGGGACGAGGGGAAGAGTCGAAGTCGCAGAGGCGATGGGCGCGACGCGGCTGGTAGCGAGAGGGGCGAGGTGGAGGGTGCGGCGGTACGCCAGGCGGGCCTGAGCAAGGGACAGCGTCGTGACGGACCGAGGGTGCGGAGCGACGAGCGAGAGAGCGAACCAAGGACCGGCGGTTCTTCGAGGAGGAGAGCGGGCCGCATCGCTCTGCTCACACGGCTCGGGCGGGTGTGCGAGGGCTTGCAATGCAGCCTGTGCAACTTTCTACCCCTCCCTGTACCCCAAGTCGAGCGAGCAGAGGACGGCTCGGTCGTCGCTCGTCTCTCGCCCAAGTTGACCTCGCACACCGTCACTCTCGCACCCACTCGCTTGAGCAGAGCTGCCCAGGCCAACTGTACGGCATCGCAGCTACACCCGACGCCGACCCGCACGCCGCCGCACCCATTTGCGCCGCACCACCGCCGTCCCCCACCTCCGCTCCACCTCATCCCGACTCGCCCTCGCCTCGCTCTCCCTCCAGCAGCCCACTCGTACGCGCCACCATGGCCACCGTCCAGCCCTCGACCTCTACCGCCAAGCCCCCGCCACCTCGAGCCGCTCGCGCACCGCGACCCTCGCGCCTCGCCTCGGTCCTGCACTGGACCCTCCTCGCCTTCGTCAGCAGCGCAGCCCTCAGCCGCGCCTTGACAGAGACCTGGCTGTGGGGCTACGACGGCAAGTGGGCCAACCCGCGACAGGTGCGTCGTCCGTCCACTTCCCGGCTCGCGCCGACCAGGCCCTGCTGCGCGGCGAGGATGCGCTCAGCGTCGTCCTGCGCAGCTCGGCAGTATCTCACCGTCGCCGAGCCGGGACTGACACCCTGCACACGCCCACTTGCAGATCCGCGACGCCCTCTTCCCGCCCTCGCCCCTCGTCCTCTCCGAGGCGCAGCTCGCCCTCCACGACGGCTCGCGCCCCGACCTGTACCCACTCTACATCGCCATCGACGGCGACGTGTACGACATCTCGGACGGCGGCATGCGCAACTACGGGCCCGGCATGCCCTACAGCGTCTTTGCCGGCCGCGACGCGGTCCGAGGTGCGCCGCTCGGTCCTCTCTCTCTCTCTCGTTCTCCTCGTTGCCCTCGTCCATCGACTGACCCCCTCTCTCGCGCAGCTTTCGTGACAGGTTGCTTCGACACGCACTTGACGCACGACCTGCGCGGCCTCACGACGGCGCAGCTCGAGGTGCGCCCCCTCTCTCCCTCCCTCTCTCTCCCCTCTCTTTCATGGCTCATCGTCTCGCGCGCCCGCAGACGGTCAAGAACTGGAAGAACTTCTATTCGACGCACGGTGCGCCCAGTTGTTCGCCTCCCTCTCTCTCTGCTCTCTACGGGAGCGCTCACGATCCGCCCCCTCGTCCTTGCAGCCAAGTACCGCCGCGTCGGGACCGTCGTGCACCCGCCGATCGACCCGACCTCGCCCATCCCCGAGCCGTGCGACAAGGGCAAGCCGCAGCCGTCGGCAGCAGTCGGTGGAGGAGGTGCGCGAGTGGGAGGAGGACGAGCGGGAGCGCACAAGCAGGCTTGAGCGGGGCTGCAACGTCGACGAGTCGTTCCTCTCGCCTTTTCCACTGCATCGAGAGACACGATCGAGTGGTTGCAGGATTACGATGCTATATACAAGACAGCGAGAGCGCCTCTACTTGGTCCTCCTCTCCTCCTCCTCGACGATCCCGTCTCGTCTAGTGGCCCTTCTTTTTCAGGTCGCGGATCTCGTCGATCTGGTCGAGGACGGCCTCCTTGACAACAGCTTTGGGGATCGAACGCCCCTCGCCGTCGTCGGCCTTTCGCGCTGCCCTCGACGACGACGACGACGGCTCGCCGCTCGGACCCGCGACCGCTCCCTGCTCTGCGCCGGGCTCGTCGTCGTGGTAGATGTCGCCGCCGCGGCTGCACCTCCTCGCGCTCGCGACCTGGCGGCTCGCCTCGTCGTGCGCGACGCCGCGGTCGATGAGCTTGCCCCTCGCGACGACGCGGTCGAGCCAGCCGCAGACGCGGCTGTAGATGGTGGCGCGCACGTCCTCGTTCCAGAAGCGCACCATGAGGACGTCGTGCACGGCGTCGGGCGTCTTTTCGACGTCGAGGAGCGGCACCTGGTCGCGCCGCAGGCCGTCGACGAGCGAGTCGATCTCGTCCTCGAGGCGCTCGGCGTCGCCGTAGTGGACAAACGTCGGCGGGAACTGGTCGAACGACCCTTGCGGGCCGAGCTGCGACGCGGGCGAGATGTAGGGCGACGACAGCTCCGAGTGGGGCTTGGCGCCGAGCAGGCTCGAGACGAGGAGCCGGCGCGCAGTCGGCTCGTCCGACAGGTAGTCCTCCGGGTTGGGCCGCGGCGCGTACGACGACAGCGAGTCCTTGAAGCACCGCGACGGGTCGCACCACGGCGACAGGAGGAGGAGCGCACCCGGCGCCGCGAGCCGCGACGCGCCGCAGTCGCGGATGAAGCGCGCGAGCGCGAGCACGATGTTGCCGCCGGCCGAGTCGCCGATGAGGACGATCTTGTGCGCCGGGACGCCCGCCTTGACCAGGTGCGCGTACACCGACAGGCCGTCCTGCAGGGCGGCAGGGAAGGGCGAGTCGGGCAGGAGGCGGTACTCGACGGCTGCGCACGGGTCGACAGAGAGCGTCAGGGTCTTGCGTTCGAGCTCAAGAGAGAGAGAGTCGATCGAGTGTGACGCACAGTGGATGGCCGAGAAGTAGTCGTACTGCGCGGCGGCGAGGAAAGCCAGGGTGAGCTTCTCGATCGTCGACGAGGAGGGAGGGGGAGGATGAGCGTCGACGCACCTGCATGAGCCGCCTCGGGATCGTGCTCGTCTGGGCCGACTCGTGCGCCGAAAAGTGCGTGTAGCCGCCGCCGTGAAAGTAGATGCCGACGAGGTCGCCCTTGTCGCCCTGGGCCGCGAGGCTGAAGCGCGAGCCGAACGCCGACCCGCCCTCCTGCTCGGCGTCGTCGTCCTCGGCGGCAAGCTCGGCGTCCTTGGCGTTGAGCATGGCGTAGTCCTCGCGCACGTCCTCGGCGCGCTCCCACACGAACGTGCCGACACGCTCGAGCGGCTTGACCTGCTCGTCGACGAGGACGCCGCTCAGGAGGTCGCCCGACACGCCCGGGACCCACTCGAACCGGGTCTCCTTGAGGTCGTCGATGCGAGGCTCGGCCGTCGGGTCGCGCGTCGCGTGCTGGACGCCGGCCTGGTCGGTGATGGCGCTCACGCGGCGCGTAAAGTCGACGAGGAGCGTCTCGGCGAGCGACCACGACGGGCGCGGGCGCTTCTTGACGGCGTACTTGACGGCCCACACGGGGAGGAGGAACAGGGACGACGACACGCGGTTGGTGCAGTAGAACCACTTGAGGAGGCGCGGCGAGGCGTACGGCTGCGACGGGAGCTCGTCCATGTTGAGGTCTTGAGGGAGCGACATGACAGGTGGATCTGTCGGGAGGAGAGAGAGAGAGAGAGAGAGAGAAGGGGGGACGGTCGAGCGATGTCAAATGCGAGGCGGGGTCGGCGAACGGTGGTGGAGGGAAGGGGAGAGGGTCGAGGATCGGGCGGCAACAGAGTGAGCTCCCGAGGTCGGCGCACGCCCTAACATAGGTCTCGAGGGACGCACCTCGATCTGGCGAGTACTGCAAAGCCGAGGTGCGGCCGTGACTTGCTGCTGCGCGAGGAGGGTCGGCCTGGCTTGCGACGCGGGAGCCGACGGGCGAGGTTGACGAGGGCGGCTGGCGCAGGTACGGGCGTGTGCAGCTGCTGAGCGACGGCGGGCGCTGGCTGTGCTGTTGCTGGTCGATCGGGGCGGGGCGGGCGAGGTGGTCGGGTCGAACGACGATGAGGGTGTTCGAGGTGAGGCGGTGCAGATGAGCGAGGGCGGCGGCGGGGCGAGCTCGAGGCGGACGGGCCGGCTAAGCAAGGCGTCCAGGCGAGGCGTGCGGGCGCAGGTGCACTCTGCTGGCGCGCGAGGTGCGGGTGGTGCTGTGCGAGGACGACGAGAGCGAGCAGCAGCATCATCACCTTCCGCCGAAGCGTCTCGTCCGGGCCTCGGTCTCTCTCCCTTGGGGTTCCTGCGCGCACAGCTCTTCCGCTTCACGAGTGAGCCGTCTACGCTTTCGCTTCTCTCGTGCAGAATCGAGGACGAGGCGCAGAGCGAGACTCGAGCGGACGGACTTCTCGAGCTCGACAGCGGCGAGTGGACAAGGGGGCGCTCGCGCTTCCAGCTGGTGAGGCTTGCGAAGCGAAGCACGCGCGCAAGCCCGACCCGCGCGTGCGGGAGCGGAGGCCGTCGCTTCCGTCATTCGTTCCGGACGGACCCCGAGCAAACCGAACCTCGGGCTCAGCTTTCGCGTGCGCTCCCAGCTCACCTCAGCCTCGGGTCAGCTTGCGAGCACCTCCAGCACGTTCAACACCAGCTCAGCTCGCCTCTACACCCACCCGCGAGCCAGCGCGAGCCCCCCGCATCTCTCCCCTCCCCGACCCTCGGTCACCGACCTCGTCCTCCTCCGCGCCGCCCCAACTTCGGCACAAGCCCGCTCCAGCCATGACGGCCGCCCACCCGCGCACCTCGACCTCGTCGTCCAACTCGTCCGTGTACTCGGTCGTCGACCACGACAAGGAGTGGCTCCCGTCGCTCGTCGCCAAGTACGGCGCCTCGGCGTCGACCGCCTGGCTCGAGAACCGCTACGCCGTGTGGCGCTCGCCGTCGCACATGCAGAGCAACCCGCGCGTGCAGGGCTACCTCGCGCGCGGCAAGTTCTACTTCGCGTGGGGCCCGCCCATCTGCCGCGCCGACCCGGACGTTCGCCGCAGCGTCGCGCACGAGTTCATCGAGTGGGCCAAGAAGGAGAAGCACCGCCGCGTCGTGTGGTGCATCATCGACACCGAGTTTGCCGACATGCTCGGCAAGGACTTTGAGTGGAGCGTCCTCAGCTGCGTCCGCGAGGACGTCCTCCGTGCGTCCACCTTTCCCCTCCCTCACGCCTCTCCCCGTCACTGACTCGCTCTACTCGTCGCGCAGACCCCGACATCAAGAAGCTCGAGCACAAGGAGGTGCGCCACAACATCCGCCGAGCCGAGCGGGCCCACGTCAAGTACGACGAGATCCGCCTCAAGGCGCCCCAGTTCCACCCGCCCGACGACCTGCGCGAGGAGATCGACGCCGGCCTCAAGCGGTGGCAGGAGCACCGGCACGGGACCCAGATCGCGGCGGTGAGCCCTCTTTCTCTCCCTCGTCGACTCTCTCGCTCGCTCGAAGAGCAGCACTGACTCGGCTTTCCTGCGCACAGGCGGGCCTCTTGCCGTGGCTCGACGCACAACACCGTCGCTACTTCCTCGCACGAGACGAGCACAAGGTGCGCTCACTCTCTCCTCCTTCCCTTCCCCGTCCGCGAGCTCGACTGACCTTTCTCCCTTCGCGCCCTCGCAGAAGGTCGTCGCGATCTGCGTCCTCGCCTCGATCGCGCACGACTCGTATCAGATCAAGCATGCCGTCACCTTTGTGCGCTCACTCTCTCTCTCTCTCTGTCCTCGTCGTCGAGTCGACCCGACACTGACCTTCCCGAGTGCGCCCTTGTCCCCCCTTTTCTTCCTCCCTCTCGCAGCCCGAAGCACCCGGCGGCACCTCGGAGGGCCTCCTCGGCCACGTCATCCGCGAGATGCAGTTCGAGGGCCGCAACGGCCTGACGTTCGGCGCGTCGGCGGCCGAGGAGGTCGAGCCCGAGTACAACCTCGGCGGGTGGAAGATCCGCATGCTCGGCAAGGCGTACAAGAAGATCGTCGCGCGGTACGGCCTCGCGAACCGAGGCCAGTTCCGCGCAAAGTTCGGCACCGAGGACGAGCCGCTCCACGTCGCGTACCCCAAGGGCGGGTTCGGCTTTGCCGGCCTCGTCGCCCTCATGAAGATGATGAAGGTCTAGCGCGTCGCTCGCCATCACCCGCGTCCTCTTCGTTGTCTCGACCTGGTCCGCCGCATCAAGGAGCGCCGTCGACGTGGACCGTCCTCCCCCCCTCTCTCGATACCCCTTTCCTGCCCCTGTCCCCTCCTAGTACTCGGTCTGCGCCTCTCTCCCCCCTCTCAGTACATAGACGGACTCGCTCCTTAGTTACCCCTACACTCGTGCGCGCTCGTGTCGCTCTTCCTCTCTGTACCCCCTCTCCCTCTCTCGCATGCTCCTTTCCGTACGTCCCTGTACATGACCCTTTCGAGTAGCTCGCGACGCTCAAGCCGTTTACCCATCCTCTCGCATCAGTGTCCGCCCTCTCGAGAGCCCAAGCGAGTCGTGCTCGCGCGAGAAAGTGGCGACGAGAGAGAGAGGGCCGAGCGGGTTTGCCGGCTCACGGCAGCCTCGCGCTCTGCCTCTCGCGCAGGCGATACTGCCGCCGCTGACCGCAGAGTGCCCTCGAGAATCCGAGAGGCCGATAGCGCGCGTGCAGGCACTGCAGCGCGCACTCGAGAGCGTGCAGCCAAGGTGCAGCTATGGGTCGAGCCGTGAAAGCGTTGTTGTGCGCCGACAGCGAGCATCGACGTCGGCTCCAGGGGCTCGCAGGCGAAGCAGAGAATCGTCCTGATGCGCCTGCGCCAAAAGCAAGGCTGTTCTCGAGGGTGCAGGGACCATTCGAGAGGAAGACAGATGCTCTGGAGCTGGCGGGGGACGCGAGGGCAACTCGAGCGGTTGCGCCTCGGTTGTCAGCTCGAGACTGAGCCGCAATGAAGAGCTTGCAATGCGGAAGCGCTTGAAAGAGCGAGTGTGAGCCGTGTGGAAGCTGGTAGAGCGCGGGAGGAAGGAGGAGGAGAGGAGCAGCGAGACACGGCTCGGTGGCTGGCCCGGCCGAGGGGCAGGCGCGGTAATACTGACCAGGTCGAGTGCAGCAGCGAAGGCGCACCAGGCGGGCGACGAAGACGAGGGCTTCGTCAGCGGTTCGGCAAGGGAGGGCGAGGGAACCATCTCGAGGAGGAGCTGGTGGCTCTCGTCCTCCCCCCGCTCCACTCAGCACCAGCATACTTGCAGCCATGCCTCGCCAGACTCGCTCGTCCCGCCCCGCAGCCCGCCCTGCGCCCGCCCCGGCCCCTCAGCAGAAGCGCCAGGCGTCGACCTACGCCGCCCCTCCTCCCGCCCACGCTCCCCAGCACGCCGCCGCACCGCACGCCCCGGCTGCTGCCGCCCCCTCGGCCGGTGGTGGCATGTTTAGCCAGGTGAGCCTCCCCTCCCGTCCCTTCAGCGCCCATCTCCTCGGCGAGCGAGGCCGCTCTCCTCCCTCTCTCCCCGACCCGGCCTCTCGCTCTCGCCGGCAGTGGCGCTGCACCCGAGCATCGCCTGCCACCTCGCCCGCGCACCTACCTCCCTGCACATGACACACACTGACCTGCCACCTCGTCCCACTCGCGCAGATGGCCTCGACCGCCGCTGGTGTCGCCGTCGGCTCGACCGTCGGCCACGGCCTGAGCAGCATGCTCTTCGGCGGTGGCGGCGGCTCGCAGCAGGTCCAGGAGGCCCCCGCTGCCCCCGTCGACCAGCAGACGTTTCAGCAGGCGCGCATGGGTGGCGCGTGCGAGCTTCAGGCCAAGGGTGCGTCGGCGTGTCCTCTCCTCGCCTCGGCCCGTCCGATTCCCGTGCGGCTCGTGTCTCGAGCTCCTGCGAGCTCGCGGACGAGTCGCTGTAGCTCAGCGTACGGGGTGGCAAGAATCATTGAGCAGGTCCTGACCTCTCGCCTTTCGTCGCCCGCAGACTTTGTGTCGTGCCTGAACGCGACCGGGAACGACGCCCAGTCGTGCACCTACTACCTCGACATGCTCAAGCAGTGCCAGGCCGCCGCTGCGCCGTACTAAGGCGCTCGTCGTCGTCGTCGCGTCGCCGTGTCAGGTTCTGGTCGAGTGCGGCAGAGGAGGGGTGCGAGGGGCGGTCCTTGTTTGATTTCTACACTCGCATCACTACTCGCAATACAATGGGTCTCAACGGTCGCCTGTGCCCCTCCGAGAGAGCCCCTCGAGCGTTCCCTGAGCGAGGGGAGCTGCTTGTCCACGCTGCGCGCCTCCTCGCCGCGAACCTCTCCAGCTTTCCCTCTCCACCGTCAGCCTCGCCACGGTGCTCTTGCACCTACGAGCGCGCGGGACTTGCCCTCGTCCAGCCGAGCCGCGTCCGCTCGTCGTCGATCGCCCTCACCGCGCCGCGTCATCTTCATCGCCTCGCCCCGACCTCTCGAGCTCTCCCTCCTTCGCCACATCTCTGGGCGAGTCCCGACTGTCCTTTTGCTGCTTTCAGTACTTGCCTCGCTGGTCTCGCGGGCGGACAAGCCGGCAGGGTGGCGTGCGGGCGAGGGACGGAGCCGGCCCCCGAGGAGACGACGAGCAGGCCGTCGGCAGGATCGCGCCGGGCTCAGTGGTGCAGGCGACAGCCTGTGCAGCAGCTGTGGAGCGGGAGGAGCTGTCAGGGCTCGGTCGGACCTTCGAGCGACCCGCCGCAATGCCGCGCACCTCGCCTCGCCATCGTTGGCCTCGAGCAGCCTCGTACCTCTCCATTCACGTCGACTGACACCTTCTTCTTCCTGCTGCAGCACGCCAAGACGCTCACAAGCCGCCGTCGACCTCGCCCTCAAGAGCCCGCCTCTTCGTCAAGCCGCCTCGTCGACCATGGCCATCTCGCTCGACCCCTCGGCGCTCCCTCCTGCCGCCCCGCCAACCCTCCTCGCCACCCTTCGAGCCTACACCCGCCTGCTCGAGACCCGGCGAGCCCTTCAAGCCGAGCTCGACTCGGCCCTGTCGTCCTTCCTGTCCGGCTCCCCTCTCCCCCTCCCTCCTTCCGACCCCCTCGCTGCCGCCGCCACCGACGCGCCACCGCCGGCCGGCGACTCGCCCGCACCCGCAGCAGCAGCCCTGTCGACGTGCGCGACCGAGGCGATCCGCCCGCCGTCGCAGCCCGAGCTCGAGCAGGCGCTCCAGATCGGGTTCGGCGGCCTCGTCGAGCTCAAGGAGGAGGCGCGGCTGCTCATGGCGCAGCTTGACGACAAGTGGGCGAGGGACGACTTGAGGAGGGTCGTCGACAAGGTCGAAGGGTGGGAGAGCGAGAGGATGAGGGCGGTGAGTCCAGCGCAGGGTCCTCTCTCAGCGCCGTGCGGGTCGTGCGCTCGTCCTCCACGAGAACGAGAGCAAACGCGCTAAGACGGCTTGTTGAAGAACCCAGCTGACTTCTCGACCCCTGCAGACGCTTGAGCGGGACCAGATGCGCCGCCTGTCGACCCTCCAGCCCGAGCTGGACTTTGTCTCCTCGATCGCCGACAAGAACGCCCTGTGCGTCCCCCTTTCCCTCTCTCGCCTCTCCCCCTCTCGTCTCGCACTGACTGACCTTGGTGCGCACGCCGTAGCCGCGACTCGCTCGCAGCGCAGGTGCAGGAGGAGGTGCAGGAGATCCACGCCGAGATCGCCGAGCTGAGCGCAGCAGAGGCGGACGACGAGCAGGGAGCGGCGCAATGAGCGAGTCTTCTCTCGGCTCTGCGGAAAACGAGAACACGAGAGTGACAGTGAGAGTGAGAGGCGTTGTCATTTGGCTCGTCTCGACAAAGCTACGGCCTCGCGCTCGCTCCTGCACGATCAGCCACGACGCTTGCTCGCCGGGCTCCCCTCGCCCTCGTCGCCCGCCTTGCGCTTGACCGAGATGCTGAGCTTGGCGCCGCCGCTCGGCCCGGGCGTGCCGCCCTCGCCCTGGTCCGCCCCACCCGTCGCCGGCGAGAAGCTGCGCACGGGCGCGAAACCTCGCCGCACCGTCGGCTCGGGCGTGCCGCTCGCGCCGCGAGACCCGCTCGCCTCGGGGAGCGGGAGCGAGCGCATCGGGATGTCGGAAAAGACGGACGACGGGCCGCCGCCGTTGCCGTTGCGAGCCGAGGGCCCGGGCGAGACGACGGGCTTGCCCTTGCCTCGGGCCGCCTTCTCGATGCGCGAGACGCCGCCGAGCGTGTCGCGTTGCACCGGTGCCGAGCTGCGAGAGGTCGAGGAGGGCGAGGAGGGAGGATGGCAAGGAGGAGGGAGGGAAGAGAAAGTCAGTGGCGGTCGTCGAGGGTGACGAGGCGAGAAGAGGCGAAAGAGGAGGACGCACTTGTTGTTGCCGACGCCGAGGATCATCGTCGCCGAGCCCGTCATCTCGGCACGAGCAGCGAACGCCGCCGCGGTCGAGAGCGGCGTGTCGCCGGCCGCCATCGCCTCCTGCTTCTTCTCGTTCTCGATCTTCTTGAGGCGCTTGTCCGTCTTCTTGGCGCCCGAGCCGTGCCCGTGGAAGTCGTAGTTGAGCTGCTTCCAGGCCTGTGAGAGGGGACGACGAGGGGAATGGTCAGTCGCTGAGGACGAGGAAGGGGGAGGGTGGCAAAAGAGAGGAGAGAAGGTACGCACCTCCTTGGGCGTCAAGTCTCGGCCGAACTCGTCGTGGTACGTGAGGTTGACGACGGGCTTGTAGTTGGCGAACGCCTGGAGCGAGGCTTGAGCGTCGCGCTGCTCGCGCATGCGGTTCTCGTACTCGCGCTGCTGCTGGTCCTTCTTGTCGCCGGCGAGGCGACTCTCGATGCGCTCGCGCTCGCGCTCCTCGGCCCGCCGACGCTGCGACGCGAGCCACGCCTCGCGCTCCTTGAACTCCTTCTCGCGCGCGATCTCCTCGGGCGTGCGCGGCTTGACGAGGCCCTGGTGCCGCAGCAGCGACAGCGTCGACGCGAGGCCACGCGAGACGAGCTGCTCGCCGCCGGTCGTAGCGAACGAGTCGTCGTCGTCGCCGACATGCGGGACGTCGGGCTTGACGTCGGCCGCCTCGACCGCGCCGTTCGCGATCGCGGCCTCGTCGACCTCGCCGTCCCGCATCTGCGCGTCCTCGTCGCCGTCCTCGCGCACAGGGCCCAACCCGCTCGTCGTCGGCGCCGCCGCGTCGAGCTCGGAGAGCGGGACGTCCTCCTCCTCGGCCTTGACCCGCGGTGCGACCGACGCCGCGCCGGCTGCGGCTGCGGCGGCCGCCGACTCCTCGCGCTTGACGCGCTCCTGCTTGTCGGCGTCGCGCTGCGCGCGTTCCTGCGCCGCCGTCGCCGCGAGCGAGATGTTGCGGACGAACTCGGACGTGTCGTCGAGGACGAGGACGTCGCCCTCGTCGTCCTCCTCCTCGGTCGGGCGCGCCGCTCGCGACAGGGACGTGAGCGCGTCGCCGTCCTCGTCCTCCTTCTTGACGACCGCGTCGTCCTCGACCTCGGCCGCTGGCGCCGGCGCTGCTGCTGCACGCGCCTTCATCTCCTTGATCTTCTGCTTGGCGACGTCGCGACGCTGTCGCGCGAGCGCGGCTTGCAGGTCGTCGTCGTCGATCAGGTTCGACTCGTCGAGCGACACGCGCTCGATTTGCCGAGGAGCTGCGGGAGCGCCGTCGACGTCCATCGCCTGCGCCGCGTTCTCGTCGTGGTCGTCGCCCATGGTCGTCGTGCGCATCGGGCGCTTCTTCTTCTTCTGCGAGACGGGACGAGAGGGCATGAGCTGTGGCTCTCTGACGACAGCAGAGGTACCGAGAGGGACTGGGGACGCACCTTGGGCTTCTTGAACCCGGGCTCGCCCTCCTGCAGGTAGTCGGTGTTGAAAGACTCTGCGCGACGGGACGAGGGCGACAGTCAGTGGCAGTCCCAGCAGAAGAGGGAGGGGAAGGGTGAAAGGAGGCTGGGCTCACTGGTGTAGTCCATCGAGAGCTTGATCTTCTCGCGCTCGCCGCCGTCGTCGCGTCCTGCGCCGTCGACGGCTCGACCCTTGCCCTTGGCCGACGCCGCGCTCGCTCCGAGGCGGAAGCCGTCGACCTGCTGCGCGTCGAAGCCCTCGTCGTACTTGCTGAGGACGCCTCGAGACGAGCCGGGCTCGCCCTCGAACTCCTCGTCGTCGTACCGGCCGTAGTTCTGCGAGCCCTTCTTCTTCTGCTCGAGGGCGTGCTTGGTCTTGGCGTTCTCGGCGAGGTTGACGTTGTGCAGCTCGTCGTCTGTGGGCGAGAGAGGGAATGGTCAGGACCGTGCGGCAGGAACGTGCGGCGAGAAGAGGGAGAGGACGCACCCTCGTCGTCGAGCACGCGCGAGTCCTTGAGCGTCAACACGACGTCCTCGCCCTCCTCGAACGCATCGGCGCCGTGCGCGACCTTGAGCCCGGCGAGGTCGTCCTCGCCGTACTTGCTCCCTCGCCCGCGCTCCTCCTCCTCGGCGAGCCGGTCCGCCTCGGCCTCCTCGCGCGCCCGCTTGGCCGCGAGCTCCTTGGCGCGCTTCTTCTGCCGCTTGACCCACGCCCGGCTGTCCTCGCCCTCGGGCGCGTCGTCCTCGCGCTTGACGCGCGCCGCGTCGTCGGCGGCGTCGCCGAGGCCGCGCCCGACGAGCTTGCGCTGGCGGTCCTTCTGGTTGCGGGCGCGGTCGAGGCGGTCCTTGAGCGCCTGGGCGTCCTTGTCCTTCTGCTCGGCGTCGCGCTGCTTGGCGTAGTTGTCCTCGGCGAGCGCGTCGCCGTCGAGGCGGGCGTCGGCGCCGGCAGAGGTGGTCGGGTCGGCGATGGGCTTGAGGCCGAGCGAGACGCGGATCTTGTTGGTCTCCTCGAGAGAGATCGACTCCTTCCACTGGCCGGACTCAGCCATGGCGGGACGAGGGTGTCGTGGGGTGGAGGAGGGAGCGATGAAGGCCTCGCGGCCTGGAGCGAGGGATGTGGGTGGGTCGCGGGAGGTACTGGAGGTGGTCGAAGGCGATGCAGGATGCACTGGCGGCTTCTGGTCGAGGGTGGGTCGAGGCGAGTGGCAGGCGGCGATGAGGTCGGGGTGGCCGTGGAGCGAGTCAGCGCGGGTGGGTGGCGCGCTCGGCGCTGCTCGTGCGGTATCGGGCGAGCTCGAGGGGACGCCTGGTAGCAGTGAGGCTGCTGTCGCAAGCGAGCCGGTCGGGCGAAACCGAGAGGTGGAGCTGGCTGAGCGAGGTCAAGCCAGGAGTCGCTCCCACGGCCGCCTGCACAGCATTCTCGCACGTAGAACCTCGCTCTAGTATGGCAGGAAATGTCCAGGACGGATGGGCGCCAGCGAGAGAGCCGCACTCTACAATCTCCTCCCTCCTTGCGCCGGATCCTCCTCCTCGACCGGCATCGTCGAACAGACGATGAAATCGTGCGCCGCTGGCTCGTCAGGAAGCTGCGCTCATGATGCACGAATGCGCTCGGCGAACTCGTCGAATGGCGCCGGCCTTGATGGCGAGCGTGTCCTCGAAGGAGTCGCGGACCACGACGACGGGAAGGACGACAGCGCGAGGGCCGGGCGCCCTTCAGCGGCAGATGGCGATGTAGCAAAGACGTTCGAGCGAGGCACAGCTCAGGAGAGAGCCCACAAAGAGCGGGCTCGGCGGCCAACACGAGACGACGAGGTCAACCGGCAGGGAGGACCAGGCGTCGCTCGGCTGAAAAGCCCGCAGCGGAAGCGAGCGGGTCGCACGGTAGCTAGCAGAAGAGCCTCTGGGCGCGTGCGTCGAGAGAATGCGCAGCCCGACCGGTCGACGAGGAGCGCCCGAGCGCGAAGCTTCCGCCTCGAGCGGCGGTCGCAACAGGCCACCTCGACGGCGAGCCCTGCGCGGCACCGCCGCCATACCAAGCACTTCTTGCCGCCGCGTTCTTCAGCTGCCTGTCGACCCTCGCGAGCCTCAGCAAGTCGGCGCAGGAGGTCGCGGCGGGCGAACGTGCTGCGACCGCCCGCCGTCCCTCGGCGAGGCCGGGCTGCCGTCGCTGACTGCCGAAGGTCTGGGATAGCGGGTGGTGTGGCCCTGTTGGCAAGGGCGTAGGCAGTCGGCGAGCGGTGAGGGTGGAGGCGACGAGGGAGGGCGGCGGGCAGGCGGGTAGAAGAGAGGAGGGGCCGTGGGGCGCAGCGGTCGAGGGCAGCGAGCCACTGCTGCACGCCGAGAAGCACGCGGCGGGCATGCCTGGGTCGGCTGGCGGTGTAGCAACAGCGGTGAACGGTCGAGGCGACGATTGCCGATCATTCGGCGAAGGGGGCGAGGAGGGCGAGGTGTCTGCTCCCCTTCTCAGCCTCCAGTCACTCGTTCCAGCCAGTCAGCACCGCCAAGAGGGCCAGGGCACCCGTACCCGCTTCTGCACCGCCCGCACATACCCCCATCGTGGGGCCACCGCCCCACGAAAAGGACGGCCACAGGGAGCGGTCGGGCGCTGCCTCGGGGCCATGGGCTAGGGTGGTGAAGTGCAAGTACTGTAAAGCCGCTGTCGCGCTGGACAACTGCGGCTATACAAGGAGCTGCTGCCTGCCGGACCCCATCGCCTTCCGCGGAGGTCGTCCCTCTCCTCCTCCTCCTCCTCCT